ATTACAGTGAACACAACAGTCAAACCTGAATGTATAAATGTGTATAGATAAATATGACCTATGCTTATTCATGAAGTGGTAACTTTTAGCTGTTATTTAGTTTCCAATGTAAGATATAGAAATCACATACTGTTCAATAAGTGACAGTCCATCAGGATGGCTTAAGGCATTGTTCTCCCTGCAGACTGGGATTGTGTTTATTCATTTTGCTGATCTAAATGTTTAAAGTCTCTTTATCGTGTGAAAGGCTGCAGACCCAGATCTCAGCTTGGTACAATGCACACAAAGCTCCTACTCATATTGCTACCCATGTTGACTTTGTTTTACATGCTGTTGATGTGATCCAGTGGTGTACAAAAGCATAAAAGAAGATCTCATTAAGGATACTGATGAACAGTCACTGTAATTTTTAGGCTTTGTGCCTCCTAAAGGTGCATATTTAGTCGAATGTGGCTTTCTTTTCATGTCTCCTTCTCTTCCTCTGCACTGATCTGTACTGGACTGGTGCATTCAACTTCCTGGTAGACATCTTAGTGGTGCTTGTGCTATATTGAGATGTAATTCAGTTGTCTGGTCACATGACCAGAGACACAGATTTTTCATCCTATGAATTATATACATAAATATGTTATTGTAAGCAACACAATGTCTCTGTTGTATTGAACTGGTGCAAAAACTTAAGAAATATCCCTGGTTGGGTTCTGTCTGTTTGTTTTTTTGTTACAGGATTGATGGTGGGATAAACTGAAAACTCCCAATAATGCTGAATGTATGTAGTGCCACCGACAAAATGTTTACCAAACCTCCACTCTTTTTCATTAATTAAACTTAAATGTGTGTGCTTTTAAAGATGTGCTGTTTTCTTTAACACTGTCCTAATTTTTCCATCAGACCTGCAAGAAAAAAACTATATTTGTAACTCAAAACTGAGCAAACTGCTTCATGTGATTTGCAAATTGAGTGTGAAACGTACTCACCATAGAAAAAAGGATTAATATGTGTAATCTCTTTTAAAGCTTCATTTGAATGCAAAAGATTTGCATTTTACAGTAAAGGTGAATTAATCGCCAATTTCTGTGTGCCACAATGGTTTTGGTGAGGAGCCATCGGTTTACTCTTTGATTTCTGTAGAGACTGAGAAGGCAAACTGTTTACCAATCTGCCCCACAGCAGGAGCTTCCTGTGGTGCTCAGGATTCTGACTCCTGAGCCGTATGGCAGGTCATGGCATGTTCCTGCCATGTGTAATGCCTTCACTGCCTACACAAGGGCAGTTCTCAGATCTGGCAGACTTCACCTGAGGGCAACATCCACTGGATGCTTTAAGTGACCAGTTCTGAGGACTGGCAGTGAGAAGATAAACATAGCAAAATCTGTTTGATATTTTTTCATATCAAAATATAAGATTTGTTCCATACTATACTATAACCTTTTTTAACATACTATACTATGGCATTTGTTTAAGTACTAAAATACAACATTTTAATCATACAATACTATGACTTCCTCTCAAGCATACAATAATATGACATTTTTTTTTGTAATTAAATATAACATTTTTGTCATACTATACTATGCCAGTTTTTAACATACTATACTATTACATTCTTTGAGTAGTTAAATATAAAATTTTTATCATACTATACTAAGACATTTTTTAACATACTATACTATGCAATTTTTTTAAAAACTTAAAAAACTTCCTTTCAATTATTTAGTAATTTGACTTTTTTTATAAAATATAATTTTTTGTCATACTATTCTATGCCATTTTTTAACACACTAAACCGTCCTTTTTTAACATACTATACTATGACATTTTTTTTACTTAATAAAATTGCAAATTTGAACATACTATACTATGACATCTTTTGACCTACTAAACCATGACAATTGTTTCATACTAAATTTTGAAATTTTATCATACTATACTATGACATTTTTGAACAAACTATACTATGACATTTTTTAACATACTATACTATGACATTTTATTCATATCAAAATATAAGATTTGTACCATACTATACTATTACCCTTTTTAACATACTATACTATGGCATTTGTTTAAATACTAAAATAGGACATTTTAATCATACAATACTATGACTTCCTTTCAATCTTTCAGTAATATGACATTTTTTTTTATAAAATATAATTTTTTGTCATACTATACTATGCCTTCTTTTAACACACTAAACTATGAAAATTTTAAACATACTATACTATGAATTTTTTTTTACTTAATAAAATTGCAAATTTTAACATACTATACTATGATATCTTTTGACCTACTAAACCATGACAATTGTTTCATACTAAATTTTGAAATTTTATCATACTATACTATGACATTTTTGACCAAACTATACGATGACATTTTTCAACATACTATACTATGACATTTTTTTAATACTTAAACGTAAAATTTTTATCATACTATACTATGACATTTTTTGATACTTAAAATATGATATTTTTATCATACTATACTATGACATTTTTTTTCATATCAAAATATAAGATTTGTACCATACTATACTATTACCCTTTTTAACATACTATACTATGGCATTTGTTTAAATACTAAAATAGGACATTTTGATCATACAATACTATGACTTCCTTTCAATTATTTAGTAATTTGACTTTTTTTTTTATAAAATATAATTTTTTGTCATACTATTCTATGCCATCTTTTAACACACTAAACCATCCTTTTTAAACATACTATACTGTGACATTTTTTTACTTAATAAAATTGCAAATTTTAACATACTATACTATGACATCTTTTGACCTACTTAACCATGACAATTGTTTCATACTAAATTTTGAAATTTTATCATTCTATACTATGATATTTTTGAACAAACTATACTATGACATTTTTCAACATACCATACTATGACATTTTTCAACATACTATACTATGACATTTTATTCATATCAAAATATAAGATTTGTACCATACTATACTATTACCCTTTTTAACATACTATACTATGGCATTTGTTTAAATACTAAAATAGGACATTTTAATCATACAATACTATGACTTCCTTTCAATCTTTCAGTAATATGACATTTTTTTTTATAAAATATAATTTTTTGTCATACTATACTATGCCTTCTTTTAACACACTAAACTATGAAAATTTTAAACATACTATACTATGAATTTTTTTTTACTTAATAAAATTGCAAATTTTAACATACTATACTATGATATCTTTTGACCTACTAAACCATGACAATTGTTTCATACTAAATTTTGAAATTTTATCATACTATACTATGACATTTTTGAACAAACTATACTATGACATTTTTTAACATACTATACTATGACATTTTTTTAATACTTAAACGTAAAATTTTTATCATACTATACTATGACATTTTTTGATACTTAAAATATGATATTTTTATCATACTATACTATGACATTTTTTTCATATCAAAATAAAAGATTTGTACTATACTATACTATTACCCTTTTTAACATACTATACTATGGCATTTGTTTAAATACTAAAATAGGACATTTTGATCATACAATACTATGACTTCCTATCAATTATTTAGTAATTTGAATTTTTTTTTAATAAAATATAATTTTTTGTCATACTATTCTATGCCATTTTTTAACACACTAAACTGTCATTTTTAAACATACTATACTATGACATTTTTTTTACTTAATAAAATTGCAAATTTGAACATACTATACTATGACATCTTTTGACCTACTAAACCATGACAATTGTTTCATACTAAATTTTGAAATTTTATCATTCTATACTATGACATTTTTGAACAAACTATACTATGACATTTTTTAACATACCATACTATGACATTTTTCAACATACTATACTATGACATTTTTTTAATACTTAAACGTAAAATTTTTTATCATACTATACTATGACGTTTTTTTACATACTATACTATGACATTTTTTGATACTTAAATATGATATTTTTATCATACTATACTATGACATTTTTTTCATATCAAAATATAAGATTTGTTCCATACTATACTATTACCCTTTTTAACATACTATACTATGGCATTTGTTTAAAAAATAAAATAGGACATTTTAATCATACTATACTATGACTTCCTTTCAATCTTTCAGTAATATGACATTTTTTTATAAAATATAATTTTTTGTCATACTATACTTTGCCATCTTTTAACACACTAAACTATGAAATTTTTAAACATACTATACTATGAATTTTTTTTTACTTAATAAAATTGCAAATTTTAACATACTATACTATGATATCTTTTGACCTACTAAACCATGACAATTGTTTCATACTAAATTTTGAAATTTTATCATACTATACTATGACATTTTTGAACACACTATACCATGAGATTTTTCAGCATACTCTATGATGAAAAATTTTAATACTTAAATTTGATATTTTTATCATTCCATACTGTGACATTTTTAACATACTATATACTATGACATGCTTTAATACGAATTTTTTATCATACTATACTATGACATTTTTTAACATACTATACTATGACATTTTCTTCATATCAAATATTGAAATTTTTATCATACTATACTATGACATTTGTAACATACTTTACTATGGTATTTGTTAAAATACTAAAATACAACATTTATTCTATGTCATTTTCATCATTCTATACATTTACATTTTTTATTTTACATTTTTAACAAATTATATGACATTTTTTTATCATACTATACTATGACCTTTTTAACATGCTTTACCATGTTTTCACCTGTTTGCAAATTGTCCACAATGTATCTCAACACCCAACAGAAACCCATTATAGATTATTTACTAGGTTCCCACTTCCATCAGTAGCGTGCCTAATACTGTATGTTGTAAACTTAGTTGGTGTGTAACTCCTGCATTGATTAATGTACATCGTCTTATTCTCAGGGTCCTCTTCAGATACAGAAGTAGCACTTGTATTAAAGAGTCAAGAAACCAAACATAAAATTCAAACATCTTTATATCAATTCCAGCAAAAATACAAAGTTCTTACCATAAAGATGTATCATTCTTGGGATTACCACAAATAAAGCCGTTATTTCTTTTCCAATATACAAAATCAAAATCTTTAAATAGCAACGGTAAAGAATAAACATGTTCAAGTCTGGTATTTGGTGGGCTGTTTGAGATTTGCTAAATACATGAACCAACAAGGAGTTCTTAAATAACAATAAAAACATGACAGACATGTTTTTCATTTACAGATGAATTACCCTCTTGGGAGAAATGACCATCATACAAAAATAACACTGTGCTGAAAACTGTGTTTGACTTTTGACGACACACTAATGCATGATACTACGGTGGAAGTAAAGAAACTTCACATTCTGAGAACATCTGCCTGACAATCAATGACAATAAAAAGCAATAGAATAATAATAAAAATAATAATAAAACTGCAACATACTTGAAACACAAATCAGAAGTATAATTGGAATATTCCTAAACGTTCAAATCCAACTGGGGTCATTTTATCGCCCAGTCATTAATGCTAAACGCCTGTATACTTCAATCAGATAAACCAACCAATCAAGAAAGTTTCAGGTCTTACTCAGAGGAAATATTTTGACACATCAGCCAGTATCCTAAAGTCATCTCAGATTTTTTTTTCCAGTGCAGCTTTTTACAAGCACTGTATGTGCATACAGAGTCTTAAATGGGTGTAGCATCTTCAGGGATATCGGGCATACATAAAGACGCGGGTTTCAGTTCTAGGAGGGCAGTATCCTACAAAGAGTAGCAAAGTCTGTCTCCACAGAAACAACATTTTACACATACAGAAGCAGATAAAGATTAAAAGTGAACATTAAGATGTGATTGCAAAGACACACAGCAAAGAGGACTGACCCAAAACGACAAAATTCTAACCAAGTGTCTTAATACAAACAGAGGGAAGTTGTTTCAACTACATGAGAACTATGAGGACATTTTTTATGTTAATGCTGTGAGAAAAGGGCAAATGAGCCTGACAGGAGTTAAGCCGTACAGCAACTATGTTTGCTAGAGATTGTGTTCGACTTGTGTGAAGTCTATGAACAGAGAGCAAATGCTCAGTATATATTCAGTCACATTTTTACACTGAAGCTTTACAAAAGCATAAATCACTTTCTTTCACAGCTTTGCCTCCTGAAAAAGTCGCCTCTGGAGATAATGTGAGAGTAAAAAATATATTCTTCTTCTTTTCCTTATGAATGAATTACAGACTGAAGACAACCACAAAATAAAGGATCTCTCCCTGTCCAACTGTTCTATTTTGCAAGCGAAGTCCTGGTGCGCTTAGCTGGGGTCTCTAGCTGCTCAGCTTTCCTGGTTGCCGAACTGCGTGGCAACGAGGCTACGCGACCTCTCTTTGTCGGCTCCCTCAAAGCCCCGCTTCTCGTCAGCGCCGGCTCTTCGGTTTTTCGGACTGGTTTAGGAGATGCATTTGGGGTTTTGACAGACTTAGTCTTCTTTAAAGCTTGACTTTTGCTGTCGCTCGCAGGGACCACTGCCTCCATTTTTCTCTGTGATCTTGTCAATACCTGATCAGCTGAACCTGGAACCACGCCCTGCTGCGGGGCTTCTACAGCAGCCTCAGTGCCTTTGATTTCAGCAGCTGAACTTGGCGCTGACTCTTTAGTTTGGGTTCTTGAAGCATTCATTTTATTCACAGTGGGCTTCTCGACCTCTACCTTCTCTGCCTCCGTTTGTTTCTTACTTTCCGCCTTGCTTTTAGATGTTTCCACTGCAGGGTTGTTTTCGGGTACTTTAGGAGACCCCAGCCGTAGAGAACATCTCTTTGGCAGTTCTTTTTTAATCGTTTCTCTTGGAGCCTTGACACTGCTCTGAGCTTTGACTACCTTCTCCTGAACAGGATGTTTTGTAGGTTTTTTGTCAGTCAGTGCTTTCTTTTTCTCTATTTTAGCTGCTTTCAATTGTTTACTGACAGGTAGGGCGGATTTCTGCACCTTCAGCGGTGGTTTCAGAATCGATTTAGATGTGGACTTAGTTGTCCCGAGTCTCTTTAGACTGTTAGTTTTTAAGGTTTGTGAGGCCTTTTTCAGTCGGACACTGGTTTGCTGAACCTGCATCTTCCCCCTGATGTTCGAGTATTTTCTCAAGATTCTTGCACTCGCTGGATTCTTAGCTTTACCGGAGGATTTCTGAGATTCACCTGTCTGTGCCCTGGCTTCAGCAGAGGAGTGTGACTTGAATACAGTCTGAGTAGTACTAACAGGTTCTCGTTTCTCTTTTCCTTTGACAGCCACTGGCTCTTGCTCCAGCGCTTTAGCAATCAGCTTCTGACTCTTGGGGTTGCTCTTTACAGGAGAGGCGATGGCGAACTTCTTCAAATGTTTCTTTAGGCGCTCGGCCTGTAAGCTTGGAAAGACCCCCTGAGAGGTCCCTGAAGCACCAGAGGAGCTGTGAAAGCACAGCTGAGTTTCTGATGGAAGACGTGTATTCACCTTCTTCACAATGACGAGGGACTTTGTTTCTGTAGATTCAAGAAACCAGCGACAAATGCTGGTGAGATTAAAACCTTTCATGAAGAGCATTTGAACCGGGGAGTATTTCTGGTGCTCCAGAGACTTTGTTTTTTTGGCCCTGCGCTTACTCTTCCAAATAGCTGCCTGCCGGTCTGCTTTGTTTTTGTATTTTATCACTGGCTGACCCTCTTTGTCCAGCTGCACCCATCCTCTTTGCATCTTATCATATTTAACGTTCAGATTTGTAATGAGCTGTTGGTTTTCTTCTCCATTCAAGGTCTCAAGGAATTTGTTAGTTTGTTTTGGGGGCTCAAGTCTCGGTGGAAAGACATGGGTGGTTGAGCTGTGTGGCATCTGAGCTACATCAGACACTGGAGGAGACTTGACCAGAGCTTTAGATCCTCTTTCTGGCAGTTTTCTAACAGGGGAAGCTACTTCACTCTGTTTCGCAGCTACGGTAACTGAACTGGTAGAAGGCGAGGACAATCTTTGCGATCGCAGAGTTAACTTCTTGTTTTCAACTGGTGTCTGAGTTACAGGCTGGTGAGATGGCCCGACTTTACTGCTCTCGCTCCTCAATGGCATTCTTGTGGGCTTGTCTGAACTATCGTCTTCACTTGCGGACCTCTCCTTTAAAAATGCTACATAAGGCTGATCCAGCAGCAACGCATCAATTTCCTTGCGGTGAACCCGCTTGCTTTTCAACGGCATAGCCTGCGATTGCATTTCAGTCTTTGCAGGACTTTCATTCTCTAACAAACTTGACTCCTCTGCGCTTGGTGCCTGTTTCTCATCGAGGACAGCTTTGTCTGACCTCAATCTCTGCTCAGCTTGCACATTTTCTTCATTGTTCTCTTGCAATTCTTCAGATGTCGTTTCTAATGGCTGCGATTTCTCAATGTTTGATTCCACAGTCGTCTCTTGGGGTGTGTTCTGCTCGGGCTGTTCAGCAGCTGCAGAAGGAGATGAACTGACTGGAGGAGTAGTAACAGAAAGTGGAGGAGGACTGGAAGTAGGGGAGGATGACCTGACTACAGAAGCAGAATCAGGAAGTGGAAGTGGAAGAGGAGGGGGAGGTGAGGGAGATGACCTGACGAGCGGAGTAGTATCAGAAAGTAGAGGAGGAAGGGGAGGCGAGGGGGGTGACCTGGGTAGAGGAGCGGCATCGGAAAGTAAAGGAGGAAGAGGAGACGAGGGAGGTGACCCGGCTAGAGGAGCGGTATCAGAAAGTAAAGGAGGAAGAGGAGGCGAGGGGGGTGACCCAGCTGGAGAAGCGGTATCAGAAAGTAAAGGAGGAAGAGGAGGCGAGGGGGGTGACCCAGCGAGAGGAGCGGCATCGGAAAGTACAGGAGGAAGAGGAGGCGAGGGGGGTGACCCGGCGAGAGGAGCAGTATCAGAAAGCGAAGGAGGAAGGGGAGGCGCGGGAAGGTTCTCAGTAAATGAAAGAGCCCTAGTAGCAGCAGATTTTGGCGATGAGGTCGAAGGGGCAGCATCTGACACTGGTAAGAGTTCTTGAGATTCGGCTTGTTTGTGGCTCGATGATCTAAGCTGCCGTTTGGACTCTAAACTATCCCGATCTTTCTGACTTTTCTTTTGCTTGTTGGTTTGTTTTGACCCTGGGGGAAATTTGGATGTTCGGCTCGATCCTGTTGGAGTCGTTTTGTTTGCAGGTGGAATCGGTGGAGGAGTCTCAACCATCTCTTCAGGTGTCGGTGTTTCAGGTAGATGTTCCTCCAGTTTTGACCCTTCTGCAGTTGAACCAGCAGTTGGATCAGCAGAGTTCTTGTTCGATACACTCTTGGATTTCACCGGTGTACTACTGGGTGATGTTGAGCTGTTACTTGACCTACGGCGCAAACTTCTGTCACTGGCTGATACAGGTCTTCCATTTACATAACCCACCACCTCTGTATCTGTTTGTCTTTGCCGTTTCGATGGGGGAGTACCAGCGCCTCTTTTCCTACGCCAAGGCGGTAACTTCTTTAAGAGTGCATCGAGGGGTGTGGAGGACACATCGTATCCAGTATCATCATTATCTCTGTCACCCTTTGTCTTTAAAGGAGTAACACTGTCAACTATTTCAGACATTTTCATTTCTGCCTCTGCTAAAACGGCTTCTTGTGGTTCAGTTTGTGGCTCTTCAGGCTGCTGCTGTTCTGCTGAAACTGCTTCAGGTTTTTTATTTTCTGCCTCTTGAGTTTGTGGCTCCTCAGCCGAACATGTAATTTGAGACGTTTCTATCGCTTTTAAGTCGTCACTGAGTGTCTGCATCTCTGACTGCGTTTCCTGAGGTTGCTCATCTTGTACTTTCTCCAATTTACTTCCCTCTGTCTCTGTCTCTACCTCGACTTGATCCGCTGGTTTTGGTGAGCTAGTCTGCGCAAGAATAGGCTCGCTACTTTGCAGCTCATCTGATGGAAGCTGGGACTCATTTTCTCTTTGGGCAGCATTTTCTGAGGGTTCCGTGACTGTCTTTGCTATCTGCTCTTCACTTTCACAAATCTCTCCCGCGGGTTCAGGCTCGCTGTCTTTTTCTGCCTGACCAAAAGTTTCTTCACATTCAGTTGTAATCCCTAAATCTGCTGATACATGCTCTTGTACATTTGTGTTTAAATCTTTGTCTTGACTCTCTGTAGGTAGTGACCTGTTTGGAGATGGAGGAACAGACTGCACTTTGCTCTGACACTGACCTGTCTGGCTCGTTTCGACCACAGTGTCGACTTCACTGACCCCTCCCTCCACCATATCTCCTGTTCCCGGGATCACACTCTGATCTGATTGTTCTGTGGACATTTGTTGGATCATTGTCTCCCTACATGCTCCAGCAAAAGGCATATCCACAGGTGGTACACCTTCAGGCTTTGAAAGTATTTGTTTTGGAGTGACCAATGTGACCAGCTCTGGCATTGGATTAGGACAGTTACCCCTCCCAGCCAATGTACGGACAGTCTTTAACTCCCAAATCTCATCACAGTATATATGTCCCCGGGTGCTTTTTCTTGCATTGCGACGTGGGACCATGGTGCTCTGCCTTTCTTTAAAACACTCTGTAATTGGTTTGTCAATAAAAACAATGTCACAGTGGCCTAGATCAGGGTCTATCACACTTCTGTAAGCAGAGTCCTGATGATCAGATGTCCTGACGGTCTTCCTGGCAGTCCGTGGAGAGTCTGGAGGAATGGTCACATGAACCGAGTATGGTTTTGTTGGTGAATCATGCCGAAGAGTCTCTCTTTGCCTAGCTTTTTGCGTGTCACTTGACTGGCTGTGTCTTTTGATAGAGGAGCTAAGTCTGGCACTGTGAGTTTCTGTTCTGCTGGTTGAATTTTTGTTCACTTCCCGATCTTCAAAAGTGTCAGAGTGAGATGAGAGGGAAGAGTTGAGCACACACGACAACCTCTTACCAGCAGCAACGTTACTGGTCATGATTTTCATTTTTAGAGGTGCGTGATCAACATGACGGTTGTTTTCTGCATCTCCTGGATAAGCTTTTTTGGCCACCAAGTTTTCATTACTACCTGACCCAGGGCTGCGAAGATCCAAAGCGGGGCTAGCAGCAGATGTTTTCAGGGATACCATATTCTCAGGAGATTTTATCATTGCACAGCTGCTTCGGATGGCATGGGACATATCCTGGACTTCCGTTTTGGGGGTGGATTCATTGGTAAACAAAAGCTCTGGGAATGACTTCTCAGGGGGGACTGTGCTGGATTTCGGAGTGGAACAAGTAATTCCCTTGATCCGAGAACTGGAGATAGAGTCTTGTTGCATATTGGAAGATGCAAGTGCTTTGACTTCCGTCTGTAGAAAACCGATGGCATCCACTATCTGTCTCTGGTGGTGGGGACAGAGTTTGGCCATGAACTGTTCCAGCGTGGAAGTGGACTGCAGGTCTTTTGCCTTTGTGACATGAAAGTCCTGGGACTCACTGAGGAAGAGAAAGGAACAAAATAGATGTAATTGCATATCCAAAAGAACAACGATTCATGCAATTTAGAATTACAGCAATAAAGAATTACTAGTCCTTGAAAAAAACCGCCAAAAGTAGTGGAACTAAAAGTGCAAAATGACTCACAGATGCATCACAGTTTTTATCGTTGCATATTTATTAGAAGAATAGGTGATTTTAAAAGTGAATCTTTCATCCAGTGAACGTGACCAATTACATTGTTACAGCTAGTACATTTTTTTCTTCTTTTTACACAAAGATGATTTTTGTTACAGTCTACATCGAGATAATTCCAAACATGCACAACACATTAAGTCATGGTGGATCACTTTGATTAAAACAGATCATCACATGTTTAACACTTGAAAGAGCAAACACATAGTGGGGAAATATCGATTACACAGTTTTTGTCAAGTTTTCATTTATTTTATCACAAGTGCATGTGGTGACATTTAGATACAAGTGCTCGACAATGTAAGACAAATCAATCGGTAAAAGGAAAGCGTAGAAATAATGAAAAATCTCTGAATTTGATATTTCAACACTTTTGAGGTTTTGTTTGTGCCAATACAAATCTTATTTTATCAGTCAAAAGGGATCGGCATGTCTCTATTTTTTCTTTTTTTTTTTGGCTCAAGATTTGTCAGTGAGGTAGGTATCTTTTTAAATCCTCCAATACTTTTGGAGGATTTATACCATCACATTATGCAATAAATATCTTCTTACTTTGAAAGGCTCATATACTTTTTTCTAAAATAAAAGTCCCTTCAAGGCTTCTGTGCGGTTAAGTGAGCAGAGAAATAAAAATACGATGTGATTCCTGAGATGGCTTGTCACAAAGCTGTAGTGTAACAAAAGATAGAGATATTTTTCCACATAGTCTGTGCTACAAAGAAAGGAGGTGCAGGCAGCTGGAAGAGAAACGATTAGTCAAAAATCATTTTGATGGTCTGCTGATAAATCTTAGAGGCAAAAAAAAAAGGAATTAATTATTATATTAATGTTACAACTACAAATAATGAAAAACTGCTAAATAAAATTTGGATTCTGATAATATTCTTTATCTATTGCAGAAAAGCTGAAATCTGCAGCCTGTTTCTGTCTTTGCACAATAACACCAGTGCTCGAATCTTGCAAAGCCTCTCCTCTGTGTAAGAGACTTGTTAGCTCCTTTTAGATGCTCTAGGAAAAGGACAGCAATAGCTAACAGAAAAATATACTGATTTCAGCTTTAAATGTCAAGGTCAGCATACAACTATTGTCGGTGAGAAAAGTCTTCTGAGCTTTTGTTAAACTCTAGTGATAAACCGTACAGTTTATTTTTTATTTACCATGTGCTAACTGAGGAACAGAACTGGATATGAACTTATTTTAATAGCCATTTGTCAACATCTTACCTGCACTGAGGTTATATTGACATTCATCGTGTAGTAAAGTACAAAAATAACACTAATAAGATGTTTTTCCAATCTCCTAACAACATGCCAAAATATCTGACATGCAATTTTTGAGGTTAAAAATAAATTTCAGGAGTTAAAAAAATAACATTTGCTGTAACTGGAACCTGACTATTTTTTATGCCAAGCCAACTGACTTCACATCCCTGGATTCAATGTTTAAGGAGTAAAGCGAGGTACCTGAATAGTAAGCTGTAAAGTGTTTCATCCCTGAGGGTTTAGCTCTCTCGTTTAATGTAGCACTGAAGTAAGGAACTGACGCTAGTTACATGCCATTTTCTGAAGAGGGAATAAAAACCATCCAACAAGCTCAAGGAAAATATATTACAACTCATCTCCACAATGGTTAACAAGCACACAAACATGGATGTGCTAACTTACCCACAACGTTCATATATGGAATATTACATCTATAAATACTCTAGCAATAACCAACAGCTTTATGGGGATGTATCATATATTTGAGGATGAACCACTGGATAGATTCTGAACAGGTGATATTCAGAGTTCACAGTTTTCTACCTAAAACATTGTAGACTCAACAGTCACCACACCAACACTTCACTATTTTCAATAAAACATCCTCAAAGATAACCTTCACCGTATGACTAACTTTCCAAATACGATCAAGACAAATCATGCAAAATTTCCCCTGCATCGTCATCCCTGTGTCAACCATATAAGGGTAATGAAATATACAAAATCTGTACATAGTTTTTAATTTAAAAGGGATAATCTTTAGTTATTTGAAAATCACATCTTCAGATGTTTGACGGCTTCAAGCCTCATATATTATAATATTTATCAAGCAAAAGATTCAAAACTTTTATCAGAATAAAACGGGACACTCTGTTATGTTATCCCTTCTCATATATCATGTAAGCAATTAACTACATTTGAAGCATTATCTACTAATGTATGTGTATTTATTAACTGTAAGGTGGAACTCTTTGTTTCATTAAAGCCATTTACATTCATGGTAACGTAAGTGGTGGTAATATCATCTGTCAATAAATATCCAAGAATAAATACTGCATTGATGAAATGACACCAAAATATATTAATTTGAAGTAGTGAGGCTGACCCCTCCTCAATTTTAGAAACAAGAAAGTTTCTCCAGAGCAGGAGATCTAGAAAAACAGCTTTAGTCATTAGTCACCTTCAATTGAAGCCAAAATTAAACCTAACTGTGATCGTAGTGAAATAACATACTCGGGATAAACTGGAATATTTACATGTGGGGGAACATTTGTTTAAGTTTCAGCTGTTTTATAGATCCATTTTAAGACAGGGTTTCATAATAAACTGTACTGAGCAATTAGATTATTAAGTGAAACAACTAAAATAACAGATATGGGTTCTCTAGATGAGGTAGTTCACTAGAAGATTTGCTACAACAGACAATGAGGATAGAAAGGTTTGGATTTACCGGTCATTAATATCAAAGTGGTTGTTTGTTTTGAACAAATAAGTCGAAATGCACAAAAACTCTTCAATAAATAAAGTATGACTTTTGAATAATGCTAAATGATTGTCAATGCTGAAAACATTTGCATTTAAAGAAACTGCAATGTTAACGAATAACGCTGAATTAGATGCAGTTCAGAGAGAAGACTGAGTAATGAAGACTCAAACGATGAATTAGAGAAACATACAAATCATAAAAACATGTAAATAATATTTAGAACTCAGAATCAGAAGCTGTGAAATATAGGAGAATCTCAACAAGTGAATAAAAATCAGTAAATTTATCATCTAAGATAAATGAAAACTACTTTGACAGTGCTATTAACATACAAGTGTAAAAGTCCCTGAACTTGAGTTTTCTGCTGAACCAACTCTCACTTAAGTAATGTTTACAATCTTGACAAGTTTCTATTATGTCTGAGTAAAATGCTTGTAGTTGAGAAATCATCCCAGTTCATGTTAGAAACGTTGCGTTTATAAAAAAAGGCTGCAAAAAATGATGACCAACATCTGCCTTAGCCGTGTATCAACCTGATGAGAGAATGATGGGCCGTGATCCCATATTCCTGAAAATCCTGAGGTATAAGTGCACAATGAGGCATGCTGATATAAAAAAATATGGATGAGTTCCCCTTCGCTGAGTCAGCCAGGCAAAAATTCAATGAAAATACCATGCAACTGCTTCAGTGCATGTGGTCTAAAGTGTTCGAGGAAGTGCTGACAGGAGGGTAAAGTGTCAACCAGACTCTGGGGTTGACGAGCCGAACTTGAAATCGGCTGATCATGCAGTTTACAGCTGAATCCAAAACTATGATTGAAGTCATAAAAATATAAGTCACAGTAAAGTCAGGTCTTTTTTTTTAATCACACAAGGATAAGCCTGAGATAATTTTTAGCACAAAGTACCAACTGATCAGCACAACAATTAATTTATCCTCATTTATTTTCATTGAATTTTTGGCTCAGTTGCTGGAGAGACAGGTGGTTGTGAAATGAGGCATCATTTCACCAGTAGCTAATATGTAAGCTAACTTTTGCTTTACTTATACAAGAAAGCCCTATTAGCTAGTTTTTGAGAGTTTATCTTCTATTATTGCTTAAAAGTTCTGTGTGTTTTTAATAATTACTTAATTAGTCAAGAGCTTTGAGATAAAAACACTAACCTAGTCGTTATTAAAATGCTTGTGATCACAGGACTGATTAAAACAGTATTGAGAACCTGAAGAAACACTTCAGAAAATACCTGAATGTACTATTTTTGCAAAAAGAGTTAGGATTTCATCGGATGCTGAGAGATTAACGCACAATCTGTGAATGTGAGTGATTAGGCCACTAAAAACCTGCTTAATGAAAACCTGGCGAGCGTGGTTCGTTAACCTGAAGATACAATTCTGAGTAATGCGCCGTGGGCTAAAGCAAACTGCTACTGCATGTCTTATGTTATGAATATGTACAGAAAAATTATGTTTTTACATTAATTTGATATCAAAATTAAAAAAAAAAAAAAGTCTCTCTCGTGTGTTAGAGAAAGACATCCCAGAGATAACACCTGAATCTGAAAGGATGAGCCCTAAATCACATAGATATGAAATGCTCTGAAGGCTTGCACTGGCACTGAGATGCTACTGAAAACTTGTTAAGGTTGGTTGTGAATACATCTGAGAGTAGGAGACGCAAACTTGCCAGTAAGACATCCTGAAATGTTACCTCGGAGGGTTTTTGGTATACCGACAGAGGTGACTTATAAAGAATACGTATTTAGTTATTAAACATATCTGTGGTTGAGGTATATAAGTGCTGTATCGGAGAGATATTTTCCTTGACTGACAAGTACTGCATCCCATTCTGGATTTATCCTGAGTGAAGTGAAGGCAATGAAAAAAAATACCATTCTTATTGCAGAGTAAAATATACAGTCAAGATAGAGGCGGCAGAAACCTGTCATGCTTGTGAGGATAAGCCTAATTTAAGAAGGAAATTCAACCCCTGCTCATAACATGCTACTTGACAAGACAATAATAATAAATAAGTATTCTGAATATCTGTGTCTGAAATAATAAATATTAAAATATAATAGTGTCTGAACATTTAGTCTTCTCTCCAGTGTTCCATTAACCACAGAAGTGCATTTACAAAACAGTGAGAGTCATCAACACAAAAAAAAAAGTCAGACATAGAGATCGATTCAATCTGAACTCAAACTAAGTGCTCGAAACAGTACTGAGAGAGGACACCGAGGGGCGCCATCACCTCAAACATGAACCAATTGTGGCTCTGCTGTGTGAAGACGACATTTATAGAGCCAGGGATCATTTTTTTCCCAAATAAATCAATATAAATTAACATAGTAGAGTAGTATTTCATAATCCTTCTTATTTAACATTTGCACATGTAGGGCAAGTAGACACTTGGAGTGTTTAAGAAAGATGGCTATTCATAACGATTTTGTTGTATAAATGACTAAAGTTAAGGGGGAGAAATTAACCAATTTGAGTGTTGAACACCGCTCTCAATTTTAAAGAGAGAGAAAAAAAAATGAAAGTAGCTCCCACCACTGTCTGGTAAATGCAACATCTGTGAGATTAAAAGTACATCATCATTAGTACTCCAGGGTTAGATCACTCGTTCGATGAGAGGCTTCCATCCCGGGAATCGTTCCCGTTCTCATCAGAAGTGCTCTCTTTCTTCCCAGGATCAATTTGTGGGGAGTTTTGGAGTTCCTTCCCCTCCAGGGACCGTGAAACATCCTGGTCCTCTAACTGGCTTAACAACTTCAGTTTCTTTTTGGGAGGATGTTTCAAGGTCCCCAGTCTCTCTTTAACTTTGTATTCCAGGGTGCTGTGGGGGATGCCATAAATCGATTGGGCTTTAGACACGCTCATTTTGCCGCCCATCACCACCACAATGGCCTCTTCAAGCAGCTCAGTGTTGTACTGACGGTACCGCCCTCGTTTCTTTCTTGGCTGCTTGGGACCCAAATCAGACTCTGAATCCAGAGGATAGTTTCCCCCCAAGGCTTGGCGGTCGGTATCATAAGGCCAGTAGTCCTTCTCGGAGCCTGAGCTACTCAAACCGCCGCTGCTCTTTTTCTGGATCTGCCGGGGTAAAACGGAACGATTGATCTTTCCCAGACCGTTCTCACCAACTGAACCTGAGTACTCGGTTGACAGGAAATCCCAGGACGGATCGGTTCCTGCAGCCAAAACCCGCACCTGAGGAATTTTGAGGTCATAAGAGGATGACTGAGAAGGTGAGAGGTCCCTGCAGGCCACCTGGAAGTTTCCTTTCTCATAGGCAAGGGACTTTGACAAAAGTCCAGCAGCTTCCAACAACCTGGGTATGTCTTTAAGGTGCTCACTAGCCTCGCTGCTGGTTTTGAGTTTGAGGAGGGCCCCGAAACTCTTTTTGGAATTCCATGAAGCAGATCCGTTTTTGAAAAGGTCAGTGGGTCTGGAGCTGTGGTTATGGCTGAGAGGTGACTCTGGGTCGCTCTCCAGATCGGCCTCCTCTTTGATGTGGAGCGAGTATGCAAGAGATGAGGAAGGCTTATAACGGTTGGAGTGGCCGATATCCTCCCTCCTCCTCCCATCCTGTAGGCTCCTCATAAACAGCCCGACCTGTCCGTCCGCTCTCAAGGATCGCCTGATTGGATGGAAGGAAATTGGGTGTAAGCAGAGCTTGCACAGTGCCTTTTCTCTCTTTTCTAAAGGAGGATGGGTTGGGGAGGGGAGGATGTTGGCCACTCCTTTATTTATATGACCTTGCCTTGGTAACATCACTATCTCTTACAACTACTGACGATGTTGGAGTGTGGGTGACTTTTAAGAACAAAAAAGGCTCGAGTGCGAAAACTTTTTTATTTGTTTGCTGTGATGATTGTTTACAAAATTTCATCAACATAAGAAGTAGGAAACAAAAAGAAGAGAAAGGGCAAAGAAACAATGAAGGTATAAGCAAAAGGAAGGGCAATAAGTGAAGTACATAAAGGTCTTCCCATGGCTCATAAAGCTTAGCCAGGAGGAGGGATTATTTGTCATTGCAATAAGGCAGCTTTGCATGTAGCCAGTAAGGAGGGCACAATAACTATGCCGTACAAAATAACCAATAAATAAAGCTCATGACATTTTATGTGTGACGTTACCACTGAACAAGCACAGCAATAAAAGAGTAAGCCAGCAGAGGGTGGTTGTGTGCATTATGCTCATAACCTGGCTATTCAAAGAGTGATCACAGAGAAGAAATGCATATTTTATCTAAAACTCTAAAGCTAACTTGAGTCATTTTGAAGGTGTATTTGATTCAAACCATACATATATCTCAGGTGATGCTTGATTTCAGTGGGTGCTTTCACGACATTGACGAGTGCATGCTGCAGATTACATTATCAATAAGATGAATACAGGAGGCGGCTCTTTTCTGCGAGAACTGATCGTTTGTTTTAAATGTATTCAACTCTCAAAACCAGCAGAAAAAAGAGAATGCCTAACCATTGGTGCTTAATTAATCCATATGAAAATTTTATAAAAAGGCACATTCAAGACCAGATGAGAGATCACTGAGAGGCTCTGGCTAACAAAGAAGAAGGAGAACCACACCAACATATGGATATTAACCTTTATATGAAAAAAAGAGTTGTAGTTTCAAATGTTTGTTTTGATTAAGAATGAAATAAGATGGTAATTTGCCCACAGAGAAGATCCTTTAAACTCTCTTTGCTCTGCAGACAAATGTGGTTTTATTTTTAAAGGAATCCTGTACGACATAAAATATAGTCTTACCAGCATAGAAACAAAAGAGCTATCCTTCACTGAGTGAGAAACCTGTGATATATGTGATATAGCTTCTTTTTTGTTACTCTAATGTTACTTCTGGCATAAATCATTTCTGTCCTCGGGGCCTCGGTTTAGTCACAAACATTAATGCTACACAAAAACATGACTGCTGATGAAGGACTGGGTTCTACAAGGATGTAGAGAAAAATCAACTCACCCTTTGATCATGGGTGTGGCTGGCGAGAGGCAGGGGCTTCGGACAGGCAGGTTGTTGCTATGGCGGTTCTTTTTGATTGACAGGTCAAGAACTCCATCTGATTAAAAGATGAGGTGAGAAAAGCGGGAATTTAACATCAAACCGACATGAACCTTTCACTGGAGTGCAATAGTCAGTCGTCCTGTTAGAGAATCAAGCAGGGGGTGATACTACCTTGGTCACTAGGCATGGCCAGGGGCTTCTTGATGGTGAGGTCAAGAGGAGCATCCTGGTCAGCCATGAGGAGCTTGCTGAGGACGGGGTTCTGGTTGTGTGCAGGCCCAGTCTGGGTGGGAGCAGGGCTGGTAGAGGGAGTAGCCCCTGAGATCAAGGGCAGGGTCGGCCGGCTTTGGTCAGAGAGAGGCTGAGAATCTGAGCAACTGTCCTGAGAGGAGCTGGTTTTTGAGGTATATTCGGCAGCAAATTGTTTGATCATTCTTTGAAGGATCTCTCGAGCCACTACTGGAATGTGTGGGTCCGAGAAATTTGGCACATCTGGAAGGAAAAAGCAACAAGGTACGACTGTGAGCTGAGCTACAGGTGATCACGTTAGCTCGGCGTTTGTGAGCAGAAGAGAACAAAAAACAATACACTTCAGATTTTTTCTTGAGAAGATAAAAACGAATTCAACGATTCACAGAAGATTCACACTGAAATAACAGCCTACAAAAAGATGATGGATGTTCAAAAATCTAAAAATAACTCTGTGACATTACAATAAGTCTGGACTTACCTTTTCTGCTGAGGACTGCATGGAGAAACTCCTCAGCTTGCTTCTCTAGTCTGCTGATTGTGGTCTGATCTCTAATCTGGAGAGGTTTTGGGGTATCTTCAAGACCCTCGTGGCCCAGGCCAATTAAGTGTTCCTGTCAATTGGAAAAAAAAGTTGAATTTTCTGTCCTTCGGAGTTTAGTTGGACAAATCCATGACTATAAAAAACGAGTTTAAATTAATGTGAGAAAATCCAATTCAATTTGTTGTCCTTTCTAGCTGAATAGAATTTAGAGTGAATTGAAGAAATCATGAAAAAGTTTTCTTACCTTTACTTTATCTCGTCTCAAACAGCAGAATAGACAGTTCTCATCAAACGACCAGTCAGACACTGCTGAAGGCTCAAAGTCTGTGGACACAAACACATGAAAGCAATGAAATACAAAAGTATAACAAAGGCGTTTTTCCTTGGAATTAAAAAGTCTTTTTTGAAATCACAAAAATGTCAGTTTTGTTGGTGAAAACTTTTACTGATGACATGGTTAATACCCTTCTTCTGACTGGTGGGTGCAGCTTGTTATTTTTTTTAACGGGAGCTTTAGCTTAAGAGGAGCCTCCAAATGCGAAATAGTTACACAAGTACACAGGCTTTGTTGAGCAGGCCACAGGCTTATATACCACTGAGTTATAGACTAAACAAACATTTGTTTACGTGAAATTCTGCCTGATTTTTGTTACTTCTTTTGATTCCAATTAAAAAAGTATTTTTCAGGAGTTTGTTTCTGTCTCCACAGTATTGTCCAGCTTCCTCATAAAAAGATTGTTGGACACTTGTAGTGTTTTATATTAATATTTTCAACTGACAGAAATGTAATGACTTAATTTTAGTTACTTTGTTTTGGTGAAACTGGACATCCTCGGCTGATTCAGTTGAACTAAGTATTCAGCAGTCCTCTTTCCAACTGTTGTTACATAAAGACTTTCTACATTGATGGTCCTCTCTCTGTAAATGTAATGGAAACCCAAATAATGCCCACTATTGTGTTACTGACATCATGCTTTATAAAAATGTCTGTACGACACTAGACTTTGACACTGGCCCCACACGATCCAAAACACCAACTTTACAGCAACACAAGGCATCTTCTCTTCTGCAGCCAGAGGGGCTGTCTTATCGAGTCAATGTAGTTGGGTACCAGAGGGTACAATGCAGCAGTATTGTCGTAATAGACAGAAAAAAAGCAGTTTGTTTAAACAATTCTCATACGCACATAATGGCTAATACAACTATTATGATTATGGAAATGGGTTGTGATTCTTACCTTTAAATAATTTTAGGTCTTGTACCAGCTCTGGACCAAACAGACCTTCAAGAATGCTCTCGAAACCTGAGAAGAGACATTAAATATTTAGTAAAGATTGTTACTACCCCCACCACCCCAAAAAAAGAAAAAAAACATTATATCATCAGAAAAACATGAGTTCATATTAACACCTGATCGAGGCTTGCTTCTCAACCCAGCAGCAAAACACAGACCTAGTGAATCAACGTCTCAGACAATCAAACCTCCCTGAGGGCCCAAATTAGTTTATGATACACAAAAATAGCGACAGCGTGCTTTACTCCACACCGCTGACATTTCCTGTGATTATATCTTTTCCATTCACCCTGCCGTGTCTTCCTCTGTCTATTTCATCTTGACAACCCCTGAAAGCAACCAAAGGCTTCAGTTAAAAAAAAAAAAAAAAAAAAAAAAAAAAAACATTATCAGCTTTCACCCCAGCTTTTTACTTCCAACACTTGGTACATGCACTCCGTCCTCCTGTTGCCAAGCAACTGAAGCACCTAAAGAGTTGGGAGTGACTGCATGTTGGTACGTTAAAAAGAAACAGGACTCATAGGTGAGAATATAAAAGTATTTAACACCATGCTAACAAATCCTGAATTCAACCAAAAATGTATCTGCACAGTTTATTCTAGGGAAGTCAACACTTAGACAACATACAAACATTTTTTATCCTACAATAAGGTTGACATCAAAATAAGTGAATTACTGATGAGATGACAGTGTCCTACTGTCCCAGATGTTTCATATACACAGTATATCAGTCTGCACACAGCTGCACAGCTGAACAGCATTAACACAAAATGCACAGTGTGCAGATGCCTGCAGGTTTTGTGTCAAATCCAAAACCCCTATATGCATTAAATGGAGAAATCAAGCGCTAAAGAGGTCAAAGGTAACATCTGTCTACTCAACTGGATCTTGATGAGAGAGACAACTGCTTAAAATGTGCTGAGCGATAAAAGCGTAATAAAGACACACATTTCTAAGCATTTAAATTAACACAATACATGCTTGCCAAAAAGATACATAAAACACTGACAATCACAATTATTGCGCTACGCCTGTATCAAACGAAGAAGTTAAATTAACTACTCAGTGATCAAACTTCCCATCAAAACAAAAGGCCTATTTACAGGATATTTTCACAGATAACAAGTGAGAAAAATATCAGCTTACCATCCACTCTCTTCCTAAACTCACAGTGAATTCAGTAAAAGCTGTCATCTGTTAAAATGCCCTCGCTCTGCTTCCCCACAAACTCCCACCCACTTTCAACAGCCAAACATGAAGAGGGAGAGGGGGTGTGGTGGTGGGGGGAGGCAAGTGTTGAAACACAGGCTTGCCTATAGCTGCAGCGTGAGTCTGTTTCTGGGTTAGTGCACAGGACTTCAGCTGGAGCTATCCAATCCTATTTCTGAAATATTTCAGAGGCAGTGGGAGAAAAGTAGGTCATCCACTTTCGTTTGACAGAGCAGCGGCATGACATCAAACTACTCTTCAGGAATTACGGTTAGGGCATTTTCAAATGTGTCATACTGTAAACCATGACTTTGAGGCAATTTTAGCACGTTTCTACTGACGGAGCAAAGTGTGCTGCAGAGGCTGACGCAGAGAGCTTCTTGAAACACAACCATTTTGGGAGCAGCAACCTAAACTTAAAAGCGCAGGCTGCATGTATGTGCAATGAATGAAATATTGATAGCGTGTACAGCTGACATGCAAGCTCTACAAAATAAATGAGTGTATAAAAACAGTGAATAATGGCTGTCATTAAAATGGAAGTGTACAGAATATTATAACAGCAACATGTCACTAAACCAAGTGCCCTATACTTAACCACAGTTAACTAATTCATGGACTTGAAACACTGTGTTAAAAAGGCTGTAGTTTCTGTTTGAGAGAACATTTGCCATTTAATTAAGCTGAAGAGAAAATTAGGCCACGATTGAGATACATTTTTTCTGGTTTGATGAGTAGTGATAAGCCTCCAGATACAATAACAAGCAGAGGCTACAGAGGTGCAAAGTGATAATTAGAAAAGAAAAAAAGAGAGCCAGGTACAAGGTTCCACCAGGCTGAACACCTAATTATATTAAAACTTAGCAAGGACTAATGAAAAGACAGGACAAAGATATCAGGTTAATGAGCCTGACAGTCTTCATCTACAGCAAAAATTGAGGGAAAACAAGACTGCAGGCACTGGTACATGGAACAAACCAATGTGAGTATCGGGTGCATATCAAATCTGCATGCATGTTCCATTTAGGACTGTAGGAGTTAACTGCTGATGCCAATCATCCAGCTGTACAAAAGCAGGATGATGATAAAAGACTGTTTTGCAATTTGCTTGCCTTGTTTTGATTTTGTTCTGTTATTAAAATCTGAACACATATTCTGGGTTTTCTACAGCATGAATTTAATGCTTTGACTGTAGCTGCGGGAAAGGAAACTATTGATTAAATATAAAGTTCATCATTTTTAATAGGACTGACAGACTTCATTGATCAATCTCAATGCAACAACTAGAAATTCACACATATTATTCTTTTTAACAACATACTAAGATACAGTATTTTTACATTCATAAAGCAGCCGATGCTTCTTTCAGCCTTCTGTTGCCACTATGAGGAAAATTGAGTAATTGGGGTGTGTCCATTTGTATATGTACTGTAGTTGATTTGCCAGTGAGTAATAGCTGAAATGTGGGGCATCTAATCCGCCTTGCAATTTGGGTTTTTGAAGTGTGGCCAAGTTTGATCCTTGGTGTTTTATTTTTCCAGTGAAATTTAGTGATTATTGAGTCTAGAGAGTTGAACCAGGTGGAAGTGGGATGGGTTGGGATCATTGAAAAAAGATCATTTATTTTAGGTAGTATTGTCATTTTAATTGTTGCTATTCTGCCTAATATGGATTGTGGTAGCTTCATCCAGCGGTGGAGGTCGTCATCTATTGTTTTACGTAGTGGAGCACTGCACTTTTGAACGGTACTTTTCACGTGTATGATTCAGGTCTTCAATGCACTTCAATTGACTGATTGATTGTCATTGAGGAAGTTCAGAGTCTATTGATTTTTTATTTAACACAGCTAAACATAGGGTCAAAGCAACTACCACTAGCAGAGGCAGCACCTCCATGTTGGTTAATAACTGTATACCGTTGCTTCCATCAGGCTGCAGATACAGCCTACATAGGTCATCTCCATTTTCAAGACCAAAATACTCCCACAAAATGGTCGTTAACTGTTGATGGTCAGCTTTTAATCATAATTAAAGAATTAACAAAGAGCCAACATTTTAACCCTGCAGGTGTAACGTTTAGGGGAGGCCATGGACCAGGAAATGTTCTCACCGTTTCTCACTTTGGTCTTTAAAGTCAGATTGGTCACCATTGCTTCGTAGGTGGACTGCCCCATTACATGCCTCTGTTGTAAATCTCTACTTTTGTCACATGATAGGGGGGTGAAATATGACTCCCTCTTTTCTGTGCTACAGCCAAGCAGCAGTCTCCAGTCTTGAGAAATGAAGCCTGCGCCGAAGTGCTGAAACTGCAGTTCCCCGAGCGCCGGCTTGAGTGTAGCCGTAGAAGCATTGGGAACCACAAAGACACTAAGCCAGAGGAGCCCATTATCTGAGCAAAAATAAACACATTTACGTGGTTCAAAAACCGGTTTGGTTCTGAATAGCTCAGGGCTCCCACTGCACCTATTGTACAGGGAGTTCATTATTTTGTAAATCGTTTGTTTAAAATATATTCAGGTAAAAGATGTGTGACTCAGAGGCACCGACTTCACTGACGTGGGCTCACGGTACGAATTTGTGAGGAGGATATGGCGCCCACTGCCTCAGCTACAAATCTCTGCTTCACAAACAAACGGATGAGATCACCGACATTACATTACAGCGTTCAGTTTCTGACTGTAGCATCCACTTTCCCAAAAAGAAGTATGTAACTCACAGTAATAGTACCACAACACTGCGTAATACCAAAAACTACAGCGAGCCCCACTATAAAAATGAGTATTGAAAACTTTAAACCTCAGTAAAAATGATTCAGTCAGATGCTTTGTGAGACTTTAGCAAAAACAAATGTCAAATAATTTTCAGGATTATTTGTAAAACCTGTCTCAGAAAATCTTTACTGTAAAAAAATAAGAAAAAATTCAGGGCTACACACAAACCACTTTGGACCAAAAGCAAAAAATATAAATACGTAAATATATATGTCACACAGATGCTGAAATGATGAATTTGCCTTCAGCCTTTTGCTGACCTACATCTCTAGCCTATCAGAGACAGGGAGGAGAGGAAAGATTTGGAGAATGTGACTACCTTGCCCTTTACACCAGCACTTAGAAAGAGAAATCCCACAGATCTAGGATCAGCTTAACCTTCCTAAATCCCAATCTTAACCTATGCAGTACGTCACTCTGAATTGAACATAATGTGTGATAAATCCCTCTTTACTGCTTATTGCTGCCTGTTGGTAGTGTAGGCAAAAGGTCAATCTTATTTTAGCAGACTATGCACACGTTTGATGTGCAATCACATGGCACAGCCGGCGCGTGCTTATTATGCATTCAAACCGACATTGTGAGACTAATGGAAATCACAAATGTGTGATTCAGAAGATATAATCTAGTTATATATTCATGATCATGTTCCCAAATCTCTGCTGGAGGTACTATGACCGTGGACAGTCCCTTAAAATAGAAGGTGAAAGGATTCTGCTCAATTGAGGAGATGACGAGAAATGCTACAGGGTGCTTCGGCAGTCTAGGGAAACGTGCGCAATTCCTCTGGATCTTTGAATCTTGTATTTTTTAATTACACATAGAAATAAAAGCTGTATGCATGAGCATCATAGGTGCTGAGTTTATCCTAAATTATCCAAAATTAAAGAGAGCCTTGACATGTACAATGAAAGATTTTCAAAGCTCAAACTTTAAATCTCATATTTCATCTGAATTTTAACCTACTTCTTCTATCATTCATGCCTTAAAACATTATCTTGAGAAAAAAAAAAGCATGAGTTGAGTCTCATCAAGCGACTGCAGTGCTCTATCTTTTGGATGACCCACCCTTCCCACTGCCGCTTTAGTGCTGAGGATGTACAGTGCTGCATTAACCCTCACTCAGCCCATCCCCCACTGTAGCTACTGTACACATGCTATCTCACAAGGAGTGACCACAAGCTCACAGAACAGGAGCTTCCCTAAGCCCCATATTAGTTTGCTGCCAAAACGAACCTTGCTTATCTGGTACCTCTGGTCACAATGAAACAAAATACAAGAAGGATGTTTAGATGTTCTTTTCAGACTGCATCCTGTTGTAAAATAAGTCAAATACTCAGACTGTGATGCTTATGAGACTGTAATTTTGTATGAATAGGGTCACTGATATCCCTGAGCAATATTCTATGAGCATGTAAGATGGAGCTGAGGGCTGAGGGTGAGTGCACAGATGACAAAGTTGCACAAATTAGTTGAGCTACAGTACATGGTTATTTTCATCCCCATCGAGCCCATCACACAGAGACCGAGCCTAAAGCCCGATCATCTAAAAAGCATCAGAGTTACCAACTATGCTATTCACAAAAAAAAAAACTGGAAAGTCAGACACACTAACATGCATCGCAGTGCTTGAAATGTCGTAACACATTGTTTTAATTACAAACAAAATACAGTCGTTGGATCACGCTATACAGAGGGCAATGAGGTGGCAGCTTTGAGCAGCATCTATAGCGGGGAAAAACACACTCCATGAATACTTAACGTGATCTGATGCAAACTGACAGTCAAATGATGTAACACAGCACACAGCATAACTTTGAATAACAAATATGAGACCACTATGATTTAAGCAAATATGAAAAAAAGAGGGGGCACGCACTTACATGAACACTCAAGCACACACACGGACATACACACAGTCAGAGAGGGAACATTTAAGATAAAACCATAAAGGCTTTTAGCCGTGTTGCGCAGAATGTTAACAAACCCCAGCCCTCTCTCTATTTAAATTGGGGAAATGTAGGGCAAGGGTCCATAAGAGGGGGCATGCTGAAGCAGAAAATGGGCCAGATGAAGTTTAAATTATAAACAAGACAATCTGCCTAATGTCAATACTTGCTTGTTATTTGTTTGAGGAAATCTAGGATCCCACTCACATGTCAAAAGCAACCGCGAATAACTGACATGCCATGCATTTCAAATGTTCTCTGGAAGTGCTCGGGTCCAAATTTTTCCAAATCCACACAGAAGACACGCTTTCAGCCACACAGTTTGCATGTGGGGGCTGTTGGTCCATGAACACATGTATGGACAAACATACAGACAATTGTTGCTGCTGTTCTAGAGGACAATTGCTCTTGTCTCTGCCCCACAGTTTTACTGCTCACATTAAATACACAAAGACAAAATGTTCATTTCAGCGTCAGCAGGGTGGTGGTTGGTGCGGCGGCGTGCAGCCCTCTCCACCAAAAAGCCAAACAAAAGTGTGTCCTTGTTGTCATGGACAGAATATGCCATTCTGCAACAAGCAGGCTGGTGCTGTTGTCATGTACTCTGCAGCTATACAATTAAAGCCCAAACACAAGAGGCATTTGTCAATCATAGGGGAGGGGGGCTGAGTAACCGAGCTGTCCTGGGTCTGTGGAGACGAGTCAGAAAGCTTTTATACTCTCCCCATTTTCTTTTCAATGACGAGCTCACAGCCCACCTAGTATTGTGGCCTCTTAGCTGAATAAGTTTGCTGTGGACCGCTGAACATTGTCATTATAACCCACACTATCAATTGTATGTAAAATAGATGGTACCAAGCACCAACAGCAAACGCTGTGCTGTGACAGGCCTACTGTCAAAACAGTAAATAAGAAAACAACATTGCCTCAGGCGTCATAATTCAGAAAAATAACTGGTTTTGACTGACAGTACACAGCGGCTGTATAATAGTTGTAACTAGTCTGTGTCAAATTCTTTGCTCTCTCTCTCTTTCTTTCAATTTTGTTCATTCATCTAAAATTTGTAGGGCAGTCAAACTACTGTCAAAGTGGCATTTGAAGTGTCAGAAATAGACAGCAGACACTCTACTGAATGTCTATATTTACAAAGGATACATTTATCATTTATGGTGGAATCAAATGATGCCTTGATTTATGTCTATTTCTGAAACAAATATTGTAACAGAGAGAGTTAAAGCTAAATGTTGGTGCAGAAGAGACTTGGAGTTAATCAAAACAAAAAAGATAAAAGGTGCAAATCAATCAGAATCAATAGAAATATTGGCAAAAACTAGTTTGACAAATAGATATCTTGAAAATTCCACTACTGCACATCCCTGAAATTAAGGCGACTACTTTAAATGTCCATCTGTACTGAAAACTCAAGCTGGAGCAGCATCCGTATTTGTGTCGAACCAAAAGCCTGTCTATAAAATAATGAGATAGTCACATTATCAAACAGCTTTATGCATTGACTTAATACACCATTCTTAAAATTCTGTTTCAAAGCTGTCTTGAAATTTCAACTACCGCTCTTATCGTAGACCTTCTTGCTCCTTTACGGCTGAGATCCAAGTAGCTGTAAATGAAGCTATATACATTCAACAGTTTAATCTACTGCACCACCACATTTTGTCAGCAAGAGGTAATCTTTATAATTGTTACTAACAGATTTAGTGTTGCTGCTCCCTGCAACTTCACATCATTTCACCGTTAAATTATTAAAGTTTTTTTTTTTTTAACTTACAGTACACGCCTTGAGTATGCACTGCACATTTCAGTGGGGGCTTTGCAGAGCAGTCACTTCATGAGAGATTGATTTAATTTGACATTTTGAGATCAGCAGTGTCAGGAGTGGTGTTCTTGTTTTCAAATTAACCTCTGTGTCATGCAGTTCAAACCTGGTTTCCAATGTATTTGACATTTATGCCAAATATCACAGGCGGTGAAGGATGTTAGGGTTCAAAAATTATTAAATATACTCACAACTACCACAGGTTTAAATTAATAAAACCTCTTTAACAATTTAGTATTTTCCTTAAACTAAAGAAACAGAATTTAAAAGCATGTACACAATAAACACACTTGATATTCACACACAGGAGAGGTTAAAGAGAAGGATATCATCTGTTTGGGTTTCACTTTCGATTTCTTTGAACGCTTCATTCATGTGCGGCTCGCTGCTGTTAAAGCCGTACAGTGATAATGTTATTGCTGTGACACCTAAAAATAAAACTGGCCACTGAAACTGGGGAAGAAATACCAAACAGACATAATTTGGACAGGCTACAAGATTGTAAATTGTTTGTCGGGCAACTTTGAGTTATAATATACCATATGTACAGACTAGAGTTATGACGACCCTCTCAGTACTTTGTCATCAGTCACTATGTACACAGTTTGACAAACAGTGTTTAGAATTGCTGCTCACTCAAGAGAAGACTCAAAACATATGCATACAATGTCCTTCTACAGTGACATGAAGGATTGATTGTATGAGTGCGGTATGCTTTTGTCGGCATTTTCAACCATTCCAACATTCAAACACACCTACATGTGGATAAAGAATGGCATCGATATCTGTGCAAAGTTTGTGGAAATCCATCAGGTCAATGTTGTGATATTTCTCAGAAAAGTCAACCATCACTGAGCTTCAAAAAAGACATTTTTGTGTTACACATGGTACAAATATATCTTCATATCTGTGTAAGTTTAAGGTTAAAGATTGCATAATGGGGTTAAATCTTTTAACAGATTTTATCCCGCACATGCAGGTTTGGGATGCAAAATATCGGATGGTTGCGAATATCTTAGTGCCAATATCGTCAAACTCATTTTGGCCATTACAGGTACCCACACAGATACCAATGCTGAGACAAGTACACCAGTGGCCTGCAGAAAACAGTACTTCCAATGGTTGTTATCGAGAGCTTTGAATTCACTGAATTTTTTGGCCAGCCTTTTTAACTTTGGGTGGTCGCTGCCATGTTTCTTACCTTCGTTGAATGACTGGTCTGCATAGGTGATGACACTATATCTTACTTTTAAGATTTTTTTGTGCTCAAGGATGAAAGCTCCTAAGATGCACAGGCAAATTGGCAGCATTACCGAAGTGTTGTTCAGCTCCTCCCGGACTTCAGGCATTGCAATAGCTATTTTTCCCATCTGTTTCCAACAATTAATAAAACTTCCTTACAGCTGAAGTCAGTTGCTGGCACAAGTAAGCTGTCATTTTGTGAGCTTAATCGATGTGTCCTCTTATCAACACAACTTTACATACAAACCCAGCTGTGTAAGAACTCTACAAAGAGGCCATTTCTGCAGCGTTATCTTAGAGCTTTTATCAGATACTACCATCAGCTGCAGTTTCAAACTATAAAAATGACTAAAGAGAAATAGATAGCCATCAAACTTTTAGTGTTACATACATGGGCAAGTTTGCATAATCAAGGTGTCTTTGTAACGAGAAGAGCACCAAAAATAGCTTGCAAAAAAGTCCTGTCTTCAAATAAATGTTTGCAAACAGCTGCAAGAGTTAGACCGACTGGTATTGAAGCAATTCATACTGTTGGATTGCCACTGACGCAGATCCCATGGCTAATTAACCAGCTACCATCCCTAACGCGGGATTTCCACCATATCCAAAATGGCTCCGATCCGCAACAGCGCCAATTTTGCCGTACGCCAATCCCTACTGGATCCATGTACTGGATCTGATTACAGATAGCGAGAATCCCAAGAACTCGCAAGAACCCTGGATTCGCGTGCAATTGCACCATGACAAGTTGTCTTTAGCCACATAAGCTAACCATATAAGTAGTAGATTGTATCCTTCTAGAGGAGGAAATCTATTTCTGGACTTCTAAAATCAGCATCAACTCATCCATGGTGTCTTGGGGTGAAATGATGTCTGAAAACCTTTCACTTTTTGTTTTATTTTGGATGTTTTATTTTGTGTCTGTGCCCGACTCCCTTTTCCAGCACGGGTTAATCTGTGCTGAATTTACCCAGCATGCTCCGGCATTCGAGAAAAATAGGGATGTCACCAGCAATAAAACTCTTGTGATCGGTTGCAGAGTCCAGCGATCCGCAGCAGAACAGAAAGAAGTAGGTGGAAATTAACATTAACTGGTTACGATCAGTTACGATCGGTGGAAACAGCGTTTTCGTAGCCATTCCGGAAATTGTGGGTTACATTATTTCACAGGAGGATGTGGAGCAGACAAGTACACATTCTTTGCAAACCTGATTCCACAATTAAATTCAGGTGGTATCACATTTGCTTTTTGTTTTTAAAAGTAAAGCTGTGTCTGGTTATGCCCCCTTCTCCTTTGTGCATCAACACTGAAATAATAAGATCAACATCGTCATAATTTGAGCTCATTCTTAGCTGTTGTCATGGTGATGATGACAACGTACCACAAAATAACACGCTCAAGAGCTGTAATCACAATGGAGCAGACATTTTCAGTTTTGGTTAGCATTTAACCAGAGTCTCACACCAGCCCATGCCTGTATGTTGTTCACTTGGAGACATCAATCGATTCTGACATGAGTCCTTCTAACAACAAGCTTAAAAAAACTCCTTACTGGAGCTTTAAGGGGGCTTAAGAAACCGACCATCGGACAGAAGTTGATTCTAAAGTCATCGAAAACCGAAACGCCCCCAGCAGCAGAGGGGTCCCGACTACTTCCTGAATGCAGTAATGCGCGCCCCCTGGATACCAGTAAAGCAAGTAAGCTACATGTTAACTGAAAACATCTAACACGGTCATTTAGTTGCCCTCCCCCATCCAAAATACTGTATCATCACTCGGGAGCGCGCATTTTAGCAAACAGATCCCTTTAGCCGACGCAACACCGAGAGACACTCCCTTTAAAACAAGCACGGTGCCCTTTAAACGAACTAACGTTAACGTCTCACGATTAGATTAACTCAAGTCTACAGGTTGAATTATCCACGCAATACAAACTGGAGGGAGCTAAATAAGTAGAGTGAAAGTGTCGCAAACTGCAGCATTTAACTATATGCCGAGGCTAGCTGCCGTGAGTAGGAAGAGTTGAGGACAAAAAAGTCGCTCGGAGATGCCCGGAGTGAGTCCAGTAATAGCTGGTTATTTACACCGTCAACGCTCATGCAAAAGCGAAATTCAGCCTGTGAAACTGTTAGGTATGTAACTCGCAATGTCCTTACCCACACAATGAATGAGTTTGTGCCTCCACGAGTCAAGTTCCTGCCGAAAGCCGCGCCTGTCGATTGTGCATTGCTGCCTTTTACACTGACTCGCCATTTTCTATCGTTCTTGTCTGGCGGGCACCCGCACAGCTCAGCACGGGAAGAGGAAGCGCGCTGCTACATGAACGCGCGCCCCTGTGTCGAGCAGGAAGTCAGTCACAAATTCATCAAACATGCAAAGTCCCGTAGAGAGGACTAACAACACAACATGTTATTAGCTAACAAGTGTTTATTTTTTTGTTTGTTTGTTTTAAATATATATTTTTGTAGCATTTTCCCATATTGTAACACCAAAAAGGATCACACAATGACCAACGACCAGTTTTTATTAATGTTCACCTATGTAGGGGAGAGTGGGGTAAGTCGAGCCACCTCCTGTTGCTTGGAAATGGTAAAAGAAATTGATCATGTGACCAAATATTTGGAAGATGGGCATCAATTCATGGAGTCTGTGAGGTTTAGAAGCACATGGGTGAAGGGGTTAGACATTTATTTCCAAAAAAACATTTTTCCCTCTTGAAAGTGAATTTAGTCTGTCATAAGTCTGATTAGAATTGTGTTCAGACCAAAAATAAGATCATTTTAAGTTTGTTTTATACATCAATTGTGGTATCTATGAGCTACAACATGAGGGCTGTGTCCAAAATGGATCCCTAACCCCTATATAGGCGACTGTATGGGGGTTGGCGCCATTTTGAGGGGTGTCCAAAACCTGAGTGATCAATTCCAATGCCCCATATAGGCGACTCAAAATTTCCCATAGAGCATTGCAAAATGTAGTGACCATCCGATGGTCACTCGATTTTTTCGACCATGCATTGCATCTCCACGAGAATTCAAAGATGGAGGAGCCACTGACCGTTCAATCGACAGAACCCGCGCTCTATTTGCCAAAACTGATAACATTTCATTGGTGATGTATACCACAGACAGACTCAGCAGAATAAAAAATGCAGACAAGAAGCAGGTTTATTGCCAAGAAGGTTTACACATACCAAGTATTTAAAACCATCAAGTCACTTGGGGTAGATGTATTTTCAGTCAGTCTGTCACATTGGCTGAGCTTCATCCAAGGCAAGATTACCAATTTGGCAGACTTGTCACAGACCCCCAGGGATCCCAAAGCCCTAGGAATTTAGTTTATGATCATCTAAATCGAAAAAGTTGGGCCCCTCAGCAAATCCTACGCTATTAACCGGTGCCTTGAAAATGGGTCTGGAAATAGCAATGGTAGCACCAATTTGATGCTTTCTGACACCAACATTAAGATGATTTTATTTTGATTGTCTGTCTGTTGGTAGTAAAAAAAAATACATGGTTTAAAAGACAAGTTAACACTGATTTGGGGGATTTCCTTATTTTCTATGTTGAGATTGCATCAGCTTAAATTCATTTTATCTTCAAAAATGATTCAAATTTTCAGAATCAGATCTAGCCAGTAGTTTAACTGGATATTTAGGGGCAATAGCAGCCTTTCAGATGTCAGTTCAGAGCAAATACATATTCAAGACATTTTTTACCCCTGGTAATATCCAGCAACTTACCTAAAGACACTTATCTTAACGTACTTACAGAAATATTCAATTTCCACAAAGTCTGCTCAGTATACCACTCTTCACATTTGATCTATAGGACCATTGAGTTAGGGGGGGTTGACCTGAGATGCCTGCACACTTGAACTGCAAGAAATATTCTATGAGTACTCTTACCTCAATATTAGGGATACACCGATCTGATATTTGATATCGGTATCCGTCCTGATACTGAAGAAAATTCTAGATCGGGTATTGTGACAATGGGCCCGATGCAAAGGGGCCGATCTATTCAGTCTAACTCTATGCTATGCACCATGAGTGGCATTCACAAGTAAACATGGTAAGCGGTTGCTCACATTGTTTTTAAAATGGAGCGAGCAAAGGGGTCTGCTATCTTGAACTTTATCACAATCCCTCAGCCTACAAGCTTGACGGCCATTTGCAATACGTGCGCAGTTAATGTTCCAAGGGGCAATGGTAAAACTTTAGGTTGAAAGAAAAGGTAATTCAGTGCAGCTTCTCTGCTTTGGAATTAGATCAGTATCAGCCGATATTAAACTGTAGATATCTGTATCGATATCAGAGATAAAAAATAGTGGATCGGTGCATCCCTACTCAAAATTCACAAAACCTCTGTGTTTTTCTGTGGATTGTTACACAAAAAATTTAATCCACAAATATTAAAATAATGGCAATAGTTATAATAATTTAAAATCATCCGTATCACTTAACAATTTGATTTAAGTTTACAGCCAGCCTGCTGCTAAGTAGGCCTAATTTGGCACATAGCCTGTGGCTGTAAAGTCCAGGTCTCGTTCTTACTTATTATTTTCTCTGGTCTCTCTTTCTGCTGTGACTCTAAGTGCTTCAAAGCGCTCCATCAAAATGTCTTTCATAAATATGTCTGCCTCAGTCTCCAAGCTTAAACACACTAGACCAATCAGATAAAGTTTTCAATGAGAGCCAACGACGGTCAGGCAATGAAACAGCACGGCGGTCAGGCTGCAGTGACGCTTTTGTAGTGATACCTTCATGTGCTTCCGGAAATTACAGTTTCATAAGCTGAATAAGTTATGAAACGTACACTAGACCTAAAAACGTCTGAAAGAGGAGGATATAATCTAACTATATCTAACTAATGAGTCTTCAGGGGTTTTAAGTATCTAAAAGACTATGAGGTTTACATTTGTTGGGTTTAGACCCACAAGGTAATCGCACAAACATCATTATTTCAATGTAGCTGTCGTAGATTTGTTTTCGGATGGTCCTTCCTTTTATATAGACTGAAGAAACGGTCACTATAATGCTATTGTCGTAGTTTTTTTCTTCTTATATCCGAACAGATATCTGAAGCCCAATTCAAAAAACCTGTAACACTCTTTAACAGAAGTTTTGGAGTTTACGAGCAGCCCCTTGACGCCACATACGTTTCCCAGCCGGTGTTTTTATATTTTCACGCCCTTACGGTTTTGTATTGTGGTTTCCATGCTTCGAAGACGCCTAACGTAGCGTACAGGTAAATATAATAAAAGATACCTATCGACGGTGTTGTCACTTTTCTTGGATAGGTTATTTGTGTTGCTATAGGTTACAGCCGACTTTAATACGACTGTCATGACAGCTGTAGTCCATTCTGTAACATATATGTGAAAACTGCCGTAAACGGAACATATGAGCGTTTGGATTCAGATATTTACATTATGACTGCCTTCGTCTTGAAATGGGCGGATGAATTATTAATTCAGTGGCAGTCGGCAGGTGTAAAATGACACCTTAACAGCATTTGGTTTTAAGCAAGAGAGCTACCGCACTATATATATATTTGTAAGATCACAACATCACACATGATTTTTTTCACAGTAATGCTACAGTCACGTTTTCCAGTCTCTTTCTGAGCAGAAGGATTTATTTGCCTGGGAGCTTTGGTGGGTTTACACCACAGTCACTCACATACACTGGGTGGTAAATAGACTTACTGGGTCCAGTCCTGCCTACCTACACTTCAAGTTTAACTACAGGGAAATGCACTAACAGTTGAGTTTTCTTCTCCTAGAAATCATTCAAACATCTAAACCTATAGAAAATAATCATACCAAATCAAATCTAAAGAAACAGCCACTTATCTGGAAGTTAAATGTACTGAACAATAACCTCTGTGTAAAATAATTATGGCATATTGTATCTAAAGAAATAAACACCAGTCACATGAAGTTGCACAAGTTCTCTTCTCATTTATCTGATGAAAGGCTTCACCAAATTACAGTTTGTATGTGTGTAAACACTGTAACAGGCATGGGTGGTCTGCTTCGGGCATTGTTTTGCCATAAACTCATCCAGCTGTCTGCAGGTTTCAGAGGTTTTCCTCAGGAACATCTTTGAAAACGTAAAAATATCCCATGATATGACAATAACTACCTTTTTTTAAGTATTGTGAGGGACATATTGTCTGTATACAGAAAGGTAAGACTCACAGATGCCAATTTCATTCTGAAAACATCTATCAGTTGTATTTCCTCTGTTTTAGCTCGTCACCAATGCTGATGTGTTCTGGATTTCTTTTTCCCAAACCTGTGTTTGTGTGTTGAACAGGGGTGACATGACTCTGACCAGAGGATCTTTCACCTACGCCAGTGGGGAAGAGTACCATGGCGAGTGGAGAGAAGGCAAGGCAGTACTCTTGTAATGCCTTTAGTATACTGTCTGTGCTTTATCTTACGTCTGTCGAGGATGTGATTGTCTCATTGTCTCAGCAAAATACTAACAAACGCTTCTATGTTTATAACATCAGGATTAGATTCCTTTGCTCCTCTTGGGCAATAGCACTTTCCACAAAACTTTTTTTTAATGAAGTGTGTTAATTAAAAGTGTTAAATCATTATCACATCCACACAGGTGCACAAGGATTACATTTCACCGCGCTGTAACAGATGACTGTTGTTTGCCTATAAGTAATTCCTGCATCATTTGCAAAGTTAAAAGCCCGTAGAGCTTCAGTGCATACTTCCTTTTTTAATACATCATTTGGAGTCGATATTTGCCACCAAGGAGACCAAATGTCACAGTGGTAGTAAATGTTCTCCTCTCTGTACATGCAAACCAGTAAATTACATCCAACAGTAACAGAGAATCATGCTGTCAAAGTTTTAACCTGTTGCAAAGAGCATGAGGTTGCTCGCACTGCTTGAACTCTCCCCTACCCACACAGACATCAATGCAAGTGACATGCAAGCTAAAGCTATTTAATCAAATCCCAATTAGCTAGCATTGGCAACTCATGACGGGCAGAGCCAGATTTACCGGCTCAGGATTTGTCCAATCTTCTGGATTAGACTTTGGACCTGTTTGGGAAACCTTGGAGAGTCCTCAGTCAGCTGCTTGTGAAAAAACAAAATTAGCCATCAAACCTGGAGGAGGACCATACGGGGGAGTTTATTTTCTTACAGAGGGTTGATTTTAGCTGCTTTTAGGTTTGCAAAGACATGGATTTGGTCCACATCATTTCAGCTGTTATAATCTTTTTGCCCCGCAGAGGTAATTTCGCCTACTTTTCCAGTCCAGCAATTACAGGTGTGAACCCTCTGACATGATTATGAGCGTCAGCGGTGAATCACAGGCTACTGGGGAGGGAATGAGAGTTCATTCGTTGACTGTCTGGATCCTAAAGTAGAAATCCCTGCTAAAAAACCTGCTGGATTAGAGCGGTGTAATTCCCGCCATGCAGGAGGCAGATGGGACTCCTAATTCAGAGGTAAACCTTTAGCTGACAGCGAGGGGGGAGGATACTTAGAACTGAGCACGTACTGACTCGTGACATATGTAGAAGCTCAAGAGTACCATGTGAATATAAAACACTGAGCTGCACTGGAAGGTCAAATGTCATGCTTTTGCAGTAGGTCAGCCATTATCCGAAAAGAAAAAAATCCATAAGAGGTTAAGTGGTGATGACACGTATGTATATAAATGTGTTCGAGCAGATGGCATCAAAATCTCACATCAAGGCCGTTCGACTTGACGGGATTTCTTATGTTTCCATCATCTGTTTGAAGCTTGATCCTTCACTCACTGATGGTGTGCAACTTTCCAGGTCGGAGGCATGGAGTCGGGCAGCTCAAGTTTCAGGATGGAACCTGCTACACCGGCCAGTTTGAGAACGGACTCTTTCACGGCTCCGGTGTGCTGGTCTTCACAGACGGATCCAGGTGCCCTAAACTTATTATCACTGTAAAAGTAAAGCAGACGTGTTAATCTCTTCACACCACTCTGTACAGCAGATGAACTTATTATATTTGCAATAATAATATCATCATCATACTAAAGAGAAGCTGGTGGAAACAAATGCAAGTAACATAAGTGTATAAAATGTTCAATGTGTGCCTCCTTTAGCTAGTAATTGCTGTATAAAACATGGATGTAGTCACACCCATTTGTTTCTGAATGAACATTTTGAAGCCCAATAATTTTAGATGACATATACCCAGACTCAATCTGACTGAAAATAAATCTAAAAAAGGCAACGAGTTGGAACTGAGGCAGACCAAACAGCTGCAATGCACCCACCAGTCTGTCAACTCAACTGTGCTCCTAGTATCAAAGCTGTGTACCTAAAAAATAAAATAAAAAACTTTATATCAGGCTGTAAACATGATAAATTTTGTAGTAAAATTGGGATTTTGCACAAGGGATATTATTGGGGTTCCTTTAAGTCTGCCTCAGTTGGACACTCAAGGAACCTTTTTTATTTGCACATCCATATTGACGTCATTTTTCAACACCACAGGAGCTTCACTTGCAATTATAGATAATGGCATATTAGATTTTCTTCTTTTCCTTTGGATTTTATTGAATTATTGGTAAAATTTTACATGTTTTCCTCTCCTTCTTTCTCTCTTAAGGTATGAAGGGGAATTTGCACATGGGAAGTTTCAAGGCACTGGAATATTTGGTCGATACGACGGCATGAAGTTTGAAGGAGAGTTTAAAGATGGACGCGTGGAGGGATATGGTAATTCTTGTTCTTTCACACCGCCGGCTTAGTTTGTCCCTCAGGATATTCCTTGTCTCACTGTGATTGGTCTCTGTGTCTGTGCCTCCAGGGTTATTGACTTTCCCAGATGGGGCTCATGGGGTTCCACGAAATGAGGGCTTGTTTCAAAACCACAGGCTGCAGAAGAGAGAGAAGTGTCCTGGAGTTGTGCAGCGAGCGCAGGCTTCAGCCTCCAACGCTCGCGCTTTGGCGCTTTGACTGTCATGGACTCGGGAGGAGACACGGTCATGGTTCCAGCACCTTTCAGGAGGACCTCAGGGATGTAACCCCCTTCAGATCTCTCTTTTCTCTTTCTCTATTTTTCGATATCACTTTCTATTTTTCCTCTTTTGCATCTTCCTAGCTTAGCCTTCACAGTGGCTTGAAGTGCACATACAATTTCACCAAACAAAGGCTTTCTAAATGGCAGACTTGAAATGCACAACACCATGAAGCACACCTTTAACTTCTCAAGTCACGTAAACACCAAATGCTGCTGTTTTTTTTCCCTTTTTCTAAGTATTGTACTCATAAATAGTGTCTTAGTGTTTTTCTCTTGGATAGTTATTTTTCATACACCCAGTAACCAAACATAACAGACCCATCTGTTCATCTTTGATACTTTAAAGAGGGTTTTCTGCACTGCATTAGTAAGAGGGTTGGGGAAGTCTGTTTGTCTAAGATGCAGCATCGTGCAACTTAAAGGTACCCTGTTGAGTTTTTGAGCGGAGGTAATGCTTTAGAGCTACAGGTATGTTTCTACAAATAAACCCTGTTTCTTTTATCATGCATGGAGATGCATAGAAGCAGAAATCATTATTTCTGCAGGAGTGTTTGTGCAGTCATGCTGACAGACAGTTGGTGCTACTTTTAAAGAAACAGCAATATGCCCACAAAGCCAGTGAAAATAATAACGTTTGTTTACAAATTCTGAGATTCCTAGTACAGATGCAGCATCTGTAGCCACAGGGCAGAATTATTAGGAGTGGTATTTCTATTTGTATTTCATCTGGTGTAAGCTGTAAACAGGGAAACAGACATTTTTGGAGGTAAAGTATCATGTAACAATGATTTGGCTTTAACTACAACCGGAGCTACAGCCCTGACTGGTGGGCTGCTGTACTTATGCTGCGTAGAGTTACCTCAGAAGTCAGATGTTGGAGCTGAAAATGACGTCACACCTGAGTTACCATCGTTTCAGTTACAAAGTCTGAAAAAAGCAAAATCGGAGGTGGAAACAAGATGGCTACATCTACAAGAGTTATTTTAGAGCTTGCTTTATATTCGGACAAGGCAAGCTCTAAATTAACCTTTGTAGATGTAGCCATCTTTTTTTCAGGCCTCCGATTTTGCTTTTTTTCTGCTGGGAACTCAAGTGTGACGTCATTTTCAGCTCCGACATCTGACTTCCGAGGTAACTCGAACGCAGCATTAAACTCAGACACAACATATGACCACGATGTGAGGGTTATGTCACTTTATCATCTAGTCGACTAGCTGCTCACATCCCTAATTGAACTAGAGCAAAATGTAGACAAAGTTTTGCTTTAAAAATGCTTTTATAATGATCAGTGGGATTTGCCAGGCTTTGTAAATATGGACATTGTTTTTATTTTATTTTTTTTGGGGGGGGGATATAAATGTGACAGTCCTAAAAACACTCCACAGGGCACCTTTAAAGTCCCATCACAAACAAACACAACGACACTGCGAGCGCGATCTTTCTAGGAATGCATTTTGTCACCAGTGTGTGTCCTTTAAATGGGTCAGTATTCACATTTGCCTTAAAGATGTTTTGGTACAAGAGTGCAGTTCAAGGGTGTCCATCTGAAAACAAGATCACGCACATTGCCCTCTCTTTCCCCTCTCCTCTGCATCATTCCTCCCTAAGGTGTCTGTCATCTTAATGAATTTGAGGTCTGTTTGAAGAGTGCCTTCACTCTGTGACACGCGTTGCTAAGCTGGTGCTGAGTTCCAGCTCTCATCTCTTACATTCAGTCCAGCAGCTCCAATAAACTCCCATAAACCTCGCTCTCCCAGTGGAAATCAGAGGAGAGGAGATTTAACTCTGCAGTTCATCTGTATAACCTGAAAGTAGATATTAAATAATCCTAATTAATTGCATCAAATTAGGGATGTAGATCTTAACTGAGGCAGCTGATTGAAAGAGTTTATAATCAGATATATATTTAACGGTATTTGATTTTCTTACATGTGTATTTTCGTGTTTGTTCTGACCTTTCAAACGGATTCAAAGATAGCTTTTTGATCGGTGTGTAAAAAAAATAGTGTTACTGAATTATTTGAGACAGAGTGGTTGAGACTTTTCTGAGAATTGTATAGGATACAGTCATAGGCGATCTGTGATTACAGATGATTTCAGCGTACTTGAATAGTTAATAGGCCTTACGAAACATACGTGGACGTGGCTTGTCTAGGGTGGCCTACACAGATCTTCAACCAAAGACAATCAAATGATAGTGTAGGTAAGGAAGCCTGGAACATGAACAGGAGTTACATGTGCTATTTCTTGCAGCTGAGCATTAAAGACAAATCAATACGGACAAATCCACTTGGGGCTTTAGTGCACAATAAAAGAAAAAAACAGAAGATTGAACAGGGAGCTGATATGAGATTTTGCTGTAAATATTCCCTATAACTCCAGTCTGGATTCTTGCAGATATTGATATCTTTATTATTTTATTTTAGAAGGGTAAAAAAAAAATCAATACTTAATACTGCGAGCCTTTGCTTGCAGTTAAAACTCCCTTTGGTACAGCAGTGTGCTGCAAAGTGCAGTCAGTTAGATTAAAGGTAATATTAGACGTGAATCAGACCACTGCATGCGTCAGGACCACTATCTACTAACACACAATGATACTTAAATGTTTGCTGTATGTGCAAAATGTGTAATTTCCTGTATTTCACATCATGTTATGGTTGTTGTTTTATTTTCATCTCTGCTATGTGAGAGACAAAACCTGCTAAAGCCTTCTTTGCCTACACACACCCATGCCTGGGTGGAATTGAAATCACCAGAAACCCACATCCATTTCCAACTGGAAACAAATGGTGCTTTAAAAGCGTGCCTGCCCAGACTATCACCTGGAGAATTTCATTGCCATGGTTACCTTTTTTTCTGTGACTGTAGAATAATGCTTTGAGTGCTCTTATAGAAAACTGCACGGTATCTTTTCATCGTATGGGTAAAAGTATGGGTATGTATAAGGAATGTGGTGAAGAGTTGATGTGTTTTAATAAAGAAGTGTTTAAAAAAGAATATTGTTCATTTTTGATGATTATGCCGCCAACAAAAGAGATGAAACGTGAGGTATTTGGAGCTGTGGGTGGAAGTTTTGGAGGGTGAAATTGTGCCTCTGGTTTTTGGATGCTGCACAGCGTGAAGCAGAAGCTTCCAGTTTGCCCATCCCCCTTTCTCCCTCTGTACCACTCCTGCCTCTTGCAACAGCACTGTACAACAGCATACTGCATGTAGTTCACATGGAATTGAAAATGACAGAACCCAAGCAGTAAAACATGCATGAGTCATACCAATTTAAGAGCTTCAGTCAGCCTGTTTTTGCTCTGATGCATGGACTGTAATAGCAAAAAATAATCTTTATGAGAGTCAGACTGAAGGAATAAAAGACAGCACTTCCACACACTATATTTGACCTTGTATTGTACATGGTGTGAGTCTCCACCAGAGTCCTTGACCGTTACATCGCCTTGCTTGCGACAGGAAACGTTGTGCTCTGCTGATAGTGTATCTGATGAGTTAATAACATGAGCAGACTGGAGGACTGCGCTTCAAAACAGCATTTTACATTCACATTAGGAGTGCAGTAAAGCAGAATATCAGTCATTGGTGGCTGCGTAAAAGGACTAACAGTTCAAAAAGCAACCAGCCTGTAAATATTTGAGCATGCTTTGGGTTTCCTAGGTGTGGACGCCCATCCTCCCCAGAGAACATTTGAGCCACTGATGGTAGAAGGAAAATATGTCCACTGAGCTCCCCTTGAATCCCTGACTTTAACAGGGAGCATGCCGGCCATCTCTGCTATCATCAGCTGACGTCTCAAACACAGCGCTACTGTGCGCTCCGGCCTTGTCTGTCGCCTTGATATGAATTCAACACAGCTTCTGTACGGCACTAGCTATTAATGTTATTCCACTTCCAAAAGCATCTCAAATCAGATATGAATCATCCATGAGAGAGCAGCGAGGATCGCGGAGTTCTTCAAACGCTGATTACAAAAGTGAGGTTCAGAAAGTAGTCCAGAGATTTCACTCCTGTTTCAGATCATTCTGGGTCCAAACAGACATTTTCTAGAGTTCAAAGTCCTCTCAGGGGGTCAACAGCAGCGCTCTGATGGGAGGATTTTGTTGGTAAGCAGATACAGTGTGTAGAAATGCAAATATGATGTACACAGACAGACTGAATCTTAAACCTGAGACAGAGAGTTGTAAAAATTGACCTTATAGAAAATAAACTGTAGGAGCAGATGTGCGGCATTTGTACCATTTATTCTCCTCTTGAAGGATTTTCACGGGGTTCAGATTCTCGTAGCTTGTCCAGTCTCTGTAGGGTCTCCATGATGTCACACTGCCACTGTTTTACCTGCTGCACCGCCGTCAATCCCTCCTGAAACACAGGAAACCAGGACGTACTGTAAGTGACTGATATAAGGATTGTGATCAAGTATCTCTCAAGAAAAGGAGTTTAAAATTTGCCTGTTTTCTTCTATTAAATAGAAGTGAAGTTTCACATACTGACTGGGCTTTGTTTTGAGATGTTGAGATTTTTTTTTTTAAATGGGACAATATGCACAAATGAAGATTTACATGTAAATACATGGGATTATGGCCAGGTTGGGTGGCTACTTTCAAAAACACACAGAGCGTATAAAAAGACAAGCAACCCACATAAGTTACTATGGTAGCACAGAATGGACAAACTAAAAGCATACATATTTTTATGTTTTCCGAGCAGCAGTGCATTAGTTGAAAGAAGAGGATAAAGACTTGACAAATGGAGGGTCAAACTTATCATCACAGGAGCTTCTTGTCCTTACAGGCCACCGTAGTTTCAGTCAAAAGAGAAGCAAGGGGGCACTCTAGAATATGGCTAAATGGCTAAACGTACCTTTCTAGTCTTTCTTTTAACTAAATTTTATGTCATTAACTCTTATTTTGCTATACATTACTGTTGTTTTTATGTCGTTTTATTTATTATTTTTAAATTTCATTCTATGTTTCTTTGTTTTTAGATTTTAACCTTAACCTTCAGTGTTTCCTTATCTTGAGTTTTAAAATGTGGTGGGAATGAAGGGGTTGGGTTCGGGTAGATTTGGGTGTTCTTTGTTTCTATTATTCCTTTTTCTGTGTAAAGCATTTGTGCTACATGGTTGTGTATGAAAAGTGCTATATAAATAAAGACTGATTGATTGATTGATTGATTGATTGATTGATTGATTGATTGATTGATTGATTGATTGATTGATTGATTGATTGATTGATTGATTGATTGATTGATTGATTGATTGATTGATTGATTGAAATATTCCCCTGCACACTGTGCCTTTAAGCTGTTTCCTTATTTTCAGTTGTAAGAATCAAACTAGCTGCAGGATCCATTTACTTTCGCCATGGTCATGGTATCTGGGATTCTCTGAGCCAATAGGTGTCAAACTATTATTTCAGAGTTAACGTCTAGCTTGACTAATGTGCATAACAAGTGGAAAAACTCACATGATTTTTTATTTTCATGTCAGCGCCTGCGACTATGAGCATCTTCACAATCTTGTATCTGTTGAGACGCACAGCATCGTGCAGGGCCGTATCTCCTTCCTGACGCAGAGAGAACATTTTTTTACAATCACAGAAAAGATGAATCCCAGACATGACACACACTTTTGAGACGCTTCCTACCCTGTCCCTGCAGTTGACTTTTGCACCACAGGACAGCAGGTACTCCACAATAACAGTGTGGCCTGTTCTTGTTGCTACATGTAGAGGAGTGCTGTACAGCTGCAGTGAAGATATCGGCACAGAGAGTGAGTAAGTGAGCAAATAAACCCACCTGTTTGAAATTCAGGCTTAAATGAAATGTATATTCACCTTATCTCTAACGTTCAGGTCAGCCCCGTGGCTTTTCAGGGCTTTGACAACTCCCAGGCTGCCCCCCCTGCAGGCCCAGTGTAAGGCTCTCGAGCCCAGCTGAAACACACAAGCACCGTGGTCCCATCCTATTAATAGTGCTGACTGCAGGCCACTGGAGGCTTCAGCTTTAATGTGTGAAGATAATCCCACCAAATCTCATCAACATCTTAGCAAATAAGCAATGTGCCCCTCTACGTCTTACCTGATCTTTAAAGTTGATATCAGCTCCTTTTCCTAAAAGCATTTCGACGACTGCAGTGTGTCCCTGCAGAGAGGCGCGATGCAGCGCTGTCCTCTTCAACTGGAAAATTTAAAAATATCATAAGCAGAAACTCTTCAGTGTAAAATTATCTGTTTCTCTGCAAAATACGGGGAAAAAATACCTCATCGTGGACATCAGGATCTCCACCATCAGCCAGAAATCTCTCTATTGCACTTCGATTGCCTTGACTTGCTGCATTCATGAACTCTGCTGTATCCCCAGACCCTACCTGCTCAGATAGATACACAGAGAAGATACAGTGGGAAATGAAAAAGAAAACCCATAATGGTTTCTTCTATTTGTACTGGGCACAGAAAGATAAGAAGCCTAAAAATGTTTCTCACTGCAGGGATTTCCACAGACATCCTCGGTGAGATCGTTGTCTGGATACTCTTCTTTCTTTTGTACATCCCCATGATATCCTCTTCTCCCTTCAGATCCAAAATATCACAGCCAAAGTCCGAGGAGATCACCCTCACTGTCTCCTGTGCCTGTAAAGTAGCAGAAACATTTATCAAGATAAATAAACCTGAAGAAAATGTGAACAAGAGAGGTGATGCTGGTGAGGACACTGTGAAGCAGAACTGCCAAGTAGGCTAAGGGGTGTTGAGAGCTGGGAATGGTGGTGTTAATGTCAAAATAAATTCACAGCATAGTGCAAGCTCAGCTAGGTGATAAAAAAGTAACACTTCTAAAGTACTAGCCTTCATATGGTGTTTATAATTGATCGTAAAACACACATAATGCATGTAAAAAAGTAACTGCAAACAATTTAAAGTGTTAGCTGAACAGTCATGACTTTAAACAGCTTCAGCCTAAAAATGCGATTTCAATTTTGATAACTTCTCTTGATTTGCAAAGTTATCAATCACCTAGCAGGAGTGAGAAATACTGTTTGTGAATTTAAATGGCAAAAAGTACAAGAGTTTAGAAGAATAATATGACAAATAAAGCAGATTTACTGAGACACTGAAAATAAAATGCTACTCATCACAGGCCAAAAACACGTCTTCACTCAGAGATTTGGTTCTTTCTTGGTAACAGCTGAATTAAATATCCCGTCTAATCCTGTTTCATCCAAAATAATCTGACAACAATGGAAAATCATCCCAAATATCACTTTACAAATGTTTCTTCCACCTACCTGAGGTTTCTTGCTGGTTCCTGATTTACAGTCCATCAGGTTGTCCGCCCACGTTTCAGCCTCTCCTATCCTGTTTCTGCGTTAAGATATAAAAGCAAAATCAACTCCCTTCAGGTAATTTAAGCCTCTAAAGTCTTTAGAATTAATTATTAAAGCTGACGTGAAATAAAAGCTGCAGTAAACTCCTCTGACAGTGGGTTACTTTATACTGAAGTGCTGCCAGCCCAGTGGCTTCCTGACTGGAACGCCGGGTTCATGGTGGGACATTGTGTTGCTCCAGCAAACAGGTGTGTGGTTGCACTTTGGTGCGTGCACGGAAGTATGTTTGTGTGTACTTACACCCGTAATAAACTCTCTCTCACCCTCTTTCTTTTTCTCTCCGTCACACACACACATTTATATACAAGTGCATTCGCTCCTTCATGTTTTTTCCATGCCGTGCTCTGGTCATAAGCTGAGGGCGAATTCATTCCATCAGCCCTCGCTGCTGCTGCCACAGTGTAAACTCCTTTTTACAAGAGTACGACCCTCACACACACACACACACACACACACACACACACACACACACACACACACACACACACACAGATTTGGAGGATTATGTTACTTATAATGGCTCTGTTTGGAAGCACACCAACCAGCCTGGACTCTGGTAATTTTAGTCATTTTATAGGGTAGGCTATATCAAACTACAAACACACATGCACAGTATAAACATACACTGTTTAAAAGAGGTTATATTGAAGGTATTGCTTTGCAAACTACCAATTTCTTCCCACTGGAAGAAGTTCAACAAGAGTGAAGCTTCTTTAGGGTGAAATCTGGTTTGGTAAGAGAGGCTCTGGGTCCACATGTTATACATTATTCACAAAAGACAAATTTGTACCGTTGAGGTGCAGTTGGAGGTGTTTCACTGAACAGAGTTACTCAGTCTGTAACTTCAAACCAGCATGAAGCAACTTCTGAGTGTTTTCTTACAGTTTTAGCAGGAACTTATGCTGGATTGGACTCATTACATTCATGTTTAGCTAAAAACTAGATGTCGTAAAACCAAATATTTGAAAGGAAAACAACAAATGAAATCCAAACATAACCACTGGATGCAAAAGTAGCTTTAAACGAGTAAAATGTCTGGATGAGGCAAAATGAAGTTCACATTTCTTCTCCATATTGACAATTAAGGAGTTTTTGTTATTCATGAAATAAACAGAAATTCATACTGATGCATTTTATATGATATCAAAAAGCAAACAAAACCGTCAGTGACAAGACTGACAATTGTTATACTGTAAATTTTATACTGTAGGGTTTAGGTGTCGACTGAGCATCTAAAGAAAAGCTCAAAATTTAGATTATTAAAAAAAAAGATCAATTCAACCGACAAAAGCCAGAGTAATGAGGGTTTTTTCTTATCAGGAGACATTATTACAGCATGTAAAGGACAAAATAAGCAAAGACTGCTTTGTCCACAAGGGGTGCCATAATTGACACAGACTGAAAGTTACTCACAGAAGCTTTATGTGACAAAGACATGCAAAATAAATAAACTCAGTGAATAAAACTCTAGGTTTTCTTGATATATATACTGTTTCTACTGAACTGCTTTGCTTATCACATCTTTACCTTCTTTGGTAAATGTAAATAATACAAACTGCTCCTGGAGCTGGAGATAGTGAAGAATTTGACAGTCAAATCAAGCAAAAATGTCAAATCTAAGTGCATAAATCACTAAAACAACACAAATGTACAAGTAAAATTATGAGCAAGAAGGTGATCAGCATATATGTCTATTGAGTTTTTCCTCTCAGCTCTGGAAATGTGAACCATAACACTGTCTTCAGTGTTCAGAAGCTCATTTCACACTCTGATACTGTGAACACTACCTCTCTCTAGCTGACATTTGCATGCAGTGGTGTACTTGTTGACCGCTTGGTCACACACACACACACACACACCATTATATACAGACACACCTGCCAGAGAGTGACGTAGGGATGTGTTAATGGTTAACCGGAGCTATTGAAGAAGGAGGCAGAGTTCAGGGAATAGGGAAACAACAGCAGCCATTTTAGCTTCACAGGAGACACACATCTTGATGATTTCCCCAGAGACATGGAGCACAGGCTAACACACAGCTAACTCTCAGTTTATGATTGTGACAGGCTGGATGTGAGTATTTGTGTTCATACTGATCAACTTTGAGGCTCTTATGATGCTTTTTAAAACAGTGTTGGCTGACATTGTGGTTAAAAGGATACACATGTTCACAAGGCTCTTTAATGCTTCCATCTTGTTATTGAGACAGTTGGACTATTTCAGTCTCTGATCTTGAGGAGAAATGTGTATTTCAGGTGGAAACACGGGCACCATGGTGACAGTGAATCACTTGAGTGTTGAGGACCCAGACGATAGCTTTCCACTGCTGCCTGAAGCTGCAGAGGCGGAAACACCCACACCTGTCTATCACAGACAGCGAGGGGTCACCAAGTCTGAGTCAAAGGAGTTTTTCCTCAGCAGGTTTGTTTCTGCATCTCTCTGCTCATTTTATGGCTCATGCTATGATGGCGTGCTGTAAAGTTGTTGTTTTTTTTTCTTGCTGCTTAGGCGTGAGAACCTCGCTCTCAGTCTGGTGCTGCTGATTGGATGCTACTCAGCTATTCTGATTCCTGCTTACTTCCCTCTAGACAAGCCAGCAAACATCAGCGATGACTCCCTATATCCCAGAGATCTGGTACAGACACTCATCACAGCCCTTTAATGCCTGAAACCACAAATTATGGCCAGAAAATTCATTTTTTTTGGAGCTGAAAACCCCAAAAAATCAGAATGTCCTTTAAATTTAACAAATATATTTATTTATCTCGTTTGATACATTAGAAAAACATTACACTGTTTTTGCAAACTGATAAACCACAAGAGGACATTTTTATCATTTAACGGACTGTGTTAACCCTCCTCCTGTGTTAGGGTCTGCACCGACCCGTTTTTGGTTTTAAAAGCTTAAAAGAACCACTTAAATTAGTTTTTTTGCATCAAGACTTTTTGACTTTGTCAGGAAACTCTGTTTCAACAAAATAGAAATAAAAATTTGAATTTACTTAATTATAAAATGCTCTTATTAAATTGATGGCACTTGTCATTTAAGGGTTGCTGTTGATTTGGTTAGATTAATATTTAATAATTAGAGCAAAAACTGAAATCATAAGTGCACTGACAGTCAGATCCTCTTCCAATCATGTGAGATTTAGGAAATTCTCATTTTGTCATGTATTTCCCTGCACAAAAAAACAACGTCAGGCATGTCCAGACATGTGAGATCAATTCAGTATAGATATCTGTGTGAGGGGTATACTGACAAAGAAAGGCCCAGAGGACCACAACAAAAAATATCATAAGCAATAATTTCATGGATAATGAAGCCGAACAAGTTAACTCAGAGATGAGAACCAAACTGGATGATAGAGAATTGTTTTTAGTGTAATTTACAGCTGATTTAAGACACGGGTCAAAACTGAGCCTTAACATGGTGGGTGCGTAGTAAAAGCTAACACAGGAGGAAGGTTAAGGTGTTTTTTTAGTAATTTGTTGATCATATTGATTGATAGAAGTATCATAAAAGTATGTAGAGATCAGAATTCATCTCTGCTATGCTTACCTCTATATTTACCCTCTTTCAAGGTCCTCCTGAACCGCTCAGCGTCCCTGCTTTCAGACCCCTGTCAGCCGCTCTGGTGTCTGAACCACCTCAAGCCCCTCTCCTGTTCTGCAGACCTCCTGGACATCCCTGTGTTTGTGCAGCAGGACAGACCAGAGTCCTGGGATCTGCCCCCTCCTCTGGGGCTGCAGGGCAGTGAGGAGAATCTGGCCCTGGCTCTGGCTTCCTTGCCCCACCCTGACCTGCCTTCATCCCTGAAGAAAGAAGGCGGCTGCAAGCGATGTGTGGTGGTGGGAAGTGGAGGGATTCTTCACGGGAGCCATCTTGGATCTCATATCGACCAGTATGACATCATCATCAGGTACATACACCAATGATGGAGACGGTCTAAACATGGATGTGGTCTCAGTGGCATCATCAGTCTGTTTCTGAAACACAGTTTTGTGGTGTATCATAAGAAGTCGCCATGTTGGAAATGCTGACTCAGCCCAAAGAGGTGGAGTCGAGGGGGGATTTTAGCCTCTCCGCTAACAGCTATAGTGTCCTATGTGCTGGGTCAGTCAACTTTGTCATGATGCAAAACGTGGGACCTTATCTTCAAAACTAAAAATCACAACGTGCATGATTTTAAACTAAGCAAGACTTAGGCTGCGTTCGAGTTACCTCGGAAGTCAGATGTCGGAGTTGAAAATGACGTCACACCCGGGTTCCCAGCGTCGGGAACTTGCAAAATCAGAGGCCTAAAACAGGATGGCTACATCTACGAAAGTTATCTTAGCGTTTGCTTTATATTCGGACAAGGCAAGTGCTAAAATGACTTTGGTAGATGTAGCCATCTTGTTCACTTCAGATTTTGCTTTTTTCCGACTAAAACACTGGTAACTCGGCTGTGACGTCATTTTCAGCTCGGACTTCTGACTTCTGAGGTAACTTGAATGCTCTTGGGGCTCTTTTTTAATGGTTGTGTATGTGGATTCTGTTGCTTTTGTGGCAAGCCTCTAGTGGACACTCCTGGAAGTGCAGTTTTAGTGATTTGGCTGCAGTTCTTGAGACCTGCTGCTGTTGCTAGGTCAGTGACAAGTGCAAACAAGCAAATGCCTTATCGGCGTTGTAGCCCATCTAAAAGAGGGGGATTCCTACATTTCGAACCTGCTCAGTTTCTTTTTGTATGTTCTGGTGTAAAACTGATGGGTTTTGGATTTGCTGCTTCCGATTCCGACAGTGAAATCCTTTGGAGCAAACACTGGCAGGCAGTATTTGATTTTGCTGCTGGCAGGCTCAGATTGTTTTCCATCTCTGAAAGGCAGAGGAGTTTGTTGTGCTGCAGGAATGACGACTGTAGAATAATTGTGCATTGAAGACGGTATCAAACCAATCCTGGGGCTCGTCATGTCCAGTTCTTTAAAACAGAAATATCCTGGAACAGGCTGAAAACATTCGCAGAATCACTGCCAGAAGACAGAGCACAGCTTGTGTCTACCTTTTGTTTTTCCCTTAAATTTCAGCACATCTTCATCTGCATACTTTTGTTCAAACAAGAAAGGACCACCATCAAAAGCAGACTTGATGCCTCTCTCCTACCTTCTTCCTGCAACATTCTCTGTTTAAAGACAGTGGGGTTTCTTTCCACAATGTTGTCAGACACTTACTTTGACAGTTTGAGCCTCACAGCAGCTAAAAAAAATCATTATGAGAGGGCTGCCCCCAGGAATTACACTGAGGCCATTACAGCTATGTCTCTGACTGAAGCTTGCTAACTCGAACAATTCCATTTTCTAATCTAGAAGTCATTTACACATAGACATGAGAACAGCGGCGCTGTGCGTATGCCTGTTAATTTTTAATTATCTATGTTACTTTTCTATTAACGTCTCGCACCAATTTAAAAATGGCTGTAGAAACCTTTAACTCCTATTAAATTCAGATTTCTTTTACATCGTCATTTTCACATTTCCTGATTTCACTTCCATAATGGGGAGGAGAGAATCTGTGAAAGGTGTTAAAACTTCTAGCCTCTGGGCGCTGATGGTAAAGCATTTGAAGCGCCCCACGTTAAGTCGCTGTAGTTTTCATCGCAGCAGTGGTTTGATTTCCTGCCACGACACTTTGCTGCATGTCTTTCCCCACTCTGCACTTACTCTTCAGCGGTCCTATAGATTAAAGGTACAAATGCTAAAAGAAAAATGTGTTAAAAGAATAACTTCCCACTACTATGTAGCACCAGTGTGCCGCCAACTGATTTACATCGCAGGAGTGGGAGCAGCAATGAAGGAAAACTGGCTTTACTCTCATTTGTTTGCCTGAGAAAGAAGGATGAAAATTTAGGGAACGTTTGAGGCATGATGAAAAAGACACTACAGTCATATCATCAAAGATTTTCATCTCCGTCTCCAGGCTGAATAATGCTCCAGTTCCTGGCTTTGAAAGAGATGCTGGTACCCAAACCACCATCCGCCTGCTGTATCCAGAGGGAGCTCCTACATCTGCAGATGAATACAAAAACACCACAATGGTTGCTCTGGTGGTCTTCAAGAGTCTGGACTTGGCCTGGCTTACTTCTGTCATCACCAAACAGCCTCTGGTGAGTCTGTAAGCATCCTAACAAGCGTTGCTCACAGAAATGGTTTGTTATATAAGCCATGAGAGTGTCAGCACAGTAAGTCATGCAGCAAATGCTGCTATCACATCATCACACTCACTGCCTCGCATGCTCCGCACCTCCTGTTCAAACAGAGCTTCTGGTCCAAAATGTGGTTCTGGAAGGAGGTGGTGGATGATGTTCCTTTGAAAGCGGAGAACTTCAGGATCCTCCACCCGGAGATAATGCACAAAACAGAAGAAGTCCTGCAGAAATATGCTCTGAAACACGGAAATGTAAGTTCTAGTGTAACGTACAAACTGCAGTTTTACACCCTTTTGTGATGTGCTCCTGCATGTTTTGTTGTTTGATTCATGCCAAAAAAAAAGAAAATCCCAGAACAATGAACCATCTGCTTAGCCTGACCCGGCCTGAATAATAAATGCCTGACTGAAACATTATGACTGTTGACTTAGCTGTAGGCTGAGGATTTGTGGAGTAAAGGTGAGCAAACACCGCTTTTACATCCAGAGATGAACAAAAGCTCTTTAGTTGACTAATTTAACAAAAACAGAAAACACAAACCAAAAACACTGAGGTGTACTTATGAGTTTGAGTGAAGTAGAAACCAATAAATAGCTTAACTTGAGAAAAAAGTAAAAGCAAACAAATCTAACAATCTATCAGTTTTTTTTCTGGTCATTTTGGGAACATCCTTCAGAAGAAATAATTGTTGTAAATTGAAACTTAAAGGGATATTCTGGTGTAAATTTGATTTAGGGTCAAACACACCATAACACCGAGTTAGACACCCCCTCGAGAGATGAATGTTGCCGACCGCTTCCTTCTCTAGTTATACCAACTTCAGTAACGACCTCAGGATAGCAATACACAGCAGTCTGAGGAGACATGAACAAACCTCAACCAAAACACCACTCTATAGCCACAAATAATGCTCAGAACAGCACCTAACTTCATCAACAGGACATATAGGGTCCCAGCCATAGTACTAGACACCAAACATCTTTTTAACTTTGACTAATTTCTTTAGCAAAGAGACTAAACACAACTCACCTACTCTCTTCCAGCAGCCTCTTGTTTGTAGAGAAACTCGGGCCAGTCCATTAAGGACTACAGCGGGGTGACGCAGCTCAAGGAACAACATTTATGATCATTTCTTCATGGAAATGCAATCAGACTTAGACGCTAAGGCAGAAGAACTACTGTGTCTGCAGTTTAAAATAATTATTATGTTGATTATTACTTCAAGGAAATGATAAAGAAATGATCATAAATGTTCTTCCTTGAGCTGCGTCACCCCGCTGTAGTCCGTAGCGGACTGGCCTGAGGTTTGCTACAAACAACCGGCTGCTGGAAGAGAGTGGGTGAGTTGTGTTAAATCTCTTTGTTAAAGAAATTAGTCAAAGTTAAAAAGATGTTTGGTGGCTAGTACTATGGCTGGGACCCTATATGTCCTGTTGATGAAGTTAGGTGCTGTTTTGAGCATTATTTGTGGCTATAGAGTGGCGTTTTGGTTGAGGTTTGTTTATGGCTCCTGAGACCGCTGTGTATTGCTATCTGCGGTCGTTACTAAAGTTGGTATAACTAGAGAAGCAACATTCATCTCATGAGGGGGTGTCTAACTCAGTGTTACGGTGTGTTTGACCCTAAATTAATTTTACGCCGGAATATCCCTTTAAGGAACATTTTCTCACTCCAAGTAGACTGTGCCCACTATTGGTGCCAGCGCAGTGGTGTTGGCTCTGCAGCTGTGTGACCAGGTGAGCCTTGCCGGATTTGGGTACGACATGCAGCATCCAGAGGCAAGGCTTCACTACTATGAGGCTGTACGCATGGACACCATGAAAGTACAGGTAAGCCTGGACTGACGACAAAACACTCATGTTCGGACTGTGGGGGTTTCTTCATGACTCATATAATTACCGTCCTCCAGGTGGTGCATGATGTCAGCGCCGAGAAACTCTTCTTGAGGGACCTGGTGGCTGCAGGAGCGGTGACGGACCTGACAGGAGCTCTGTGAGTCAGCAGCAGCTCAGAGACTGATGACAAACACACACTCCTTCACTCTTACTGAAAGCCTGACACAATCCTCCATAACTGCGGATAAGTGGGCCCTGCTGGAGGAATCCTGCACAGCATGGACTGACCTTTAAAAGCCTCACAGTCTCCAGGGTTGTCTCGAAAGGTTAGATAGACTTTGGATTGCAGAAACAGAAGCAAATTACAATTAAATTGGATGAGCGTATTTCACTACCAGCTGTGAGGAGTATCACAAATGTCAACTGTACAGAAAAATGTGCAAGAATGCATGTGAAAAAGATTGTGGCTGCGGTCAGAATTCTGTTCTCAAAGACCCAATAAACCAATAAACTGACGATTTTTGATGTTTATTGTCCCGCAAAATAATCAATATTCAGAGAGACATTTAGAAATTAACGTTTCATGTTGCTCATTCATACATTTTACAGCACGGGCAGAATCTGCATTCATAAAAGTGACTTTTTTTTAACAGTGAAAAACAAAGAAACAGTATAAAGTGTTACTAATAAATAGAAAACTGGTCAGAAATGGGTTTTCAAATATATATTACAATCTACAAAATTTATGGCACAGTTTTGTCAACACCTTAAAAAAGATGAAATATACAGTAAGTGCAAAGTTTTTTGTTAGAAATCATATTTAAGTACTTCTAATAAATACTTCAGAGTGAATGATTGATTCAAGGGTACAAAATTTTAAACAAATAGAAATTTTGGAAACATAAAAAACAGGCAGTAGACGTCATATAAATCAATAAAAAAGATAACACTTCTTTTTTTGCTTCTGCTCCTTGACATTAAAACTAATGTGCATGTTTGCTGCTGTGACCTCTTCACCTGTGTGGGTCTACAGCAGAGGATTGCGTGATGGCTCCCACAGTTTGCTCGCCAGCTGCCTGCAGTGCTGCAGGATGATCTCAGTGGGGATGACACCCAGATGGACCGTCAGCAGCTCGTAGCACTTCACCACTTCCCCCTGGTGATGCTTACTGTAGTAGCGCAGCAGCTTCCTGCTGGACAAACGGCTTTCTGTAGTCAGCAGCACTCTCTCTGGGTTCATCACAACTGTTTTTAACATGCTCAGAGGTTTACCTGTAGTAGTCCCAGGCCAGCATCCCGATGGGCGCAGAGTCATCAGGTAGGTGGGGGATGTCGCCTGCTTCTAACTTGTAGCCCTGTTTGATCGGAAAACACACGATATGATGTATTTCGTTCACATTTACTTTGCTGGATGTTGATAAATAACACAAAGGTCACTCACAGTGTCATTTTCAAACCAGAGGAAGTAGCAGAAGTAGAAGTCCCCGTCGCGTAACGTGACAGTGGAGTAACCCTTTTGGAGATAGCGGCGTGTTGTGCTGACCAGACTCCACACCTTCAGTATGAAAACAGAGAGAAAAAAAACAGAGGGATTATTTTTGGAAATAAGTTTCTTTGTTTTGTTGTTATCAATAGTTTAATGGGAGTGTCGTAACACTTACAAAAGGGCATATTTAGTCCACTAAACAGTTATAACATCCTCACCCTTGCTAGTCAGGACCAGAATTACTAGCCGGTTAAACTTATGAGTGATATTTTTGTTCCCATTGATCCAAATTGACAACCATATGTTGTTTTTAAGCTGTAATAAAGCCGATATATAGCTCTGATTGATGGCTACAGCCAAACTGCTGTAATCTATATGCATCTGTGCAGTGACCCAGCACTGATGGGACCTCACGGTTCAGCAGCGTTTTGACCTAGAAAATAGAGTGAAAGTTGTTTGAACGCTGTGTCTGGTTAAAGTGGCATATAGAAACACATGCATGTGGATGTTAACCTGCGAGGAGGAGGTGCTAGCTCTGCTGATGTTACCCACACTTGACATTGTTTTCCCACTGACTCTGTGATCTGGTGTTCAGCTGTGTTGAATAAATAATTGTGCTTAGTTTAAACTGCTTTCTTGGTCCTGACCTTTAGACTACCCAATATGTCTGGTGAACTTTGAGAAGGCCTATAAGCATGTTTCCTAGGGGGGCATGTGGGAGGTACGAAGAACATGGAAATGTGGGTCAACAGGGCTGTTGCTGTGGGCAATTCAGTCCTTGTTTCACTAAAGTTAGAGCTGTGTTTGCATCCTCAGCACAGACTGAGGCCAATTCAACTGTTTATGAATTTTGTACTTTTAGCCAAGTCGACTGGTTTTAATTTAAATTTCTGTTTTAATGCATGGGAAATTAGTCACTGTTGATGTCTACTGTCTAGCATGAGTAATGCAGAAAAAAACTGTTTATGGTATTTTTTAAGAGATATGGAAACAAGAGTATGAAATTTATTCAACTCAAACTGTTTTTGAACTGAAAGCAGCAGAAGAACCCGGTAAACCAAGACTTTAACGACCTGCGCAATTGGCGATTTATTCCACACTGAACAGTTTGAAGACACCTTGAGTTTGCTTCACCTTGCTTTTGATGAACTGAGCCACCGGTCCCTTCCCCAGCTCTGATGTGCTTCGCTCTGTTACATTCAGCGACGGCGCGATCATTTGACCGGTGGATCGGTCCACACAGATAAAATGAATGAGACCAGGGAAATCCTCCAGATATGTGAGATTAACTGGGTCAAGATCAATAATTTCAGGATAATGGGGCATGAAAGTAGAGACAGAATATTCATGTTATCCGGAGCCTTCATACATGCATGCACTTTGAGGAATATCTAGTGTAAACACCGCAGTGTTTAAAGATCAAAAACAGCATGGGTCCATAACAAGGAGAATTATTTTGCGGTCAGGATATGACACCATGGTGATATTTCTTTTACTCTTCACCAACAGGAAGTCCTTCCAGTCCATTAGTTTCTCTCTGAGACAGAAAGACAAAAACAGAGAGAGAAATAAGACACAGAAATGAATGATAAAGTACGCTGGTGTGGGCAGTTCTTTAACCTAATCTAGACTCGAACGGTTGATACTCACTGCACCATGGTCTGGGCTCGTTCCTGCAGCGTCGGGGAGATGCGTCGAGGAATGTCGGATGGTCCGGAGTCGATCAGGAAACACTGTCGGTAAATTCCACACAGCTGGGTCTTCATATTCTTACACCACGGGATGAGTCTAAACAAAACCACATATGTAAGCACTCAAAGTGGAGGTGAGAGTTTGTTTTTTTTAAATAGAATGGCCAGCAGGGGGCGGTAGAGGACTTACTCTCTGGTGAACCCGGGTCCTCCTCTGGAAAAGGCTCGGTTTTTGAACTCCGCCCAGACGTTTTGCAACTGTGCAGACTGGATGAGAACAAAACAAAAACAAAAGGAGTTTTTTATTATTATTCTGTTCCAAAAACTGAAGTGTTTTGATTTTTTTTAAACAATAAATTTAATCACAATTATTGTTTTGTAATTCGCAAGGGACTGGCTCTCTTGGAGCACAATTTTTTTATCTGGTGTTTCTTCCATATTGGGTATTTTGCTGGTGGAAACAACAAAAATGAATCATAGCTTGTTGTCAGTGGTGCCATTAACCATGGTTTAAAAGGCCCATTCCACACATACCTGTATATCACTGGGTCCCAGAGCTTTAATAAATTTATCCAGTTTGCTGCGGACATCGAATATAGTTGGCTGACCTCTGGTAGCAGAAGAACCTTCATGGCCTTCACTCAGACGCTTCTCTAGCTTGGCAAAGGCTTCCAAAAACTTGTAGACTGACATGGCGACTGCACTGGTGGGAATCTGACAAATAAAACATGTATCTTTGAGAGGTTCAGAGGAGTTTTATACAGTGTATGTGCCAAAAAGAATGTCATAAATGTACCTCCATCTGGCCACAGACCACAGACTGTCACAACAGAGAGGAGGCAAGGTTGAAAAGATGTGTGCATGTGAGCAAAATGAGGAAGTGAGCAAATATGGGGGCGTTGGCGTCTACAGACCTTAGTTAGCAGCACTAATGTGATCCCTGGCCAAAGTGGTAGGCAGTACATGGAGTGAGGCATCATGGGATACAGCCCCTCTTTGAGGGAGACCTCCAAGAAGACTCTGCGAGGGGTTGAAGGATCAGGAGGAGGAACTTCTAGAGTCTGCAGGCTGTCTTCTGCCATCTGAGGATGTTTTATCAGATCTTACTGCAACCGCTTCATATTTTTTTATACGATATAAAAAGTGAGAGTCATATGTTAAAGGGATATTCCAGCATAAAATTTATTTACGGTCAAACAAACCATAACACCGACTAAGACACCCCCTCGATGTTGATGAAGTTAGGTGCTGTTCTGAGCATTATTTGTGGCTATAGAGTGGCGTTTTGGTTAAGGTTTGTTTATGGCTCCTCAGACTGCTGTGTATTGCTATCCTGCGGTCGTTACTAAAGTTGGTAAAACTAGAGAAGCAAGCGGTCGGCAACATTGATCTCTCGACGGGTTGTCTAACTCGGTGTTTGACCCGAACTAATTTTTATGCCGGAATATCCCTTTAAGAACAGAAGATGAAATAAACCCTCACCTGGATGTCTGGGTCCACAAACTCAAACACAGGAGTACTTCCTCTCACTGGTTTATCTGCTGAAACATAAATATGGAGATAATGTCCTTAAAACTGAAAGATTTACCTGGTGAAATCCAAAGTGACAGGAAAAGTTGGGAGGTAAAACAGTTCCCCTAAAGTGAGGCCAACACATTTTGAGCTCTGAGCCTTTTACCCCTTCAAATAAAAATTTCTCACACGTGCTCTCTGTCTTATTTCAGTAAGGGGTAGGGGCGAAACGACAATACTGTGGCTCTACCAGCTGGTCCTTGTCATTTGAAGAGCTGCTCCATGACCTACCTGAGCTGCTGGAGTCCGTAGGTGAGGGCTCCGGGGTGTAAAAGCTTTCAGGACCAGAACCAGATGTGCTCTCAACATCCTTTTCCATCATACAACAAAAACAGAAAGAAAAATCATAAATGCTCAGAAGGAAACTCAAGAGCAGCATAAGAAGAGGCTGTGGAAGTTGCTGCATGTGTTTCCCTACCTCTGGACCCGGGTCATCCAGGTCTGTGTTGCTAGGATACATATTCTGTGCCATGATGATGAGGGCCAGGAGGTCTGAGGTGGTGAGTGTGCTCGCATTGCGGCTGAAAGGAGCAAAGAAAAAGCACGTTTTGATGCATAAAAATAAAACCTTCTGCTTGGCGATCAGAAAGACTAAGGTGTCAGTGTTGGGTGACATGTGGAGGGTGAACGTGTACCTGGAATAGAAGGCGAGCAGTTTGGTGTGAACCAGAATGAAAGAATGCAGCACCTCCTCCCCTGCTCGCTCCACACTGCTGTTAAGCTGCTGAACTATACGCCGCTCCAGGAACTCAATGCACTGCTCGCACAGCGTGGGGTGGATCAGCCTCTCCACTGCCTGAAAGAAGGAGGGGAGGAGAAGACAGCAGAGTGTGTGAGTGATCGAGATTATCCAGCGTTTTTCCCTAAAAATATGAGTCCACACCGGCTGAAATGGATGTGAAAATTATCTCAGAGGTCTGATTTAAGCAGCGTGATATAATCATCTCACTGAGACGGACTTGATCAGCTGCTAAACAAACCTTAAATTGAATAAAACCTAAATATCTTGTTATGAGAAGAAGGTTTTCTCACTAGATGTTGTTTTTGAACATTCATGTCTCAATACAATCTTTCTTTTTTTTTTACCAAAGGTTCTTCAGAGATGATACACAGTGAAGCTTTTTAGCTGTTTCTGCCATCTGGTGGTTAGACTCCTAACAACCAAACTCTTATCAAGGACATTCTGTGCTTCTTTGACAAATTATGTACATTTGAATTTTAGCTACGCAATCAATCTCAAAATACACAAAACTGCAACATGTCCAACGCAATGTCCAAATTTCCTGTAGCTTCAGTGATATGATTAAAGCTAAATGTGTCATAAAACTGCATCATGGTGAAGTACTGCAGTGCTGCAGAGATGTTCATGCAGTACAAATCTTGATCTCCAAATGTAGTTTAACATGTTTGTCATGTTTAACACCAACAAATATCATACATCGTGATTTTTCAACTTTATTTGAGTAAAAATTAAAATGAGGATGCAAAACTTCATCATCCAATCTTTTCCTAAAGCACAATACAGATAGATAGATAGATAGATAGATAGATAGATAGATAGATAGATAGATAGATAGATAGATAGATAGATAGATAGATAGATAGATAGAAAGGTAGATAGATACTTTATTCTGGTGTTAAATTAATTTAGGGTCAAACACACCGATACACACACTGATATAACATCCAGTAAGTATCTAATACTTCTTTTTACTGGCTCAGTGAAGTTTCAACCTCCTCCTCTCCAAACACATGAACCCTGTTTCAAACAGACTTGAAGTTTAGCTTGATATCAACTTGAACTTTTGAGTATTACACAAAAAAACCAGACCACTCTTTTTATTAACCATTCAAAATTAAATCTGTTTTATCCTCTAAAGACACAGAACCAATACATGTCCCCATCTCCTCAGGCCTTCTTGGTTGTGACATTGTCTTCACCTGCCTCGACCCAAAATCTCCAAATCATCCGCAGATTTTAAAAAGACTCGGCTGGATCACTCACACACTCTTTTTCAAAACTGGAACCAAGAATAGTGACCACATCAAGCCTGTTTTAACCTCTCTGCACGGCCTCCCGGTATGTTTGAGGACTGAATGAACTCTTACTCAGGCTGTCCGCTTCTACCTCTGCGTGAACTCACATGAAAAAGCACATTTATCAGGACATTTGATACTTTTTCCTCACAAAAAGGACTGCTCATGTGCTATCTGACTGGGTCAGGCTGATATAATAAAAAGTAATGAAGAGTATAAAAAAGTTATTGCAGTAAACGTGAAATAGTGTAAAAGCAGCTGCAGTGAACAGACTTGGCAGGATTTTTAAACTGAACATGAAAGTGTAACGTTATGAATTCACAGGTGCTGTAACCTTCGCCGTTCTTTTACAGATGATTTACTGAATTTTTAAGTATTTTCTTTCCTATATGAATCAAAAAACAGAAGATGAGAAGAAATGAGCCCAGAAAGGAGGTGTTAATAATCACCACTAATGAAAATAAACTGATTAATGCCTGAATAACGGCCTTCGTGGGTTGCACTATACGGCCAGTTTTCGAGATGCAACTCTGCTCAGAACCTGGTCTTCACCAGTTTAGGAGTACTGAGAAAGTGAACAGGCCATTTATGGTGTCGAATTCTCTGCCAGGACATATTATCCAAGAAAACAACAAATACAGATTTAAAGATCCAGTGAAAGAACATTTATCGGTCAAACAACTCCTTATTTAGATGAACCTACTTTGTACAATCAATCAGTGTTTTTCTGATTTACTTGAAATGTCTGAAGTCTGCTTACGTATTGGGTACTGTTTATGTAAATTAATTCAATGTATGTTGATATCTAAACATCTGATTATTCCAGAACTATAGCTACACTGTGAAAATGAATAAGGTCCAGTAATATGTGTGTGTTGTTTGTATTGTTCTAGTTTTGTTGTTTTGTTTTTGTCTTGTAGGCTGTTGTGAGTTGTTGTGGTTATTGACGTCGTCTTTGTGTTTGTGGCGTGATGTTTTGTTTGTGTTTTTGCGATGGAGAGTTAATTGTAAATGTAGACTCCGGGAAGAAGAGCGATGGCCTTAGACAAAGCTAAAGGAGATCTAAATAAACGAAATGAGATAATTCAGAGTCAGCTTTTTGACACTGAAACTCTGGCTTTGGGTTCGTCAGACTGAGACACGTATAAAGATGTACTTGACTTCACCTCCACTAAGAAGCTCTGGTCGTTCTCTCTGAGGTGACTGTACGTCTCCAGCAGACCCTGCAGATGTTTCCACAGCCGCGCTCTGTGCTCGGTGTCCTGAGGCCTCAGCCTGGTGGGACAAATGCCAGAGTTTAAACGTATTTATCATCCAGATGCTGCTTTAAAAAAAGTCATGTAACTCTCGTACTCTTTTCTGAGGAGGTTGCTGCTGAGGGTGACCATGCCGAACAGAACCTCAATCATTTTTTTCATCACATAGATCTTCCTCCTCAGGTCCTCCTCTCCTTCCTCACCATCTCCGTTCACAGCGATGTAGAGACACTCGTCGAACTGAGAAGGAAACAACATGACCCAATTAGCTCTTAACCCCCAAAGCAGTTGACTACAATGGAAAATCAAGTTAAAATGTTTTATAAAACTGTTTTCTTGGGGTAAATATTTGGTTGACAAAGATCTAAGAGGCTGCTGACACTGAATGGATCTGGAACATGTCAAGTATTTGGGAAAAATCGAGTATTGTGTCATGTGCTGCAAGGGGACAAAGCAAGGTTTGAACGCTTAACAAGACTCACATGACTAACATGATGGTTCACTGTGCGAGAGGGCGCATTTAGGTCACAGAGTGAATGCCGAGGCAAAGTTCAAGTTTACAGGAATCTGCTTTGTACATGAAGGTATTTAAAGAGAAAGTTTCTGAGTCGAGTAAATGGATTTTCACACTTTAAAAGAGGTGATCCGGGGGTTTACACAGAGACTCAGAGCTTGTGTTTTCAAAGGCCAACCTGATGTAGGACATAGATGTGGTTGTTCTCAGTGGTGAAGGAGGTGTAGCTGTCTCCCAGCCTGTCCACCATGGTGCTGCAGGAGATAATGATGGGGGCGAACTGAGTGCTGATGATGTCCTCGAAAGCTGGAAGCTGAAGGGAATAAAAAGTGAGAAAATAAAGTTTACCTTAAAGCTAAAAGGAAGCCAATTAAGAGAACTGTGTCCTCTTACCCCCTGGCCCTCCTCTTGAGACGCTCCATACTGCTCCTGGATATTTTGTTGAAATTCAGGGTCGGTCCACTGGAAGAGGACCTCGGCGCTCTCACTGGCTATCAGCAGGCACTTCATTTGGACCACACACACACACACACACACACTCACTCACGCACGCACGCTCTCACACACTGCTGACCTACTTCACAGAGGTGTCTTATTCACTGCGACCACTCCATGTTCATTATGCTGTAAAAAAAGAAGATTAAAGGTTAGAGAACTGGGGCACAAGGCATGAAAGTGAGTCTGGGCTGGAGAGAAATGTGAGGAGTGATTAGTAATCATATTGTACGGATCTATATCAAGAATGATGAGTAAAGGCTTCAATTTTGAAACAAAGTCCAAGTAGTTTCCTTAGAGAAATACATTTATATTTTCACAGTCCTGTGTGGAGGTTTAAGCTGGTTATTAAAGAGACAGAAACACCTCTATATGACTAAAAAGTGCAAACAAGAACAATAAGAACAAGACGGATGATTCCCTTACTGTCATTTTTAACGCCTGTAACTGTGAGCGGGTAGGACAGAAAACTGAGGAAAAGCCTTTCAGAACTTTTTCCACCGCACATTTTCAAAAGTCGACTGGGTACGGTTTCTATCAGAAAACACTTCTCACAAATGTACGAGTCAAGTCAAGCGAAGAGATAGGAGGTATCTCTTTGTCCACAGGGGCTGCCAGCGTTAACACTAACGGAGAAATCCTCCCAAGAGCTTTAAACAAACCAGAGATGATCTGAGCTGTCGCTTTTTATCTGAAATTCAAACCGTCATTCAGACTCTAAAATTAGAAGCTCATATTTGCTGTAATGAGCCGTTTGAATTCACAGTAATACACCTCTTCAGAGTTGTCAGAAAACCTTTAGTTTCCTTTCAAAATCAACATTTTCTATGTCAGACTAGAAAACAAAATACTCCCCAAATGAAGGCCACTGAATGCAAACAGGATTTTTTAAGTTGCAAACAAAAAAAGTATTTTTTTCAATTCAAAATCAGGATGCAAAAATGAAAACACCCCAATCAAAGTTCTGGGAGCAAAGCTAAAATTTAGTTACCATATCTTCCTCATTTTCATCCTATAATAATTAAATGTTATGTTAAACTTAGCTTTGTCAAAACCCTGGAAATTGTACTTTTGGGGTCATTTTACATTACTTTTAATAGGGGGTGTACTGACTTATGCTGGGCACTGTATACCAGCACATTAGGCTGCATGAAGCAGCTCACAGTAGGATCCAGCAGAGGGTCGTCTCATTGTTACCTGACCCATACATGCACTCTTGACCTCAGTAAACTAATATAGTTATTATATGTTATAGAAAAAAAGGATGTTTTTTATGGGCCACAAAAGCACACTGACCATTCACATAAAGATTTAATATTTCTAAATAGTTTTTTAATGTCTGAAACCACGGGTTTGGGGGAGTTACTGGTCAAAGGGATTACCTACATTCTGCTGAAACATACTTTACCTTTTCCAAAGCAAAGATATTTCATGAGCCACGAATTTAAATGTTTACACAAAGCAGAGACATGACTTGCAAATAAACAGGAACAAAATCTGTAATTATGACAAATTTGAAGGCACTGTACAGTAGCTTTAAAGAGAAAATGACCAACCAGGCAAAAGTAAGAAAGTCTGAAAATACCGGGGGGACCTTTTCCCACACTCCAAGTAACCTCTTCAAACCAAAACAAACATTATCTCCAAGCTGATAATTTATCAGTGACAACCTCTGAGTGTGAGAGCAGATAAAAAAGTAAGGCTGCTGGGAAATGTGGGATTTCAGCTCGCTATCAACCAAAATATGTGAGAGTGCACATGTGAAAAAGATTATTTACTGTTTGATTCTGGTCCATGGAGATTCAGCAGGATCAACCCCAACTTGTTCATAAACATATGACCAGTTTATGAGCTTACAGCCTAAAAAATTTAACACACTTCAAAAAGAGTTCCTGTTCTTAATCTACAATCTTCTTGTTTAATCCTGACATGTTTAAATAGGATTTGAGATTAAGCAGCTTGCACTACTTTATCAGCTGTAATGGAAATGACAAAAAAGTGAAAGTTAAACAATCATCATAGAGAAAGGTAAAGCTGCTTTAATCTACATTTGAGGGGGGAAAAAAACATCCTTTTAACAACATCAAATATTTCCAGAAAATAATCCATATCCATATTATCATCAATTAACTTTTTTTTTCAAATCAAGTCATATAACTGATCAGGTTGTAAAATAACTAACTCAGTAAGGTTTTTCTTTTATTTTCTAATTGCATTCTTTTCGCACATGAGTTTGTGGCCTGTATTATTTTTCTCTGTGAAGAAGTTTGTAACTTTGAATTATGTACTCTATTGCCTAGGATATTATTATAATAATAAAAAAAATATGTATTTATAACGCACTTTTACAGGTGCTTAAAGACACTTCACAAAGAAAGAAAAAACACAATTTAAAATACAGAAAGTTTGGGAAAACCAACAATGTAAAAGGTTACAAAAGACACAATATGAAAAGACAATCAAAGAAGAGTTCACAGGTTAAAACCAATTTAAAAAGGCGTGTTTTATATTATATTATTAAATGCTACAGCCAATCAGAAAGAGCCCTTGTTACAGTCAATTAACGGAGTTTAAAAGATTTAAAATAATACTGGGATTTAACACCTCTGTGTTCGTCCCTTTGAGTGTGACAGTCAGCAAAATAACGTTATGAAACTCCGTGAACTTCTTGTTTAAATCTCCTCTTTTCATGTGTTTAATATAGTTGCCCTTGTCAGCCACCATACTTTTCTCATGAGGAGTCAAACATAGTGAAACTGCAAACTGCAAGTATTAAAACTTTGCACACAATCTTTTAACCCACACATACACATTTATCTGTGTGGTGAATCTGCTGTCAAGTTAACCCTTATTGGGCGAAAGTTTGACAGAAAAAGATGTTATTAAAACAGCCGGAAAACATTGGCGGTATTTCTTTGTTTATCACAATAATATGATAAATAATCATGTTTTCACCGTATATCACTGCAGATTTACCATCAAACGTCTCTGATCAAACACCTATTTCTGTGGCTGGATTGTAAACCTTGTAGCAGGTGTAGAAATGACTGGAAACCCACGATAGATCACCAAAAGGGTAAACTTTTGAACACTTTTAATCCCATAGAGATGCACGGTATTGTTCCTGAGAAACTGTAAACAATAGTAATGGTGTCAGGTGGGAGTTCTAAGTGAACTGTGTCACCTGAAGTAGTCCGGTCCGTAAAGTCACCCCGTAGTTTCCTCAAAACCTTAACTTATTTCCCTCTTCAGAACTTTTTACTTCCTTGACACACAAAAACAAACAAACGGATAAAGTTGATGTCGTAAAAACTCACCCTGCGTCTCTCTCTCGGAATGTAAGTGAATGTCGCATCTCTGTTTAGTAAAAATCCTCCTCTCTCTCGGTGTTCCGCGCAGGTCCGTGTCTCTCTCTCAGATCTCTTCCTTCCGTTTCCCTCCGACCACAACCCCCGAGGCGTCACGTGACCTCAGTGGGCTGTCTATGCGCTGATCTGAAAACAGATCGATCTGTCCACAGAGCACCAAGGAGCCCTCTGTCTGTCTGTCTCTGTGAGTGTGTGAGTCTGCTCCTGGGTAAAAAGTGTTGGTAGTTTGCGCCTGTTCGTGTCAGCGGGTTTCTTTTTCCCCTTCACGAGCTCAATGGAGCAGGAGGAAGTCATGTGCTCGTGCCTGACGTGGGGCGCGTGACCGCGAGGCTGCAGGGCAGACAATAGTTAGGTATTTTAGGAATGCAGATTAGTTTGGAGAGAAAATCTCTGAAGAAAAAAAGACCCCAAAATGTAATCCAGGGATTAGATTAGAAGGAAAAGAGCACAGCAAAAAAATCTTAAAAAACACCTAAAAAACTAAAAACAAACGTTAAAATTTATGACTTTACATTAACCCTTGAATACTATCACTACTTAACTCAACTTCATTTAAATAGCACTTTACACACAACAGAGCTGATCCAAAATGCTCAAAGTGAGGAAAAACAAAACAGAAGAAGAGAAGAAACAGACGGTGAAGAAGAAGAGCAGACTGAGTGACAGTAATAATAATAATGATAGCAATAAAAATATATTTCCAATACCATCACTATCATCATCATCATCATTCATAATAGTAATCATAAATAATAATAATAACAACAATAATAATGACAATGACAATGACAACACAGATCTACTGACCTACAGAGCTCACAGAGCCTACATAGAAATGGTTGAGCTATAAAAGTTAGGGACAGTTAAAAGCGAGGGAGTAAAAGTGGGTTCTAAGACGAGTCTTAAAAATCTCAATGGTCAGGGAGAATCTGATGGTGGGAGGAAGAGAATTCCACAGTTTTGGGGCAGCGATCGAGAATTTCTTTATCATTTTCTTGAAGTAATAATCATTATATTAATCATTTTACACTGCAGACGCAGTAGTTCTTCTGCCTCAGCGTCTCGGTCTGATTGTATTTCCATAAAGAAATGATCATAAATGTTCTTCCTTGAGCTGCGTCACCCCGCTGTAGTCCGTAATGGACTGGCCTGAGGTCTCGCTACAAACAAGCAGCTGCTGGAAGAGAGTAGGTGAGTTGTGTTTAGTCTCTTTGCTAAAGAAATCAGGCAAAGTTAAAAAGATGTTTAGTGCACTTTTAATGTCCTGTTGATGAAGTTAGGTGCTGGTCTGAGCATTATTTGTGGCGTTTTGGTTGAGGTTTCTTTATGGCTCCTCAGACCGCTGTGTATTGCTATCCGCAGTCGTTACTAAAGTTGGTATAACTAAAGAAGCAAGCGTCAGCAACATTCATCTCTGGAGGGGGTGTCTAACTCAGTGTTACGATGTGTTTGATCCTAAATTAATTTTACGCCGGAATATCCCTTTAATAAAAATATTCATATAAACTACATCGAAGGTCATCTTTTTCACGTAGACATAAATACTGTTTGAAAAACGTGCAGATTTCTGGTCTGGAAAGCAGCAAAAACTCGAGCATAACAATAAGAAAAAAATATGAAACAATTTCTGCGTTGAATCAATATGTACGTCTATGTTTTAGCTAAACAGAGTTTGTCATCCAGCACACAGCTCGTTGGAAAAATACATGTCATAAATGCTGCATAATAAACACCACACAGCAGGTTGTGTCTAAGAGAATGTTTTGATGGCTACAACAAATCTGTCTTGTATCATAACGTTCAGCACAGATTGTATGTTTGGCTTCTGAGCGCAGAAAAAGAACCCCATAGTACCATAAATATTTATGTTTTATTAACCTTGCTTTGGTCAAAATGGTCCAAAAAGCCAAGAGTCCTGCGTTGTGGGCCAGAGTCTAATCTAGTCCATCAGTTTTGTGGGGATCCAGCACTCATGGAAGTCTTATTTAAGCTGACTCCTGTATATACAGAGTAAACATGAAGAAATCCTCAGTGTATGCTAACAGGGCGAGGGGGCCTTGCATGTCTCAAAATGGATAACTGAGTATAAACAGAGTGAGGCAGGCCGGGCTAACAGTTACCTCCACTAAAGAGGCGCTGTCACGCAGAAGTGGCTAGACATGGCGCAGTCCCCCTAAATCACAACACAATTTGATTTGGTCGAAGGAAGTGATCCGTACAGGGTTGTTATCACAGGGGACGGGTTTATATGAACCAGAGTTTGCCAAAACAAAAGCACTTTTATACGTTAGCTGAATAAGATCCTGATCTGAAAGTCTGAAAGGTCAGTGAGGCCCCGTGGTTCATATCTCTGTGGATAGCCAGAGGTGAGTTTACGATCGTAATAAGTTGAAGGCTTAAGTAGAGGCATTCAGACTTAAATACTGAACAAAGCGTCAAGTGAGAGATCAGTTTCTTGGCAAATCAATGAATGCACGGATCAAAAATTTAAGGCTAAACTTTGAAAAATCAAAAAGTTTCAGGGAAGTTTTCACGGTATCAAATCAAGGCAAGCAAAATATTAGCGATGATTATTCTAATTTGATTTTTAATCTGAAATGATGGGATAGTTGAAGTGAGCCAGACAATGTGGGGAGTAGAGAGCAGATGGAAGCCAGGGATCGAACCACAACTTTGGCTCCTGTACACGAGGAACATTTTTGAACCACCACGCCAAACTGGCAACCCAACAATAACAGTTGTTATATTTCACTTCTACTTCTAATCCATAATCTGGATTTTTTTTTTAATTGGCATGTCGGGGAGGCTTTTAGCACCAGCAAGTATCCAAGTTTAGATGAAAGCTGAAAAATAGAGACAAAAAAAAGATCCGAAAACGTGTAAACACTGTGACTCTATACACATTTTCTCTCCAAAAGACCTCCCATTAAGGACCAGGTTTACCAGGTGTTAACAAGACTGGTTTGATTCTCACATGTCAACAACGCCTCCCTGTTTGGATGAACCACATGTGAAATGAGACTTTTTGATTGAATATTCCCACTACTGACATAAAAGCAAAAAAACAATTTCCCATGAAAGGAACTACAAACAGGAACATCATCAAATGCAGCTTTTAAACCATTGCTGTTTGTATAATTGTGGATGAACACATTTCAATGCAGCTCAGTTATGTGTTCTTCTTTTAATAAGTAACACATAACCAAAAAATATTTAATCTAAAACTTTATTTTCCCCACGAGGATCTCTTACTGTGGATCTGCTGCAATACACAAAACTGGTAATTCAGGATAGATTCAAACATCGCCAATAATTAAAGCTCTAGTAAGGAGTTTTTTGATACTCATGAAACTGGCTGAAATTTACATAGGTGGCTTTTTGTGGTACTCAAAAGCAAACGAGACCAACAGTGATAAGATTAATGATTTATATATTGTAATTTTTAATACTTGAAAATGGTGCTAAAGGTCAAGTGTCAGCCGAGCAGCTGCAGAAGATTTTTTATCTACATTTCCCACATAACATATTTACAATCAGTCAAACAGTTGAGCATCAAAAGTCAGCAGGGTGAAGTTTTTGTCAGACACTACCTCATCTTGTAGAGAATGAAATGAGCACATTTATTGTTTTGTCCACAGGGGGCGCCAAATCTGACATAATCCAAAAGTTCCTCACAGGAGCTTTAATCACACTGAAACACAAGTGACAAAGACCTGCACCGTGTCCAAATAAAGGTCACGATTTCTATCCTTCAAGATCAAGAAAGGAGAATTGATTGACAGAAAATTTACCCACAAACCCTTCAAAACAAATAGAAGAAGGACTGAAGTTGGCCTTCACTTCTAACTTCAGCACACCAAGTACAGTAGTAAAAAAAACATGAGTTTTAGCCAGAAAAAACAACATATAATACCACAACAATAATACCCTCACTGTTCTCCTGACAGTCGTCTTTGCTCCAGCAGACATTAAGCCAGGTCTGGCCCAAGTTTAGCTTGTCTGGACCAAAGGCCTGAGGTCTGGAGGTTTAGCCCACCCTGGCCTCATGTTTCCCATCAGCAGGAGTCTCATGCTGGGAGTGGACAGCACTTTTCCCACTACAAAGACTCTCTGCGGCTGTCTCCACATCTGAGGCCACAGAGGTTAACAGCGTCTGTGTGCGACTGAGTGAGTTAAAACAGCACTTTGGGTTACAGATGCTGCTAAAGCGTGTATTCGCTGTTATGGGTAAAGGTGTGATATTCTGATCTCTGACACTGCCTTAAAAACTGCGGTGGAGTTCGGCTACTTTGCACAGATTTACTTCACATGCAGAGACTAAGCTGTTTAGTAAAAGTAGAACTCACACAAATCCTCTCTTGTGAGTGGAAAAGTGAGTTTACTCAAAGATTTTAATAAAGTCAGAGCTGCTGACAAATTCAGTGCTTTTTTTTACACTTAATCCAGATTGTTGTGTAGGGAATTTAAGTTTTACTTTGGGGATCGCCCACAATGAATACAGCTGGAAAGGTGTTTGTAAGTGTTTATTATCAATGTAAATTTCTTTCTTAACAAAAAATAATATATAGGCACACTTTACATAATAAAATAATGCTCTCCAAAAGAAATATGAACATCTCTACATCACTATAAACACATTCAGGGGAAAAATATACTTTTTTAAACAGGATCAGGCTCTGAATCTGCTCTTGCTTGTTTTCAAATGTGTAAAAGTCATTAAAGAAATATCCTCCCTGTGTTTCCAGGTTATAAAAAAACCATCTTAAAATGGGATGGTTAAATATGACATGAGAAAAACTACAATAAAAGGCAGATGTGAAATGTGGCTCATAATTCCTCTGCTGAGAAAACCGTCTGCGGCGGACATTTGACTCTTGAAACAGCTGTTTATTTACCTGAAAATTCTTGAGAATACCTTGGATTTTTCTGTCGAGTCTGGGACCTTAGCAAAATAAGTCTTTTCATAACAAATATTACAAAAGGCAAGTATTTATCATATAAATAAAGTGTACAATTTAAGTAAACAAATCAAGCTTAAATCACTTCTAATCCCTCTTTTTATGTACAATACATAATAAAATATAGAGCAGTAAATCTGTACAAAATAATGACAAATATATCATGTATATTAAGTATAAAAAACCCTAGCAGCATATGAAAAAAGGGAACATGGGACCACACGGCAGAGTTAAAAAGCTGGTGTTTGAGAGGTTTTAGAGTCAGAGCAATCCCAGGTTATGTGTGGATGAAGACAAATGAGAATGTAGGATCCTTTGGCTGTGCGTCGCTGCAAAACACGTGACATGAAACTTGCAGCAAAAGCTCAACGAGAAACGAGGCACAACTTCAAAGAATGATTTCTAACACTTGTTACGGTGAGGATGGAAACGTATCCTTTCAGAGACTCAACCTAAAGTCTGGACACACACATCAGTAGCTTTATCAGTAAAATACACATTCACAAGCACACAAACAGCTCTCGGTAAGTCCAGGAATGACCTTGAACACACTGCAGGGTTTTCTCTTTGTGGGAAGGATCAAGCCAAACTGGAGTTGACTTGTGTTTGCTCCAGAAACGCTGCCTGTTCGGAGTTTCTCTCTCAGACTCAAACTGAGAAAGGTTATGAAAAAAGACTGAAAAAACTATTAAAAATGAAATTCTGCTTTTTTTTGTGACTGTACACAAACTTTATGAGGATTTGCTGGTTCGGTGCAGCTCTTTAGGGAAAGTATTTCTTTGATGGAGCGGGAAGGATCAGGTTTACTGTGTGTGTAACTTCTTGGAGAGTTGAAACATTAAAATAACAGTGGAGGATTGAATTAAATCGTTTGCACGAGTGGAAGACACAAGAGCAAGGTCCAAAACCTTGAAATGGTAACCTGTGTTGTCCCACGAAGATGAAAAGCTGGTTTGTGGGTTTTTCTTCCTTCTGATGCACCAGAGACGAAGCTCAGTGTTATCTCCTGCAGGCGTACGCGTTAATGTTTTTGACCACATAAAAGCCGATGGTCATAGGAGGCATGGCTATCGTCCGTCCCGCCCTCAGTGTCTTAGGCTTCAACTCTGGAAATGTCTCATTGTCCACCATGTGCAGCTTCTCCCCGTTCAGCTGGACGTATCTGCGCCGAGGAGTAAACAAGAGACAGTCTGTGAAACCTCACTGCACCATCATCAAAGCTTCCAGTCTGCTAATTTGGGAAAATATGTGAAATCTGGAAACACAGAAAGTCCTGGAGAGCTACGATTCTGTCATTTGTACACTTGGGGGTGCTGTTGCCACAAAATTGCGTTGCACAGCTGCATGACTGTGTTACCTGGAATTTTTTAAGTGTTTACATAAAGTATAACTAGAACCCTTTTTGTTCTCTCTTTTAATTGTTGTATAGCTTTATTTTTTTATGGTTTCATCATTACAAAACACTTCATAAAATATAAAAAATAACTAAAGTACATTATTAATAAAGTTTAAGTTACACTGCTCAACAAAAATATCAATTGAGCGTTAACCTCGACTGATCGAATATTGACTATCAGCAGAATTTTACACCATGATTCCTTCTGCAAAACAGTCACACTGAATTTCTTCTAACATAACTTTAAAAGCACGTCTAAAATCTAAACTTATATTAAAGTAAATGGCCTGTGAGTATTGATATGTTATTTTATATAACCTACATTAAAACATGTCTTTAAGAGACATTTATACAGTTTTTCTGCTTTTTTTTTGCTTTCGCACATATGTTTCAACTTAAAGCTTGAGCTGCTATTAGTAAACATGCGATATTAAATGGCGGCATTGTAAAGTTCATGATTTAATAAGAGTTTCGTTGAACCTTAAATTTAATAAAATATCAAAAGAGGTTATGCTCAATAAGGAAAAGTTATGAATCTGGATCGCTCAAAGCTTTCCTTTAACGTGCACGGACCTGAGGCTGAGACCTGAGTACTTGGCAAGCTTTAAAAAGTCACACTACTCAGACAAATTTATAGACATCTGGTGTTGGTAAATTCTTCATAAAGTCTCCCCGTGCTGCCTGTGGTAAAGGAAAGCACTTAAAGCCTGAAAAGGCCCGTCGTTAGCCCGCTTTTCGATTAATTGCCATGCAATCCTGTTCTAACACCTAAAACATCCTCCGTCATTATGCTGTTATTGAAGGATCATGCCTGAGCCTCAATTAAGGCTGTGTGTAGGTATCGTATGACACGGACACACACACACACACTTGCACACAGACACAGGTCATTAGGCTGTTATTTCAGGATTTGAGGCTTAAGACTGAGTCAGAATAACAGGCGCAGGCTTACAGCAAGACAGGAAGAGACTGAGAGAGTAAACTTTCAATTTTGAGGGAGATTGTCGAGATTTAGGCGCTAAATTACCTCATGGTATCATATGGAATACTTCAAACTTAGCTGAGCAGAATTGAAAGTTTAAAGGATGTGAAAATCCGGGGGACAAAACCACTGCTGTAGGTCTTTTCAGCTAAAGTGTGTTTTATATGTTCTCATTTATTCCAAATTATTAATCTGTCTCGAGTAATCTTTAATCCAAGTTTAAAAGGGAAGAAGTTTTATTGAAACACAGACTTTCACATTTTTTATGTGTTTATTTACTCTTCTTATCACAGATGTGTAGTTGCTGTATTTCAGTGTGTGAACATACCGACTCCGCCTGACTTATACAACTCAAGCTAACCACCTACTGTTATAATGAAATTTATTCCCTGCGGGTTATGTACTTAGCAAGCGATAAAGTTTGGAAAAATACCAACAATTAAAGATGTATTAAGTTGTTGATGACATTTTAAGTAGACTCAGTCTGTGCCATAATACCTCTCAGATCTCTGCAGAAATAATGATTTTTTTTAAAAAACAGCTGCAGCTATTACCATTAAAGGTGAAAAAAAACATGTTTAAATTTTCTTTTGGATGGTATCTTCAATAAGAAGACCTCCAACAGAGGACAATTTAACAATACCACAAGTGTGCATACTAAAAAAATAAACGAACTTGGCTCTGAGTCCGTCCGTGCCGAAAGGCTGCAGCAGGTACTGATGAACTGTATTGTTCCGTAACGTTCCCGCTAACTTGATTTTCTTCCGCGATCGATGGAGGTTGATGATGTAGATGGTTATGGACCCTCTCACGTAGTTATGACTGTTACCAAAGAGAAAATGAAGAACATTACGACTGTTTTACCTTTACAACAAATAAAAACAGAGACAATATCCTGACATCTGTTCAGCAGGATTCGTTATAAAGTGCAGTGCCATCTGTAATAAACTTCTCCGTAATTAAAGATGACTACAAAGAGAGGGAAGTCTTTGATAATACATTGTCATCACTCTTAGTAATACGATCAAACATTAACTTCTTGATCTAATCGGGATCAAAAGGTTCTCAGAAAAATAAGAAAGTGAGATTAAGGAAAGGAATTTCATAACGCAGAGAAATGTTCTTTATCATGAGTCTAATACTTATCATCTATATACAACATAAACCATAATAAACCACATTTCATTTCCAAAGCCTTCATCAACTCCATAAAGACTATCTGCCACCAAATCTGCTTCTCCCGTACAGTTTCCAGTGTAAAAACCTGTTGCTCTACGGTTGAGAGTCTGATGGAGGGTGTGAACACGACGGGCCAGACTTCTTGAGTTACACAGACAACAATGTTTGAGTCTCTCCCCCGAGAGCGCTGCACTGGGGACACAACTTGATAGGGATACTGGGCAGAGGTAAATAACTAAAGGAGAGAGATAAGACAAACATGATAAAATCTAATAACGGGCTCCGATATGAGGACAAAGACAACACAGCTGTAGTGAATAACACATGTGGGCCTTGGTGTTCAGGGTCAGGCCCGGGCTTAGGCTGAATATCTCCCACAATCTCAGAGCCATCTTGGGTTTTGATTGATGCTTATCTCCGTTCTTTTAGTGAGAAATTTATTGTATTAACGCTGCAGGACTGCTAATCTTCAATATGTTTACTGAGAGGAATAAAGAAGTCCCATTCTGTAGATGGGACGGGGACGCGGTGAGGCTGGCTCTGAATTAAACTCTTGGAGCCGCAGTCCAGATTTCTCAGAGACGGGCCCCTGAGTTGTGCATCAGACGGTGAGATGGAGGCCGAGATAATGACCCCTCAGGCCTTTCAAATGATGAAGTTCTTGGAGATCCAAACCAGGAGCATAAACATGTGTTGATGCCGTTTGATGTCGAAGCATTGCTGGAAACAAAGTGGAAAAAAAACTCCATGCAAACCACTAAAAGGGGTAAAAGGGCAGTGAAAGTCAAATATCTAAACTGCTAAGACTTTTCAAACCGCTGTCTGCCTGAGTACATTTCAGCTCTCTGCCGTCTCGTTCGAAACAGCCAAACCACTAAGACTACAATGGTTCGTCCACTTAAGAGCTGAACTGTGCACGACCACAAAGTGGCAGAAATAATGGCGAGATGGATTAGATTCAAAAGGGTCTGCGTTAGCGCTTCTCTGTCTGATCATCTCCAGAGCTGATCGCTATGCTGAGGTGAGCTGGAAGGCCACCTCCAGCCGTTCCCTCTTTTCACACGGCTGATGTAACACTCAGTGTGGGAAACTCAAACACACTGTTGCGCTGCTTTGTTTCACGTTTTCAGATTGTATATAAAACAAATCAAACAACTTGTCATCTTTAACCAAATGATCAGAAACTAAGGACAGCGGATGATGGGGAAGGGGAGCGGTGGTGGAGCCAGACTTTCTGACTGGGGTGGCGAAACTGGGCTGAGTTTTCCGAGGCCAGGAGTGGTAAACATGAGGGGAAGAGTTACTGCCACTTATCACATCTACTTTGTCCAAAACTTATTCTTATTTTTTATGTCATTTTTAACTTTAAATGAGTGAAAATATTTAAATCTTAGAATTAAAATAAGATTTTATTCCAGGGGCACCTTTAAAAGTACCAACAAAAGAAAATGTTCCACCTTGAAATGCAACAGAGCTGCTAACAGCCTGTTAAAACACAACACCAATGGTTCATTTCAATACAGGTGTTAGCTCTGATAAGGCAAATAGCCAATCACAGTGAAGGATTTCAACCTCGGTGGCCAATCAGACGCCCAGGCTACCCCCTCACCTTAGCCACTTAAAGGTGGGGTTGGCAGGAATCCGTTAAAGAAGCATCTTTTTTTGTGGTGTTTATATAAAAAAGCTTTTAATATCAGTCAATAGATATTAGTTATTGATGACATTTGGGAATATAACGACATCTCTGTGTTCTCTTATCCCTGTGTAGTCAACATTTAAAACTTTTTGAATGGCCTGCTCTTTCTGACTGTAAACAAAGCCGTTCTCCACCTCCCCAACCTGATTGGTTGTGAGGCAGACGCTGCTCCACCGTGTCGTTCACGAGCCCAAAAAAAGTTAGCGTGCTACAACATCAGACAGTAGGAACCAACCAGAAAGTTCGGAAAATTGTCTGAATCCTCCTTTGGCCACGACTGCCGACACAAGCAAAAAAATTGAGTAAATAGCAGAGACTTTGGCGGAATAACGGGCGCTTAAAACGGAGGTAGACCGGACAAGAGCTAAAAAAGCCGGGTCAACATAAAACGATGGGGGACGCTTCAGGATCTTGGTGACCCTGTAACCTTTCTGCTGGACAGGTAAACCGCTTTAACAAAGTAAGACAAGTGTCTGTAACAGAAGTGTTTCTTGTCAAACGGACCTGCTGTAGCGTGTTGTAGCGCCATCGCTAAACTGTTGACCTCGGGTCCTGGACTATGTCACTTTATCCTAGTTGTAGAAGTCCTGCAAACATTGTGTTTGCTGGTAGTCTGTTGGCATCTACAGTAGCACCAATGATTTTTACTTTCACCTTGACTGGGCCCCATTTGTAATTATCTGAAGTATTTATCTGCATTATATCTGAATTTTAGCGGAACGATACGAGCGAGCGGGAGCGTCTGTTTGTGGGCGGGGCTTTCTGGAGCAGAGAGGGAGGGGAGAGGAGGAGCTGAGGGGAAAACTGGTTGGGAGGGGTAGAGTTTACATTCAAGATTTCTCCCAAAAACTGGCACTTCCTCAGATCCTGCCTACCCTACTTTTAATAGGAGGGACAATAGGTGTTATTTCAAGTTAAAATGACAAACATTTGACAAACAGGTACCACAAGCTTTCAACTACTACCTTGCAAAATACTCAGAGTCACTCAGACAGTGACAAAACTGCAAGTAAATGGGCATTTTCCAAGTTGAACACAGATTTCCGGGGGATACATGAGGACACTTGATGAAAACTATTTCAAATATTCGCTCACATGTCATCTGACCTCATGCGTCTGTGTGTGTCAATTATGCAATCCCATTTTTCGACCATCTATCTGCTATTTGTCTGTGAGATGCTCCATCTGTAAGCGAGCCCTGTCTAGAGTCAAGCAGTAAGTCTAGCCCGGTGCTGACAGCCACTGGGTCTGGGTTAAATGATAACCTTGAACAGGCCACGGTGGCACAGACCGCCTTATTGTCCCTCCCCCTCCCCCTCAAATACCCCCCTCCAGCCAATACGAGATGGGATAAAGGCCTCGCACACCTTTCAGCGGCTCTTTGACGACAGCGAGACAGAACCCACACACCTGATAAGTGATACCCGTTAAGTTTTTAAGGGCTCTGAGCTGTGAATGAGCGAGTGTCTGCTGTCTGCTTATTTATGGGAAGCTCAGCGGGTCAGAGAGGGATTTTGTTCTTCCCCCGCCAGAGACTGAGCCTCAGGTGTTTTCAGGAGGACACAGCAGAGGAGCAGAGAAAGTGCAAAAGCAGCGGTCTGTTTTTTATCTAAAACTTAAAGGACATTCTTGAAGCATTGCAGCACGTTCCTCTGCCATGTTATGATAACCTATCCTGTTGCTGCGTCTAAAAGCAGCTTATAAACTAACACAAGGTGGTTATGAAGAAGCACATACTTGGAGTAGCTGGTACAGTGGGCATAGATGCGTAGCTTGTCTCGTATGACTCGTCCTGGTTGTGGTTTTCTCTGCAGTCCGGCCACCCGCACAGCTAACACCCTCGGACCGACCAGGCGCTTGAAGACCAAAGAGAACCAGTAATCCTGTAAGGGTAACACCACTGAATGAGGACACACAGTTGATGTTTTATGACGGTAATTTTATCATGAAGATGCTCAAGGCAGGTGTCACCTGGTTGTTTTTAAAGGTGCAGTGTGAAAGCAGACAGGTGTGGAGAGGAAGTTTTAAAACCCACGCTAACTGACAGCAGGAGAATCGTTTTAAAGGCGCTGCCAACACCGCTGCAGGTCAGAAGAAGAGTCAAAGGATTTTTTTATTGAAAGAGGCTTTTTACTACACTTGGACGATGCTGCGTTCTGGATTTCCTTTAAGGGAAATATTGCTAACATGTCCGTTTTCTTTATTCGTCCAAGAAAATGTCCTAGTGGTTGTAGAAAAAGATTCAGTTTCCAAACTTTCACAGTGAAAACGTGTTGGCTCAGCAGCAACTCTGTGACAGGTGAGTGAAATGTTTCACATAAATGTCAAATTCAGATATGTCAGCACTTCAACACCAAACACAGAGTCGGAGCTGATGGTTCATGTAACATGCCGCATGGTATCCAACAGCCGCGCTGCCCTGCTTGAAACTGACGAGTCTTAAATATGACGTTTTTACTAAATATTTTGCTCCATCATGAGTCGCTGTTTTGTGTTATCATTATCGAGTGGTCCACCATACCGAGAATCAGTCTATAGACTACACAGGCTCAACACCTCTTGGAGAGACTCAGAACAACATGTGTTCCTCAGGAAGTTCCCATGCAATCCTGCATATGGCAACATTTAAGGGCTTCTTTTTTCCATGCAGGCTTTAACTTAATTTGCTGCCAAGGCATCGAAGAAGGAGAGCACAGTATGGAACTGTATAGTGTTGGCCACAGGCAGAGGGATGGGTGGATGAGTATGTGGCCAGAACTGTGATCTTTGATTATTGCATAGTGTTTGAAACAAAGAGCAGTTATGAGACTTTCAGTTTCATTCGAACAGAACAGCTGCGGCGACGCTTCGCTCTCGCTCGGTGTTCAATTCAAAACTCGAGTCGAAGAAAAACATCAATGAACTGACCTAATTTTAACCACCGCTGCGTCTAAACCCCGCCCAGATCGGGGAATAGTATGGCATAATACTGATATTATTTGGGAAATACCCTCTGAGGTCCCCGATCCACAGGGGTTTGTCTGCAGGTCTGTTTTAATGTTTTCACCTCCTCTTCATTGTCCAAATCTTCGGTGGCCAATAAGAGCAGACGTGCTGCTTCAACCCCAAAGATTCTCATGAGAACAAAACAGGCAGCAAATTAAGAGATTATGCAAATTAAAAAAACGTTTCGAATAACCCAAACCAAATTCTATGATGGAAACATGCTGCAAATGGAAAACATGCTGAAAAAGTTTTTATAGAAGTAAATAGAACAGCACAGAAACAGTGTTCGGTTAATAACATTCAAACCCACAAAACAATTGCAAAACAAGTCAATCAAGAGGAAGTTTGCCAGACCTGCAGGAGGATTATGATAGCAGCTGGGTTCTGGTTATTTTTACACCTCAGAAGTCTTAAACTAATCTGCTGCTTAGAGGTTTGTGGGAGTAGTGAGCAGAATTTAGTAGGACAGGCTTAGTAGAAACTGAATAAATATTATTGTTAAATAAGTGAGTAAAAAAATCAATTTCTGTGTCTTAGAAAGTAACAAACAAATCAAAAATTTCCACTGATTCCAGAGGAGGTATTAGTTCAGTTTAACTACACTCTGAGGGTGACCAGAACAGAAACTGAGGCGATGAGGAACTTGTACAAAGTCGCAAATGAAGGAGACAACTCCTCAGTTCAAATATAAATATGGTTTACTGCCTCTCACATCTTCTATTGTGATAACTGGACATGACTAACTAACATGATAACTTTTTTTTTTGACACTTGAATGGTTTCCATCTTTGCAGCACATCCAGGCTTTCCACTGCATGTTTTTATACGCAGCATGCATCGATAAATTCATATGTTTTGGGCTTTTTTGTACATTTTTTTGCATTTGCAGTAGGACCCGAGCGATATGGATTTTTTGGGGCCGATACCGATTATTAGGGGGGGGAAATCTGATTACCGGTTAATCGGCCGATTGTTTTAAATTTTTTTATTAAGTTATAAAAAAATACATTTATACTGTAAATATCTACAGTATACTATATACTGTATACAGCTGCCTCAGTAAGAGAAGTAGCTCGATCACTAATGTGTTCTGTTGTTTATTCTACCGTTACTGGCACGGCTAACAGTGTAGCAAGGCTAATAGCAGGTGGCTAACTCTAACTTTAGCTTGGTTATTACATGGTGCTTCACCGTTAACTCGGCGTGACCGAGACCAGCACAGCGGGGAACATGGTGAATAGTGTTGTACTGAAACTTGTTGACTTATTGTGTATTTCACTGACTGGTTTATTTACAGTTGAGGCGGACCACTCTCCTCCGTGCGTCCCTGAGCTGCCTGCTTCAGATCCGTCACTCTGCTGTGCTGTGAGGTAGTTAGTGGATGAAGATTGTCATGAGGTCACTGCGCCACCTACTGGATAAGTTGGGGGGTCTGTTCAAATGGCGGAACATTTTCGAAGTAAAACCGAATCTTCTTCTCCGCATTTTATTTATGAAAATATCGGCGAAAATCAGCGAGTTTTGGCCGATTAGTCTCAAACGGGCTAAAATTGGCCTATTTAATCATCTCGCCGATTTATCGGTCGGGCCCTAATTTGCAGTTATTCAAATATGCAGCCAGTTAGCCACAATTAAAATGTATGTTCAAACAACTACATATAAGTCCATGCAGAACATCTACACCTACTGGATAGGTGTCATATCAATAGCAGATGTTAATGAGAGGATGATCATTAAAGCAACAAATACCAACAAGCAGAGAAAGACCAGCAGGCTCCAGTAACAGCAAACCAGTAACATGTCAAGAACTCTGGAAAAGTACAACTATACACCAGAGACCAATCTAAGCTTAGCTGCACAGTTCAGAATAATAGGGAATAATGGGAGGATAATGGGAAGAATAAAGATTAACCTCAAGTGTTTAGCTAAATTGAGCAAATGAGAGTCAGACTGCCTGATTAAGACCCAGTTAATACCTAACAATTCAGAGATCAAAGTCAAGCTTGTTTTATGATCCTTTCTTTTTTTGTAACATGTCAGTGTTTAAAGTTTTACTACAGCCATGAAAAAGTGGGAAAAACAATCCTTTAATTGGATTTTTCATAAGACAATAAGAAGGTCCCAGCTGTTAGAGAAGAAGAGAAAACACTGATTTAAAAAGCGTTAAATTATGTGAATGAATAGGTAAAGGCGATGAATTGGAGTAATTGATCATTTTACATACAGGGCTTGATGATCGCATTTATTCACCTTGAATCTCTTCTCACTTCTGACAGACACCAAATACTAATGAAACCCAAACAAGAGCTTCAATCACGTTCATCAGAGGTTACAACAAACCTCTGGAGGGAGACAACAGGCGCATGTGGATTTTAAACAGAACAACACAGAGAAAACAGAGGAGATCCGGGGCAGAGCACTTTGTTGGACATGGCTAGGTTTTGAAAATAGGTGAAGGGGCTTTGACTGAGGTCTACCAATAGGGGAGTCATCCTATAGGGGAAGGGGCCAGGTCATAAATTTCCTGTGCAGAGGACAGACTGGCCCTGCAGTGAAGTCTCCCAGCAGGTAGGCCGGTGCAGCCTTCAAACATCCAGCCATGTTTAAAGCATTGTGAACCCGGCGGGGGACTAACATTCCCCGAAAAATAATGGAGACGACCAGAGAAGAAAAATGTAAGTAATCGCAATTGTTTAATACCGTATAGTTGATAAATGGTGGGGAGGCAAAAGGTAAACCGGGTTTGGAGAGCTAATGAGGGATTTAGGGAGACATTTTTGTTAGATGTTGCACAAATGATCATTAGCCCATAACATAGGTTGCTATGCCAACAGTTATTGTGCATATTTAATCTATGCAGAGCTGTGTCTGTCCAGGCATTAATGAAAGGATCTGGAATAAAAACACAGGTCTGGTTTATGTTTGAATACTTTCATCTTTACCCTTTATTGTAAAAAAAAAAACATGACTTATTGTAAAAGTCATTAATGTAAGTCCCTAACCCACGCTCCACCCCGGCAACCTCAGCGTAATATTTACCACTTTTTATTTAGTTCATAAATTTTTTATGAACTTGGCCGGTGGCTGCGTTTTACCACTACTTCACTCTTTAAATTTATTGTTTCGGCAGAATGAGATCAGTTTAACACTAAACTTTATTGCCCTTTTTTAATAAAAGGGGTAAATTATCAAGATGTCTGAATTTAAGAGCTTAAAAAGGAACATTACAACCTGAATCTCTGCTTTCTACTCATCTCTGCTGTTTAAACTCTGTTTAAAACAACATGTTTGGTGATTTACAAGTAGATTTAACTACTCCTGTTGTAATTTGGTTTGTGTTTACTAGTACCAAACCGCAGCAGGACCTGGATTTGAGCTGGTTCTGTTTTAAACAATGTTGCAGGCTATCTAACAAACATGCCCACGAATCTGCATCTCGGGTTGCAGATCTCTCAGCGGCCGGCTGTCCTGCACAGAGGAGCACACAGTTGTGAAGGGGGATGAGGGGAGCAGTGACACTGTCCTGAGCTTCTGACAAAAGGCTAAGGTTTCATGGCATTTCGCCCCCACGTCTAACCACTCATCACCACTAAACGGCTTTCATCTCTCCTAATAGCTCCCACGGGAAAGAGCAAGAGGTGCCATCTAAGCGCTGGATCTGAGGTCCAGACAGTAACAGGGCTGACCATGTTAGTTTTAGTTGTGGCTTCGAGATACTTACAGGTAAAGGGTTAAAGTTCTGGTCTACGAGATGTGTGTATCCATAGTCGAAGAATGAGTGACGCAAGACGACATCAATTCCCTGCAGAGCCGCCATACCCAGCGTGTTCATCCACCTGGAATATACAATAACACATACACAGAAAAACATCAGCGACGCTTTTGATCGTCTTAAATATTGCCAATAAAACAAAACATGCACATAATCCTTTTCAGCTGGCTACGCTGATGTTATTGGTGCCATGATTTACAGAACAGTTTTAATATGATTGCAGAACTCACAAAAAACCAGCGCCGTATGTGTCTGAGAGATTACTGATGCCACCTGCCCACGCTGGCCCCAGTCCGCTTAGCCACACCTTCTTGCCAGGTGCATGTGTGTTCACGATCTGCAATCAACAATGTAAACACGGGTCCTTTAACATGAAATCAGCTTTGTTTCTTTGGGGTCTCTTGAACTGGTACGTTTCATTTAGGAGGATTACAAAAAGGAGTAAACGAGGACGTTTACAACTCGCTAAAAGGGTTTTAATGACACTTAATATTTCTCTGAGCTAATGGAAATACATGAATCTGTCAACAAACGCTCATAAAAATAAACAATTTAATCATGTCCAAGAGGTGGAGACACAAAAACCAGATCTCATAGACTTATAGTTGTTTTGTTACACAGCAGATAGTCCCACTCCTCCTTCACAAAACTACCTGACTGAAGTTTGGTTGCTTCTAACTTTAGGGCATCTCTTCAAACTCATCAGCTGTGCTTCAATATCTTCTGTGTTTGTTACTTTTGTACTGAGAGGATGCTACTGGTTTACAAATCTCTCAATGGTTTTGGTCCAGAATACATGAATGATATGTTAGTACAGTATAAACCCAGTAGAGCTCTGAGATCGACTGACTCAGGTCAGATAGTGGAACACAGAGTTCCAACCAGACATGGTGAAGCAGCATTTAGCTGTGATGCTTCACACAACTGGAACAAACTACCAGCAGAACTGAAATCAGGCCCATCTGTAAGCACTTTTAAATCCAGGTTAAAAACATTTCTCTTTCCATGTGCTTGTGGCTGAGCTCTTTTTAATCATTTTAAACTTTATCTATTGCTCCTGCTTTTAACTGAGTTTTTTTGTTGTTGTTGTTTTAATGCTGTTCTTTAAAACAAAAAAAAATATTTTTATGTAAAGCACAGTGAGTTGCCTTGGTATGAAATGTGCAATATAAATAAAGATGCCTTGCCTTGCATCACAAATACAAGCCTATATAAGGCTCATCCTTAACCTGGCAGACTAAAACGGAAGCAAATATGATCTCCAGATTGAATCCACTTCTTCATTTTCTTCCCTGAATATTTGAAATTGAAACTTAGCTAAACAAGATCTAAATCCTCAAATACACATAAGGTATTTAAAAAATGTTGTATCTCCAGTACAGATCTGAGTCATGCACAGGGTTGGACAACTATCCTGAAAACATGATAATATTTGGTCGAAGTTAGAGGGAAATGAAGGTACCTTGTTGACTTTATTGATCTGTTCAGTTAGCGTGTCCAGCAGACGAGTTTTGAGGAAATCCTCCACTTTGTTCACTCGGCCATCCATGAAGTAACTTTAATGGAAATGAGGAGAAAATGCTGTGAGAGAAACACACTGTACGATCCCTATGATATGAAAAAAACATTATTTTATCACAGAGGAGATGATCCAAAGTTAATTCAAATTAAAATTGAAATTTAAACATTATAATCCTCAGTACACCCAACTCTACATGTTAAACTACAACTAAGTGCTTAAAGCAATGCACATTAAATAAATCTAACACTTTGATAGCATATTACAGAGCCAGGTCAGTCGATGTAATTTTAACCACAAATCAAGAACTAGAAACACAAATCTGGTTTCTCCATCAACGTTGCTGCAGCTCATTATAGAAAACCAGGTTCAAATCCAAACCCTGAAGTTAACACTGGTCCCATACATGTAGCATACAACACAATGTTCTCCTACAATAAACAGGGGCTGACATATTCAATAACATTTTAGAGTTCAGACAATCCAATTCTACGTCAAAATGTGGGATTGCATAAGAGGAGGATTAGACGGACTGAGACAGAGGAATAAGTGTAATGCAGACTGTTTGTGTGTGTGTGTTTGTGTGTGTGTGTATAGGGGGGGTGATACAGGCACAGGCAGAGATGATAATGAGACGTGATGTTAAGAGAGCGTAATGAGACACAGAGTTTTTTTGGTAGTTAAAGCAACATCATCCCTGGGGTAAACAGCAAGTCTCTCCAAGAATTCATGTGAGAGTCCAAGACAGAGAAACCACACGCTCTGGTTCATGTTTCCATAAAACACAGTGACATACTTTTTTGTAATTCGGAGACTACAGCAAAACAATCAGGGTGCACAAGTCTGAAACAACAACTCTCTGTCTGGGGAGGTATGATAACTTATTTAGGATTTATAATGACCTCAGTGTGTGGTTGTACAACACTATTAAACACTGTAGGCCTAAAACTAGAGCCGCAGCTTAGATGAACTAGTATGATCTTTAAAGGGTACTATAACGTAGCCCCCAGACTCTGGAACAATTTTAAAAAGCAGTTGAAGACTCTTTTATTTAGACAAGCTTTTATTAACAGGGTTTTGTTTGTCTCTTTTACATCTGCACTTATTTCCGTACTCACCTGTACTGTATCTGTATTTGTGTCTGTATCTGTACTTATCTTTTGTACCGTTTTTATCTAATTGCACTTATTTTATGTACAGCGCTTTGTGATTTTTATCTGTGAAAAGCGCTCTATAAGTAAACTTTACTTACTTATATACTGTGTAGTGTTGTGAAATTCTTTAAGGAAAAATAATGCAGTAAACAACACATTGGAATAATTAAAAGCAGTACGTCTGGCAAAGCACTGTAAAAACCCTGTTGTAAACAATTCTCCCAAACACCCTCTGCTGCGTTTGCAAGATTAACTGTGAATAGTCGACCTCTGAGTAATTAATTCATATATAAATTACTAATTTTACTTCTCTACATTTGCTGCCACATATATAAATAATATAAAAATTAATCTTTCTCTAAAACTAATAGCTGCTTTAGCACAGAAAATTAATTATAAGTGTCTCAAAAGTCCAAATAAATTCAATGGTTTGCCTCCTTAATCATAGTACCCACTGAGCAATAGACGGTTATTAGACATCTAGTTTTTTTAGACCTAATATCAATCGTCTAGATTCTGTATATTTTTAGATGGAATTTTGATGTTGCACTTTAACCCATTATTGGATAACTATTTATTTCAAAAAGCAACTGTGAGTTACATAACTGACCTCCAAGTACTTGATAGCCATTGAGCAATATTCAGTGTAGTATAGATATAGCCCAGGTTTAGACTTGTTCTAAATTTAGACGTCTAATAAACGTTCATTTTTAGACCTGTGGTAGCCTGATTTTAGACCAGTTGTCTAGGCTACATTTAGACATCTATTAGACCTCTTTTAGACCAAAAAACGCTCAGTGGGTATTGTCTGTGCTGAGATCCAAAGTTTTGAAAGGAAGTTTGTAGATAATCACGTAAGCACTTTTAATTATTCAGGCTTATATTAAAATATGAAAAATATGATGTTGTGTTTTTTTTCTGTCTGTGATGTTTATTGGAATATCAAGAAGACCAGATTGATGATGGTTTAACTTCTGTACCTTTCAAAGAAGTAAAAACAGTCCATGCATGTGCCCACCACATCACTGAGCACCAGGACTAGCAGAAACACACTATCTTATAATCTGTCTCATTATATTGAACGTTTGATCTGTGACAGTAAATGCTTTGATTTTAAAGACACGTGGTCTCAGAGTCTGTCTGCACAGCCATCAGTTTGTTAAAGCTGCATTAGTGATTTCAGATTCATCACACATATATTATGTTGACAGCATGACTTGTTTTAGATCATACTGATATCGTGTATGATTTGACTGATCACATGTCACTATTACAATGTCCAAACCAAGTATCTAGTCAGACAATCCCTGATATAAGGGTTTAAAGGCTCCTCAGCCAAAACATTTTAATGGTGAGATAAATCCAAACCCAACAGGCTCTAAAAGTCTGAAAGATGAAGTATCAATCCCATAATGCAACAGCAAAAGAAAACTGACATCCACTTTTCATACTCCACCTGACCTCTGTTGAAATATCTTTAGATACAAATCACAGAGATATGCAGAACAACATCAGCGTGTAAGGGCAACAATAACTTTGATGGGGCACATAAGCAGCAAAAAAGTCTGCATTACTTCTACATGATCCACCAAAAGCTGTATTTTATTAAGTTAAACTTGCATAAATACATAAAATAGTTAAAGATATTACAAAAATCTATCGGTGAGACATTTCGAAAAATCTCAAATCTTCAAATCACATTTCTGTTCTGACTATTCTGAATGACAAAAGTTATACCAGATGGGTTAAGTCGCTGCTGTTTTTCTGCCAAAATTCCAAAATTAGAAAAGACTTTAATGATCTATAAATGCCAATGTTTAATTGAGCTTATTCAGTAACTTTAAAAATGCCAGTTCCAATAATCACACGGTAAAAGTTCAGCAAATCAAGAGGGAAAAAAAAGGAGCTGAACTCCTGTGAGTAATAAATCCAGAGAACAGAAAATACCAAATGAAAACGCCAAAATCTGCGTCAATCATGAACGAGGAACATCTTTAAAAAATGCTGAGAAAAGAGTTGAATTTGATGTCGAAGCCGTGTTGCAACCTGAGCTACAAATTTTTTGTCATAGTGTTGGAAAAGTCCCCGGCTCCTGGCCTCGTACTGTAAACAACACACGGGTTAAGTCATAGCTTTACACAAATTATTTAGTTATCCTGTCATCTTTGAACGGAGCTCGCAATAAGTCTTCAGTGCAGCTCCCTAAGAGGAGGAATTCCAGCTCATATAAGGAGGCAACATTAAAGTTAACAGAACTTTAACATCATCTACAAATCTGTACTTCAGGATAATTTAGCTAAAGTCGTTAATGCATCAGATGAAGAGGAAGGACTTTATTTCTTTACTAAGAAAACATCCAAGTGAATGAGCAGAAATCTCATTAAAAGTGTAAAAAGTTTGAGTCTTTTTAGCAGAAATCTTGTATTCACACAGTTGACCAAAGCACCAAGAACTATTGTTCGTTAAAAATGTAACTTGAGCCGCTAAAATAACCAAGATTAAATGTTTCTCCGTCTGTCAGGCCAAAATCTTCATGGCCTGCTTGTTTTACAGAACTTTCACTGAGAACCAGATCCAAATCACACAGAGATCACTGATGAAAATATTTCACACTCTGTTACGAGAGCAGAGCACAGACCGGAGGGTTGGATTTAATCACATCAGACAGAGATGGATGGAAACTGAAGCGCAGGAGTATACTGACACCAGGAATGGAAAAACAAGAAACTGGGACTAATGGTCTCATGTTTTCAACCTTACTTAGGTGTTTTAGGAATCAAAGATATGAATAACGGTTCCTGAAACCTAAACAGCAGAAGAGGCTCTTTTACAAGACTTTTGACCCAACTTCACATACACATTAAATACAAGCTCTGTAAAACAGTAAAATACTTTGATTTAACGCAACTTTGATTTAAATCAATTTAGGTATCTTTACACTACCTTTAAAGTCACTATTTTTATCACAGCCTGAGTTTATTTGTACTTTTTTTCATATATATTCATGTTCTGTGTAAATATCGATGTAAACAGGATTTATAGTATTTGTATCAGAAGGATCATATGTGTAAAAGTTTAAAGTTTGTTTTTTCAGATTACTTTTTGGGCTTTCAGTATCTTCACTTAGAGAAAAGGACAGTAAATATAGCAAAGGACCATAGGAGGGAGAATCATGGATGATATGCAGCAAAGGACTATGGGTAAATGGGGTGCACATTAAAGAGCTGTACCTCTGCTTTGAACAGGAGAGGTCTGCAGTGGGAGGTTACAGGGGTGTCCCTGTATTTTACATTCACATTGTGAGTCTTTGTTGTTGGTTTTAAGAGCTTTTTCCTTCAGAGGCAGTGGACAGTTGTGTCTTATTTTGCTTTGTTTTGTCGAGTTTATTCATCTGGCACATGTCAACCTCGTGTTCATTAGTAAAATCCTCTTTGTTTGATTGCCTGCATTTCTCACAGAGAGGTTTCTGCTGCCCCTCTCCTTTGTTACCTCAAGTGTCTGAGCCTCTGCTGATATTTGTAGAGTCAACCAAATTACAAAACTCAAGCTCTCAAAGGTTTCACTTGCAGTTCTATTAGGACAGCAGGTGATCTGCATGCTGACAGGGCTGACATTGATGTTGATGCACACTTTAGTCATCTGAAACTAAGGGTAAAGACAAACATCTGCAGCAAAACAAGCAGCAGGAGGATCATGTGTTAGTAAAACAGAGGGACAAAGAGAGCATGGAGAGTAAAACTGTGACACAATAACGCCCAATGAGCTCTCAGTGCCCACTGAACAGTGAGTGAACTGAAGGTGCATTTCTTAATAATATATAAAAGCTACAGGGCTCGACAGCGTGACCGTTTCACTCACATTTATGATTTTTAAATAGATGTGTGCGAATTGTAAAATGAATTTAGGGGCACATGTGCGCATGAAAAAAAAACAGTTTTTTCATGTAAATACCACAGTAAAGTTAGTTTTAGTTCGATGGGCATTCACTGCGGATCTACTGGTGACTTCTCACTCTCCATAACCAGGAATAACAACAGCAGCGCGGTTAAATCTACTCGGCACCCTCACTGCCAACGTCGGATGTTGAATAAGGGACCATCAATAAATTACTGGTTGACTTTCTCAAAAAAAGCTTTTTTCCTTTAATCGCTTACACGTCACGTGACCATTTGACCTAAAATTGATTTTAAAAAATAATACTTATGTCGACCAATAAGACACACCTCTTTATTCCCCCAGTTTGTCCTTTTAAAAAATGTTTGTGTTAAATTTAAAGGTAAATTTTGAACATTTTCTTCAATAGCTTCCATGTCATGTGACCAAAAGACTTAAAATTGATTTCAAATAATAGCACTTATGTCGGACAATAAGACACACATTATTTGATCAATTTTCATTGTGCTCCTAAAGTTCTTTGTGTGCTCCTTGTGAAAAAGCTGTGAGCTATATCCCCTAGTCTTCCTTTTTGTCAAGATCAAGCCTAGAGGATGGTACAATAGGTAACTTGTAAATACCACACTATGAAATTAAAGTGTTTTGGGCCAGTGAGAGCAAAAATAATACCAGAGCTTTTTTTTTCTCATTCCAGCTCTGACAACAGAGAAAAGACAGAATATATGTATGAATCAAAATATGAACAGTTGACTAAAAAGTCACCACAATGTAAAATAAATAAAGTGACTGCAATATTCATCAAAACGATGTTTTCATTTTGTCCACAGTTGCATACAAAGTAAAATAAAACTACATTTAAAGAGTGTTTTTTGAATAATACTGCCTTCTTCTTCAAATTTGTGATTCAAGACAAAAAGATGTGAAGCTGAACAAGTTTAACGGGAGCTTTTTAAAACAGAGTCCATCGAATAAGTCTTAAATGTAGTCTCATAACACCTGATAACTTCACATCAAGTGTAAAGAAGTTTATATTTAGTGCAACTGCCGAATAAGGAGTTACAGACCAGTAGGCGATCACATAAGAACATTTGAAGGGAAAACTACTCCCCGGATTACCAATAGCAAATTTACAATCCTCTTGAGATTTCCAAGCATGAGAGAAAGAGATCGCGTATCTTTGACACCTCAGAATATTCTCAGAATCATGCTCCAAACTTAAGCTTGCAGCAGCACCGCCGTCATGACAAAAAAATAAAAATACGCTGTTTTTAAGTGTCGGCACGGCCATCGTAGCGTAGGGTGGTTACCAGTTTCTGAACAAAGTAAATGTGCTTTTGGTTTCTGAGGCCTGAGGGTACATCAAGCCCTTGTTTTCAAAGCAAGGGTCGTTAAAGCATACCTTTCATCACTTCATAATTGAAACAAGTTTAGGAGTTTTTCACTGTTTAACACTCAGATGTTCACACCACTAATGCCCCACCGCTGCAACAATTAAGGGCCTCTATAACTGTGTTGTTCAGGCATCTCAACAGCAAGTCATAAATTTGTCTCGCTCAGTTATCATACTCATGCTTTCACAGCTCAAACTGGCAGCGGACTGGTCACGCAGTTTTGCCAAACTTAATTTTCTCGCCGTGAAACAGCCTCTCCTAGTTAAGGGGGAACAGACTGAGAGGGAGCCGAGCTGCAGAATGAGGCGGTAGATCACAGCTTACAGCAGATTTCTGACGTGTTTAGATTGATAAAGCTTGCTTATTTGTTAAACTTAATGTTTATAATGATTATTAGGATGTTTACTATCGTATTTAAGTACAAAAGATGGTCACTGACTCAAAAATACATTAAGGATAAAAAGTTGTACGCAGCTCTCCTGGAGATGTGAATGATTTTTATTTTATTTTTTTTACAGCAAACAATCTGATAATTGTCAAGATGTTTCACTTTTTCTTTCTCATCATAAAATGTCTTCTTTATTGTTTTCTTTCTCTCTTTTACATATTTCTTTTTAAGGGACTTCTGTTATGTAATGTAATATATATATACATACAGGTTCCGGAGAGAGCCCAGATTGAGCCCCTCTGAGGGTTTTTTGCACCTCTCCATCACTTTTCTTATTGTTTATCCATATTATTTGTATATTTGTAAGCCAATGAAACAAATTAAACTAAATTTAAACTCATAAATGTCAAAGACGTCCTAATGAGGAGTAACAAAATGATTAAAATTGGTGCTCTGGGACCGACAAAAAGTTGTGTGGAAATCTATCGGAGGGTTGTTGATTCACAGAGATGGACTAATAGACCAAAACAAACTGATATTGTCACTTCTAAACCAAAATAAAGCAAATAAAAATAAAAAATGACAAGAATATGAATTTCTACAAACAAAGTCCCGGTTATTCTTCATTATTTACAGAACTCAGTGCAAAAAGTGCTCACTTGAAATGCTTCATCTTTCTTTAGTGAAAATAAAAACACCTAAAGCGTCTGTACTTTAGCTTATCCACATAAAGAGAAGAGTAATGTTAGCCATCTATAGTGTTAGATATCTATGCCGAATATCTATAGTGGCATGAGTCGCTTATTGTCGGCCTTCAATTCTGAGGCTTTTGTTTTTATTTCCATGTGCTGATGTCCTGTGATTTATGACTATATGTCTAAGCACTTTGTAAACTTCTGTTTTTAAACGTGCTATTATAATAATATAAGTTATTATTATTGTGAATATGTTTCGATGTTTCTACTCACTTTGGGTCTTTTCCAATTGTTTTTTGAACAACACTTAAAAATCTGCTCAGAAAAATGCTCACCACTCTTCACGGCTGATCAAATGAGCCTCTTCCTTCCAATAAAAAAGTTGAGTTCGGGACACCAGGAAATGTGCGGGTAAGCACTTTTAAAAAGTCTGCTCTTTCTCTTTGGTGTATTAAAACCAGAGTTACAATCAGCCTCATTGGGTGATTCAAGTTTCTGTAAATACACGAGGAATTTGACTTTGGTAACTTAATTTCACAGAGAGATGGAAAGACAGGGACAGAGGGATCGGGTTTTATTTTCATGAATCCAAAAATGGATGAGCAGTAACTAAAACAAGATGCAGCAAATGTGAAACTACAATGTTGTGAAGAAAACATCATAACATAAGTCAAACCACATATGGGTGTAGTGGACATGCATGTACACAGATATTTCCCTGTATAAACATCATGTTTCATCACTACAAGCTCTGACAGTCTAACTCTGACCTGAACCCACAGACAGACAGACAGACAGACACGCTGATTCTCTGAACCGGTGTATCGTAAATGCTGCTTTACTGACACACTGCGTCTGACTCAAATCAACTGGAGCCAGCTGTAGAGGAGTAAAACCTGTGTCGTAGACGTGTTAATGAGTGCTCTACACTTTTATAGGTTTGGCTTGTTTTGTAGAGGTCAGAGTTTCTGTCACGCAGTCTGGTTAGACTGGAATCTGCACCTCTGGTGTAAAACAGGCTAATTGACAGAGGGAATGAGCCAGAGCATATGGTTTGGTTTTAACTGTTTGGGTGGTGTTTTTCTAAGCCTTTCTGACAGGCCTGCCTCCTTCCGTTTCTTCTAATTTCTTCTAATCAGATGTGACCTTCACCTTGATGACCGCCTGCTCAGTTTGGAGGAGCTCAAAGTGGGTGTGTCCCTGTGTGCATATTTTACACATATGTGCAAAGAGATACAGATAGAGCAGCAGAGAGGTCAAACCGTCGATATACTGTATCTGTATGCATTCTTGCAAGATGCGCAATCGGCAAACAGCAAATGTTACTAATTTAGCACAGGCACGCACACTTTTAATCACAGCTCAGTGTTAGCCTTTGTTTCCGGGAACTACTTCACTGAAATAATGTGGAAATAAAGGTTTAAAAACATAACATGACATGAATTCAGAATAACTTGAGTGAGTATTCAGCTGTTAGAGGACTGAGGGTCGGTTTATTTCTGTGACAGACAAAGTGATAAAGTAGAAAAAAAGGGTAAAATACCTACTGTTGCCACGTAACTGCATCTACAACTGAGCCAGCACTCTTCATGAACCTGCAAGTCAGAAGAAAAAGAAACTGTCGTTACTTTTACATTTTATCCATCAAGATTTAAGGAAGTGTAACAAAGTGAGAAAGTGAGAAAGGAAGGAGAGAAAGAATCACAACATATTCTAAGTTAGAGAAAAGCAAAGGTAAAAACATGTGAAAATCTTAAATTAGCACTTCAGATCTGCCCAGTAGTAAAATGTCACATCTTTGGTGTGCGCATCAAACTTTTTACTCTGAGTTTTACTAAAAATTTAACCCCTGAGACTCCCACCTTCAAAAGTGAACAAAAGTAGCAAGTATGATAAAAAATAGAAGTTTCAGGGACTTCTGAAGTGGTCAATTATGAGGTGTATTATCTACAGGAGATAGCAGTGGGCTAGGTTCACAGAGAGGGTCAATTTTACTAAGAAATTTGTTCATTTTAGGAAAGTCCGACTCAAATATTTCTGTTGCTCTAAGTGTGTCAGCTATTAGAAACTTTCCCTGCTTTGTTTTTAGAAAAGCTGATTGTGTTTTGGTCACATGTACCTGTTCATCCTGGGAGGAATACAAAGTAAAGCTCTAGCACAGGTGTTTCGACTTTCTTAAAATGAACTAAATAACACTGTAGAACTGGTCCGTGTGTTATCTGTCCATTCAATTATTCCATTCAATCTAGTAAACGAAAAAACGAGTCAATATTTTGTTTATTTGTTTTTCTATATAACCAAAAAATTAAAGATTAGTGTTTTTTTTTTGTATTTTCAACTCAAAACAGAATATATAATAAAAAATAATAATAAATCTACTTTTCGGGTGATTGATGTTATTATTAATTTCCCTCTGTGCCTTTCTACTGTCCGCACATGCGCATTGTGCAGCAAAGTAGACGACAACGTGGACCAAAAACTCCAGGCCAGAGCGGTAGAGAAAGGCTAACCTGTTGTCATGGAGATGGACTAGTGATGGGAAGAACAGTTCTTTTGACTGTACTGAATCTTTAGAATCCGTTCATTAAAAGGATTCGTTCAAAAGATTCGTTCACTGAATCAGTCAGCGCTTCGGAGCCCCGTTCTGCCGGTGCAGTACAAAAGTGAGTGACATGGGAAGGCCAGTGTAGCCTCCGTGCACGTATGCTCAAAACAGGCACACTCAAAATCAATAATTGAAAAATAAGATTTATTATTTTGTTTTCGTTTCTTTCTCTATAATACATTCTGTTTTGAGCTGAAAATATGAAAAACAAACACTTTTTTTAAATTTTTTGGTTATACAGAAAAACAAATAAACAAAATATTGACTCGTTTTTCGTTTACTAGATTGAATGGAATAATTGAATGGACGGACCAGAACTGAACCGTGTATAGCCCAGCTTCAGAGCTGGTTCTCTTAATAACAAGGTCAAGCTGATCAGGATCTCTGGTGGGTTGTGCTCCGACTAATGACATCCTTGTAATACTGCCCCACAAAAATACCCGAGCAAATAGGGTCTCTGGCTGTAACAGTTTTCACTCAAGAGCCACTAATGACCGACTCAAACTGCCTGCGGGAGGTCTGTTTTCAAAGGCTCAGTGCAGAAGTTAATATTGAGAGACTGTAAAATAAAACAGAAAAAGAGAGATTCTGTGTCAGCGCCCTACAAAGTTAACACTTAAAGGGATTCGCAGAGTTTTTCTGCGTGCTAAATATGAGCTGCGAATGTTATAGGTACTATAACATAAAAAATGAGCCGCCTCAGGACACAACAATTGTACTGAATCCAGTTTGTCTTTCACAGACACAAACAAAACCTCCACCCATACAGTCCTCCCGGGGGGTTTCGTTCTCCTTTCTCAGCTTTTGTATCCATGTGTGTATTTATATGTGTGTTTTTCCTCGTCTACCTGATCCAAATCTCTCCATATTTGGGGGTAACATCTTGTCAGACTTACCCAAATGTGTGTCTCTAAACTTTCACTGCTCCAGCTTGTTTAGTCTGCCCTGCTCTGATATTTGGACTGTTGAGTAGCTCAGTGTCTAATTTATCTTATTTCCTGAGAGCGGCAGAGTAGTTGGACTGTCAAACATGAGAGCCACCCCCCTCGTAACTGTGTCAAACACACAAGAATCACTCCACCGTTAAATGTGTCACCCATGACCTGTGGATACTCCTGCACTCTCTACTCTTCATGCTCTCACTCCTCCTCCTCCTTCTCCTCTTCTCACTGCTCATCCTCTACGTACCCCCTTTCCTCTGATTTTACTGCCCATCAATCTTCCTGAACGGTACAGTACATGTGCACTAACAGGTAAGGGAGGGAGACAGCAGACATGTCTTTTTATGGCTGCAGAGATAAACAACAGTTTCTCACAGGCCCGCTGATGTAAGTTGAGGGAGGCTCATATCAAAACCTCCTCTCTCCTGACTCCCTTCTGTCAAACTGTGCTTGGGCCTCTGACGTATTACACTGTTCATGTGATGAAAATGTACACACACTTGCATACACTGATGTAATTTCAGCACGAGTTTATGATAGTCTGTTTAAACCAAAGCTTTATAAGATACTTCTAGCTGCATTATGAGCTCCTGAATCTTTGTTTGTTGTAAGTCTCATCGCCCACAACAGAGTTTCTCTAACTTAAGGATGAATTTGTGTGCCATGGACACAATATTTTAACCCTCCTCCTGTGTTAGAGTCTGCACAACCCATTTTTGTTTTTAAATGCGATGAATCGTAACAGCATGATGCGTCATGCATTGTTTGCGGAAACTAAACTAGTGCGTCGGGTCCATGTAAGTATTGGGCGCAGAGACGCCTCTGTGAGCTGGCTGACTGGTGGATGTAATTGTATAAAACAAGGTTCACTTGCAAGGCTGAAATTAGCCCCAAAAGAGCAAAACAAACGTAAAGAATACCCTGTATGTCCGCCATCTTTGTTGTTGTTTTTCTTTTTAATTCGGATGCGCGAGCTGCGGTTTGACGTCATCGATCCGTAAAAGTTCAACCACACGAATACACTTATACAGATATTTTTTTATTTCTCCACTTGTTTTTTCGGATTCAGATTTATCCGGTTTGAGTGTTCCAAACTCCCGTTTTGGTAGGGAGGCCTAATCAGACATAAATATGTGCGGTTTGAAATATATCCGCATTCGTGTAGTTGGGGCCTTAGATAATTAACATTGGTGCATTGCAAATAACTTGCAGACAGATCAGTGTTAACAGGGTAATTATATACATATGAATGAAGATACAAATCTTCATCCCTACGTTTAAGTGTTTATTTGTATCTGATATTTTTCTTAAATTTACAGTCATATCCAGTATTCGATGCACTTTTAATACCTTTTCCTAAAACCTTTGAAAAGACTCCTAAACTTGAGGATCAGCAGAGGAGATTGGCAAAAAGTCACTGGAATTTAGTTGCGGACAATCGTTGTGTTCATATCTCACAACTACCAACACTATCTACATGATCTGTTAATACACTAGCTATCACCAACTGATGCCTACAGGAGGAGGTCTAATTATAAAACAAAAAAATAGCCCTCTCTGTATACCTGCATTAAGCTTTAGTAAGATGCAGTCAATTAAAGATCAAATTATATTCTAGCTCGGTTGTTTCATGCAGATTCTGCTTCTCAGTTTTTGGGGAGAGAGGAATTTTATCGACACATCGCTCCCATTTCTAAAAATAAAAGGACAAAACTTTCAGCTGAACAAAAGTTTGAAGAAAAAAAACTATATTTTATTTGATGTTTCTCATATGTTGTTTTATTTGTCGTCTGTGTTACATTTTCAAAAGCAAAAAAAAAAAAACTTGTGGATGTCGTTTTTGTTGGCGAGAGACTGAAATCTCAAATGCAGCGGAAAGAACAAAACATACCCTCGCTGTTTCTTCCTCACAGCCATGTGGCAATAATGAGTTCTCGCCAAAGCCAGTTAATGTCCACTGTGTCAGTATTAGTATGTTGATTTAATGCATATTTATGATTTTTTCCTACTGTACTGAGTGGGATTTGTAGCTGCTTTAAAAATATGGAGTTAAAAAGGAAACTGTTTGCTTTCTAAAACAGTAAAGTGTCAATGACCAAAGTTAAAAAACTACCTCTTCATTTTATGTATTCAAGGTTTGACAACATAAGAAGTCTGGGCTGCGGTTCAGGAAAGGCTGTTAGATAAGCTGTGAGAGTCAAACTGAGGCTATAGCGGGGCTTCTGGGTAAAACCAGCAGGTGGGAAGTTGTGCCGTCACATTATCAATCAGCTGACACTTTATTTAACTGGAGCTGAGACCCTGAAACCTGCAGAGTGGAAATCCATAAACACTGAACACCACCACTACGTATGTGTGTGTGTGTGCACTACACAGTTAAGCTCGGCAAAGAGTCCAAACAACCAGGGAATACTTTCCGATACCTCCCCCCTTTTGTTCCCAGCCGGACAAAGAAAGGATTTCTGCTCTATCAGTGATTTAGCTGCTGACTCACCCGTCCAGCAGCAGGATGGCGTTCTTCCGAGGCCGTCCCGCGTTGGGGCCGTAGAGGTGAGCCCGGTGGTAGTAGCGCACAGATTGCAGCAGGGTCCTCAGCTTGGTGTAGTCTTGAGCCAGCTGGGTGCTGTTGACCGCTCGGCCCACCATGCTGCGATACGCGTTTGGCTCTGCGAAGAGGAAATGCAAAACGCAGAGTTAGAGAGAGATGGAGTTTACACAAGCGGCAGGAGGGAGGCGGCTCCGAATAACGTTGTTGTTGTTGTTGTCGTAGTCGGATCTTGCACTCCAGGATAGTCTGCAACAGCCAGTAGGAAAAAAAAAACGGATAATTGGGCAATTCGCAGTAACACTGACAGATGGACTAAGTGTCAGGGGAGCGGCCCAATCACACAGGGTGGCCTTGCAGAATCAGTTAAACAAAGACAGAGAGGGAGCTGGTCTCCCAAAAAGGATGGAAAGTAAGATTTTACAGGCCCACCGCTCTTTTACTGCTCATCTGAAGAGGATTCTGATTACATGTGTACCAGCTTTTGTTTGAGCTATAAAATAAAACTTTCTTTTGATTTGTTTCTTTTAAGTGCTTCAGTCCTGAGATCCACACCGTAATGTTCAGAGGATCGCTTATTCACTCAATCTCTAGCTCTGTTTAATATGATTCCTTCTGCTTCAGTTCAGGTCCTCACTTACATTTCTATGCGGTCCAGTCTGAGGATTCTTCACAGCACTTTTAGGCTAAAGCTACAAGAAAGGTTTCCATTGTGAGATGAAATGAAATGAAAATATAAAGTGATGTGTAGTCGGGAAGCACAGGGCTCTGCGTGGACTGCAGCTCCACAGGAACACAGATGGTAAGGATGACACGAAGACTAGCAGTTCCTTTTCATCCCCGTCTGAACCTCCGCCTTAACCCTTAAACTGCCTGACTCTCCTTTTCCACTCGCTGTCTGAAAAATGTCTCTTTAAGGTTTTACAGCAAACATGTAAAGAACTCAGCAGGGTGGGGGAAAAAAATCAATCATTCAAAAGGCTGTACCACATTTTAAATGTACTCTGTGGATAATGTCTCTGCTGCTTTAAGATCCAATTTTAACACTTTACATATTTAGCGCAGTTAGAGACACACCAGTGAAACATGTTTGCATTAAAAATAAGGTACAGAAGTAACAACTTTTTCTTCAAATATCTCAGAAAAGAATAAAAACAAATCAAGTGTGTTCAGTTCAGTTCAGGATATAAAAGTAAAATGTCTGGTTTAAAATTAGAGTTTTTAGGCAAAGTTTGATCATTTTCAGATAAGAACTTTTTAAAATGTGTAAAACTCCGAGTTGCTTGTCTAATGTTTGTGCAGAAACACGATCAAAGCTCATGAACCAATGCTATACAGTATAGTTGGAGCAAATCTGCAATAAATGAACCGTTGAAATGCATAATTATCACAAAGATCATGAGAGTAAAAAGATGCAAACTAATGCATGTTTATCTACATTTATAGGCTGTAAATTTTGAGAAACATTAGAGAAAACTACAGTCCAGTAAAAAATACAAACACAAGGATCACTGGAGTTTTAAAGGGATATTCCAGCGTAAAATTAATTTAGGGTCAAACACACCATAACACCGAGACACTAAGAAAGAAGAACTGAAAATGGATTAGTATGGTGATTAGTATGGTGATTATTACTTCAAGGGAATGATAAAGAAATGATCATAAATGTTCTTCCTTGAGCTGCGTCACCCCGCTGTAGTCTGTAATAGGTCTCTCTACAATCAAGCGGCTGCTGGAAGAGAGTAGGTGAGTTGTGTTTAGTCTCTTTGCTTAAGAAATGAGTCAAAGTTAAAAAGATGTTTGGTGGCTAGTACTATGGCTGGGACCTTATATGTCCTGTTGATGAAGTTAGGTGCTGTTCTAAGCGTTATTTGTGGCTATAGAGTGGCGTTTTGTTTGAGGTTTGTTTATGTCTCCTCAGACCGTTGTGTATTGCTATTGTGCGGTCGTTACTAAAGTCAATTTTACGCCAGAATATCCCTTAAAGGCTGTCTGCATTTTTTTCTTTAATCGTATTACTTCTTCAGACCTTTAAACCAAATTAACAATCAGAGGAATCTCAGAACTGCATATCAAAATAAGAAACTTTAAATCGACTTGGTGTGGTTGCAGTTTTTCATGTTAGTTAGTAAAAGGTTCTTGCTGTGTTGCTGTACTGACCGTTGCCCAGTTCCCAGGAGATGTTGTACTTCTTTCCGGCTCCGTACTTGAGGAGGCTCAGGGTGGAGGAGGTGTTCCAGGAGTTGTCTGGGTTCCTGTGCAGCGCGTTGAGCCCCAGGATCAGGTGCAGACCGGCACAGTCGGCAAAGTTGTACAGTTTGTCTAAAGACCTGGCTGGGAGAAAACCACAAAGCAGTTGTAACTTTGATTCTTCTCTTTTTACGCACCTGGAGTCACATGACCACACGGCATGAATCAGGAATCAGACCCGGTCCATGTGGAAGTCGTTGATCTGGTTTTCATTTCCATGTACTGTAGCAAACCTCCTTATATACGTCTACACTACATCAACATCTGGAACTTTGGTTCTTCAAGTGCCATAACTCCCCTAAATATAGTATCTTTTAGGATACTTGGAGATACTGTGAATGTGTGAATGGAAGTTTTTACCTGATATATCTTTTTATTCATCCGTACATCAGGTACAATGTTATTTTTTCATTAAATTTGGTGTCTGCATGGTGTCCTTTAACTCCACAAGACAAACTGGTTGATTTGGATTATCTGAATCTGGTTTGTGTGACATGATTTGTTTGTATGTTTGTGCTCATTCAAATTTCCTCTTTATGGACATTCAAGTTCTCTAAGTCGAAGATATCAATACAAGAAAATTATGCGTAAATTCTGCAGATCAAGCAATCACTATAAAATCTGTCAAATGAGGCACATAGACATGGATTTCTCACTGGCTCTATCATGTACAGCAGGGGTGGGCAATTAATTTTTACATGGGGCCACATGAGAATCCTGAACCGTGTTGGAGGGCCGAACCAACAATAACTCCAACTTCAAATCAGGGGGATTCACAGATACAGAAAAGCAAGCCCAAGTAAGCAACTACTAGTTAAAAACAAGCCCAAAAAAGCGCACCTGTGACTCACGAGTTTTACAAGTGACTTCTAAGTCTTCTATAACAAGCGTACTTGGCAATTATAAGGCATCTATGCATATTTTGCCGATGTTTAAACTTGTCTCTGTTCACAAATGCAGATCTAGGATGTATGCACGTGCGTCCAGACGGAAATAAAACAACGGCTAGATTTTCAAAATAAAGCAACACACTTGTATAGCTTGTTGATGATTTGACTGATGGACCTCACGAAGGGCCGGGCAGGGACATCCAAAGGGCCGGATGTGGCCCTCGAGCAAAAATGCCCAGGTCTGATGTCCAGGGTTCCTACGCACGTATGGAACGTATGGAAAAGTATGGAATAAATTTGATCAATTTCCAGGTCTTTCCAGGTCTTAAAAATTATAGAAAATGAAAAATAAAGTATGGAAAAATATTTATGTTAACAGACTATGTTACCACTGTTCTAAAATACTGTCTTTCCACAAGGTATTTCCACAAATAATTCCAAAAAGTAGTATTCCAAATGTGGAACCCTGCATGTAGTTTGGCTGTCGTGTCCCGGTCATTTTTGGCTCTCGCGTTGAAGTTTAAGTTTTTACCTGAGCTATGAGGAGATATAGGAAGAGATTTACGATGAAAAAGGCTTCTTGTTGCGTTGTTACCACTTTAATGATCTGGCATGGAAAATGTAAACACCGGGCCCCTTTGCTCCCCACATCCTTCAAATCTCCCCTCGCTTTAAAAGATTAGAGTTGGGTTAGGTTGAATAGGTCTGTAATATAAAGTATACTGAGCCATGATGCGCTCCACAAGTTCTCAATGCAAAAATCATTAAATGAGTATTAAATGTCATTGGAAATACTGTGAGTTCATTTTAACAAACAAACTCCTAATTTTCTACCCACACTAAATGATACTGTATACAATCAGTGAAAGCAGATCACGTTTCTTTGCTGTTATGTAAATAGACAATTTGTATAATCAAAATCAGAATTGGGGTTTATTACCAACAGTTTACACGTGAGGATTTTCTTTTTTATAATGGTGCATTAGAATAAACAGAAAACACCTGAAAGGAAGTAACCAGCAGTAATCCTGCTGTCAGGAAACAACTAAATAAAGGAAACCGCACAGCCGTGACAAAAATGTCCCACAAAATACGAACATCAAATCTTTCTCTCAAGTGTTCTTGAAAATCTGGAGAGCGTATGCAGAGAGAAACCGTGGTTTTCAGCCGTCAGATATTTAACTTTGGGTTTGTGCATGTGTGAAAATTTGATGCATGACAGCTGAGTCTTGTCTTCAATGAGAATCCAGACAGGCTGAGTTTCCCATCGTGGACTCCTGTGGTGATGCTATCCTCAGAGCAGTGAGCAAAGATCACGGTAATGCCTGCTGTCTGCATCAAAGCGCATGACTCTCTCTAGGCAGTTAAGCGAGGATGAGGGCTCACAACAGATGTCTGCATGAAGTGAGAGCGCCTAAAGTGTTTGTTTATAGTCAAACGTGCGACTGCAGGCTGCTCCTGGGTACCTCCAGCTCTTGTTTTGAAATCGAATCTGTTTGGATTCATTCCATTAACCTAAATATTACCCTGAACTCCAACCTTTGCTTCTCTTGGTTCAACAGGAAACAGATGAGGACTCGTGGTAGTCTGGTTCTGGCTAGAGTTAGCCCTCGACTTTGGGTTGGAGGTGGCTGAGCTGGGCTGATGGAGGATGTTGGGGAAGGCAACACAAAGCAGGGTGCAGAGCCAGGTTCTCCTGCGTGCAAAGCCAGTCTGCTGCAAAGTTCCCAAATATTATTTTCAACAAACTCAAGAATGCATAAAAACAAACAAATCAAGTAAGCAGAATTGGCTCAGTGTTGACAGTTCGGTTCAGGATATTAAAGTAAAATGGTTTAAAATTAGAGTTTTTATACAAAGTTTGATAATTATGAATTTGCATTGAAATGCATAATGCTCACAAAGATCACGAAAGTATAAAAATCAGAGAAACATTAGAGAAAACTACATTCCATTTAAAAAAAATACATTAGCCAAGTTAACCAGAGCTTTAAGGCTGTCTCCATTTCCTTACTTTATCTTATTACTTCTTTAGACTATAAACCAAATTAATAATCAGAGATACATCAGAACCAGAGACTGTATATTGAACGGACGCCGTCTGTCTCCTCGCTGGGCGAAGCCACTCCGAGAACAGCACAGCCTGGTGACGGGCTGCAGTATAGGTCATAAATCCCACCTCCGCCAGCAAAGCTAACGGAGCTGTGACAAACTGCAGCAGCACTGTCTCTATTTCAGAGCAACTTTACTATCCTGAGAAAAAAAACTCAATCAGTTTTGATTTTGATTTGAACATCACCAACTTCTCCACTTGGTAAAGTGTTTGCACTAATAAGAGGGATGGACAGAGAATAGACTTATTAATCAATCATAGATGCTATTATTTCTCATAAAAACGTAAAAAATCAACTCTGTAATATGTACTTTGTATTGGATTTACAAGCCTGCAGCAGACACCGGTATGTAATTAATCCGCGTTAAATTTTCAAGCCATTTTAGCAGCGATTAGTGAATCAAAATGAAGAGATTATTTTAACAGCCTGATTGTAATCACTTTAAACTACATAAGATATTTTGAGGTAAATTGTTAAATTGAAAAATTCTCTCTACTCACCTCATTTATTTCATTTCCCTGAGGGAAGCTTCTCAAAAACATCATCTTAATCTAATCTGATCTAATCTAATCTTGCAGCCCATCCAACACAGACACACTTTGGGAAACTGTTATTTTTTTCTTTCACTATTACACTGTGAGCCTTTTTCTTCTAATAATAATAATACAAACCACAGACCAAACAGAACAGAATGACTTCTTGTTGCACCTGGCATCAATCAATGTGCCCTCCAGCAACAACAAGACCAAACCTAAAAAGGCAGAGAACCCCAGCAGTAACAACGGCTTTACTCCACACGGCACTACTCACAGGTTTATCCTTTGTAAACTGTATGCTCTCCATCTCATTAAGAATCACCAATAACCGTATTATCATAACTACAACCATAACTCCTTCCCTCTGTGGTTAAATCAGAGTGGCATCTGTTTTCAGGAACAGAGTCGAGGGCGTAAGGACGGAGAGAGTAGCGCCAGATGTGGCTGTCAGGATGAGTGATTCCAGGCTTCCCCTCACCTGAGATCTGAGCAGCAGGCTCGGAGACGCAGCTAGTAGCCCTGCGCACACCTCATAAAGACATCATAGGGTGCATCACACTGCCAAAAAATATAGTTCCGCAGATGGAAGGTTGAAGAGCAGCATGTAGGATCAAACAAACTCGGCGTGCTTTATATGTCAGTTGGGTTTCATCGTTGATTATTCATCAACGCCGGCGGACAGACAAATAGCCGACTTTTTTGTGCCTCAGCTCATAAAAAGATGTTGAATGTGCAGGTCAAAAGTAGAAAAAAAGACCATGCAACCCTATAGACTGTATATACTATGGACAACATGGCTGCGCCCTCCACCAGTATAAGGATTTGAAGCCGAAGAGCTCTCTGTATTTCCGCGATTTTTCTTCATTTCCTGAAACCAACATTGCGCAGTAGTGTTGTACCAAACAGCTCGGCTCAAACAGCGTATACCCCAGGTGAGCTATGCAATATTTGTATACCAATAGGCTGTATCAGGTGTCAATCATAGAAAACATGAACCCCCGAATAACTTTTAAAAACTGAGCTGTACAGAAAAAAGAGGACTTGAGCACAAACCAGTCTGACCGTAACTTCATGTCAACATCGCAACCAGGAGGGAGAAAAATCTATATTCTGTGTAATAAATTCCTAAAGTTTGTCCACAGCTCCATAGGGATTGCTGGAGGAGGTGGGATTTATGACCTATACTGCAGCCCGTCACCAGAGGGTGCTGTTCTCGGAATGGCTTCACCCAGCGAGAAGGCAGACGGCGTCCATTCAATATACAGTCTATGTGCAACCCAAGGAGTTGAATAATTTGCATTTGTCCCCTTTTTTTAAAAAAAATAAAACTCAAATACGATAAAAAATATCTAATTTGAGCCTCTCAAAAACCAGGATTTGCTTCTCGAATTTGTCAAACTGAAAAAGTTATTGAGGTATTTAAGGTTTTTGGACTTTGAGTCGATTGCCTCTGAAAAAATGAGATTAGTATCTCCCTGGATTATTTACTGAATGCTTGAAACAGATCGATAAGAGATAGATAACTGAATCCTTAGCAAGAGAAAGTTGATGTTACAGTTCTAAACTTGATCTATAATGACTCCCTTTAAATAATCAATCCATTGATTAGTTTCTAATCCTCTGGAGGCCTGATAGAGAGGAAGTAAAGCTTTACTTTCCAGCACAGCCTGGCTCTGGATTATCATTGTACAGGAGCAGGACCTCATATGCTTCCCTGCACAGTGAAAGGGATTCTGGATGGATCCAAATTCCTGGTTGTCAGGAAATCTAGGGATCACTCAGGCCAAACATAAAAGAGCTTCAAAACAGACACTAGAAATCCCTGAAGCTACAAATCTCTGATCACAGCCAGACAAAAGTTATGACATTACCGAGACACCAAACATGAGTCTGTATGTGTGAGCTTCTTACTATTGAATTTCTGTAAAAGCAGCAAACTTTACAGCACATGGGGATAAATGGGAACAGCCAAGGATCAACTGTTTCACAAACACAGACTTCAACAATTAATCAAGCCAATATGAAATCATCTTCACGCACGTCAACGGCATCAAACCAATGGCAAATGTTGTTCATCCCAATGGAGCTGAGTGAGTCACCTCCTTGAGTCAACAGCTTCGTACGACTTTATCTTCTTTAGATTTATAGCTCCATGACTGTTATTGGGTTTACCAACTCTCCATCATGGTTGTGACCGATACAGAGGAAAAATCTCAATTACACTTTAACACAATAAAGGCCCGCCTAAGGTCAGACTCCACTGAACTCACTCAGGGACAAACTTCTCTTTCATCCCACAAACAGTACAGCCGAAAACAAGCAGGACAAACTCAGACAGTTGTTTGTGCATGTGTGCGCACACATGTGTGTGTGTGTGTGTGTGTGTGCCAGTGTGTTTGCCTGCGTGCTTTTGTGTGTTTGTGTGTGAGCGGAAAGAGTGGGGTCTGGATATTGTCAAGCTGTCTATCTGATAGGAAAGCCAGTCCTGTGAAGCAGAGGGGCCGGCAGCATCAGTCGACGCTATGCCTCATTTCTGCAGCTCTGCATATTCCCTCGTACACCGAGACACACATATGCTTATGTACACTGGGCCTGTCTGTGCTCACACAAACAGTGTTTGCTGGTTTATAAACCACCAACATGAGCCAGACACCCGACTGAAGTTTCCAATGAAAGAACATTTTTCTCTATTGGAACAACTTTAGTGAGTTACTGTCAGACAAAGACAGTTTTTTGTTTTTTTTCAAAGTCTTTCCCAGATCAGCTTGAAACGATGATTTCTGTTTCTTTAAAAAAAATAGGAAGATTAAAAGGTGGTGTATTTCCAAAAAAGCTTTTAATATCAGTCAATAGCTATTTGTTATTGATGACATTTGGGAATATAACGATATCGCTGTGTTTTGTTATGTCGGTGTAGTCAACATTTTTAAATTTTTGAGTGGCCCGCTCTTTCTGACTGTAAACAAAGCCATTCTTCACCTCCCCCAACCTGATTGGTTGTGAGGCACGCCCCACGTCCTCGAATAACGTTCACAAGGTCAAACAAAGTTGGCGTGCTACAATATCGGACAGTAGAAACCAACCAGAAAGTGAAAAATTGTCTGAATCCTCCTTTGGCCACGACTGCCGACACAAGCAAGAAAACGAAGTAAATACCAGAGACTCTGGAGGAATAACAGGCGCTTAAAACTGGACAAGAGCTAAAAAGCCGGGTCAACATAAAACGATAGGGGACGCTTCAGGATCTTACGGACCCGGTACCCTTTGTGCTGGACAGGTAAACCGCTTTAACAAAGTAAGCCAAGTGTCTGTAACAGAAGTGTTTCTTGTCAAACGGACCTGCTGTAGCGTGTTGTAGCGCCATCGCTAAACTGTTGACCTCGGGTCCTGGACTATGTCACTTTATCCTAGTTGTAGAAGTCCTGCAAACATTGTGTTTGCTGGTAGTCTGTTGGCATCTACAGTAGCACCAATGCTTTTTACTTTCACCTTGACTGGGCCCCATTTGTAATTATCTGAAGTATTTATCTGCATTATATCTGAATTTAAGTGAAACGATACGAGCGAGCAGGAGCGTCTGTTTGTGGGCGGGGCTTGCTGGAGCAGAGAGGGAGGGGAGAGGAGGAGCTGAGGGGAAAACTGGTTGGGAGGGGTAGAGTTTACATTCAAGATTTCTCCTAAAAACTGGCACTTCTTCAGAACCTGCCTACCCCACCTTTAATTACTTTTCAAACCAAAGGACAGCTAAAAAACATAAATACATCACTAAACTAGGAAACCAAACAGACAAGAAGCAAGAGTTTCAGTACATTCACGTTTCCCAGTGAAGCTCAATGACGGATAAAGACAAGAGGATAGACCTTTGATTAGTGGTTTTGGAAACATGCCCCACTCGTAAGCTTGGTGACTTTTTAAGTGACTCTAAATGCCATTAGTGTTTTGACAGCAGCAGATTTGAGCACGGTTATACGGTCAGTCATACCAGGGCACCAAGAACTAGCAGGTGATCTACACGACTTGTTTCAGTTATCTGCTGTCACTCTGAGATGAATCCAAAGCTGCAGATGATCATGCTAAATGTCACTGTATAATGAGTAAAGATGGAGATTGTTCATTTCTATTGATACTGAAATCTTTATCTCTGTAAACTCTGTAATGATTGATACCACTGTTGAGTCTTTTTGTTTTTAACAGAACTGGCATTATATTCAGCCTTCATAAAACACAGCAGATGTAATCCCTTCAACATTTTCAAAATTAAATCTGCAGCAATTTTATCACCACAATAAAGAAAACAAATACAGAATGAAAGTTGATTAGAGTTTGTGTTTGAAAGGTCATATCTTAATTTTAATACTTTACATCGCTTTTCTGTTCACAAAAGAGACAAAATATTTCATTTTCTGAGAGGAAATATGTTCTTCAGATTTTTAATTAGCCAGCTGGTGGATATCACAAGGCAGGGTGGGAATTAGCCAGGCTCAGATCAGAGTTTTTGAAGGCTAATCATTCCACTGGCATTCGCAAATCCAGATGATTTTGGAAATTTTGTTTCGTCTTTGGCTTACAAAAGTTGAATCCATGAAAATGAAATTATCATTTTTGTGGCTACACTGATCACAAGAAATGCAATGACTCACTGCCAAACAGCTGATTGCCACAGACAACGCTGATTAGCAGGTTAAACCGGTTAAAACCAGCCAATTATATGCCAAATGAATATACACATACAGTCTAAAATTGAGTCCTGGTTTTCTTTAAAATCTAAATCAAGTCCAAAACCGAGTGAGACGTGTTCAGGCACATGAGAGGAGTGTTTAGAGTGATTAATTCAAAGCCCTTTTCCTGTTTATGGATACTCGGTGCTGTCCAGAGATGCATGTGTTGTCCTTTTGCTTCCAAAGCTTTAAAAACGTGTAATTAGTGCTTGAACTTCTGCCACTGAGCATGATATCAAAACGCGACTTTTAACACAAACCATCTCTTTTCGCTAACTTAATCCTCTTGTGGAATATAAACGATGATCTGATGCGAACAGACAAAAGCAATAAATAATTTTTTATTCTATCTGTCCATGTGTGAGAGCAGGGACGCTTGTAATTTTGTCTGTCAGAGCTGTAACTTAACACATAATTTCAGCTAGAAGTGACACACACACACACACACACACACACACACACACACACACACACACACCCTTTAAATCTGCCTCAAGATCTCAGAGGGAAAAACTTAGTGGAAACAGCTACTTTCAGAGTGCATCCATCAAAGCGTTTTTGCAATGGATAACTGTTGGTGACAGTATCTAAGGTTTTAGCAGACTGACTGAAAGGTAATTCACCATTTAGACTCTACACATGCCAAGCGGTCACAGACAAACAGCCTGACTAGTCATGAAAGATTGGGAGGGAAACCGCTAAACGTCCAAGAAAACTGAAAATAGTGGGCGCATTTATCACCAGCTCCTCCATTAAGGCTCTAATCTCTTTTCTCCCTCCCCTGCTCTCTGTTTCTGATTGTACACATCCCTCCACTAAGCAGGCCTGCTGTGGCTGCAGAAATAGACACTGGGACTAGAGCAAGGACATCTCAGAGCTAGGGTTTTTTAGATTAAAGAAAAGACGGGCAAAAGTTTGCAGTTAATCGCTCATCTGTATCGGCCGCAACCAGACCGGTATACAGTTACTGCATGATTCATCTGTATCTTATCCTGAGGTTAACTTGACACTGTATGTTAAGGTTGTGCAGAGGAAGAAATGTGTTTCCAATATAACGCGATGCAGCACCGCTACACCACCACCAACGCCTCCATGTTTATACACACACCGCTACATGGGACCCGTCTTTCATAGAGAGAGGCTCCGCTCCAACAAAACCAGTCAGGTCAAACCACTTTTGTATTTTGGAAGAATGTAAGATATGTGGTGGGCACCTGTTTTCAATTCGGTTACCAGAGGGGGACCGATATGTGTGTGTGTGTGTGTGTGTGTAAGTGTGCACGTGGAAACGAGAGTGTGAGGGAGAGATTAGCTCAATCTCTGAATTTGCTGCGACCAGACTTGTGTGTGGCCCTGTTTTCTGTACCCAGTGTGTGAGTAGACAGAGCCGGTGAGTAAGATGAATGGTATGTTAACGTACACTTCACACCATGTACCGAACATCCGTACTCTACTCTGTGTGTATGTGAGTGTGTGTGTGTTTGCGCCATCTGGCCCATTGGCAAGAGGCTTAAGTAGACAACTAACCATAGACAAAGAAGAGGACCAAGTCTCATCAACTGCCTTTCACTGTCATGTAACTCAAACCACTTGTTCAGGGAACAGGGTGTGAGGGAAATGGGTATGGGATGTGGTTTTCACATCTGTTTGGCAACAGTCGCCGTCTATCACTCCCTAATGGGAAAAGTACGCTCTTTAGATACTAATGACCTCACTGCGTTCAGCCTGCAAAGAAGCAAGGTGTGTGGAAGTTTACCAGAAGAGAAACAGCGCCGTGTCTTGTTTGCACATGTGCGCTACCTACGAAGCGTAAGCAAACACGGCCCACAGAGCGGAAATTTAATCTGCAGTTACCACGAGCCAAAACTATTTATAATCACCGTGTTATTAAAAACTAACAGAGATGGTTTCATAACTCATAAATCTGATCCCTGCACAGGGAAGAGATAATCTCCTAAAGACAACAATAGGTGGCCACAAGTATGAAACTCAAAGCTTAATCAAGGTAAATAAAAAAAGGAATTTTAGAGAAAGTGATTAATGTGTATTTTTGAGGTTCACTATAACCAGTGGAGGTACACAGGCACACAGAGTAAAATGGGTCAAGCTTAAATATTCCTTCTTGAGCTGTGTCACCCCGCTGTAGTCCATAATGGCTCGCCACAAACAAGCGGCTGCTGGAAGAGAGTAGGTGAGTTGTGTTTAGTCTCTTTCCTAATGAAATCAGGCAAAGTTAAAAAGATGTTTGGTGGCTAGTACTATGGCTGGGACCCTATATGTACTGTTGATGAAGTTAGGTGCTGTTCTGAGCATTATTTGTGGCTATAGAGTGGCGTTTGGGTTGAGCGCATGGATCTCTGTATTGCTATCATGCGGTCGTTACTAAAGTTGGTATAACTAGAGAAGCAAGCGGTCGGCAACATTCATCTCTGGAGGGGGAGTCTAACTCGGTGTTAATTTTACGCCGGAATATCCCTTTAAGGACAAATAAACTGCAGTCCCCTTCAGTGTTTCTGCGTGTTTTAGCATCATGCAGCTCTCTGTTTTAGCCCCACAATCAAAGCTCTTTGATTCAATCTCACTGCTTTCATCAGCTTATCAACTGAGGCAGACTTCAGTTATCGATGAAAAGCTTGACGAAGTGTCTCAATACTAAAATCTGAATCAACATATCAGTTTATATGTTTATCTTTAGTATGTGTGCTCTTATTTTTCGATTACCGCGGCAGGTAACGAGCTACAGCCTAGTTTTTCCCCTCTGTTCTGAGTATGTCAAATGGACAAATATTGTGGCTTTATAACAATAAGCATAACATATTATAATACCTGACCTTGTAAGTCATGATAAAAAACTTAATAATGTGTTTTGATTATTGCTATAGAGCATTATACTCATTTATGAGTGTTTATAACTATAGTTATACAGTGCTATAATGGGATTATAACAAATAATACATATATTAATGATGCGTTAAAGAGATAGGGGTCAAGTAAAGTGTTACCGTAATTCCTATACCAGTCTAAAATATAAACAGGATTGTTTCCTGAAAAGACTAACCTCTGTAACTCCCAAAGACATTTCCTCATATGGAGGTAAAAAAACAGAAACAGGTCAAAATGTATGTAGTTTTACTGATCAGATAACATTAGGTTACGTTGGGTTTAATACAGAATCTCTCTTCCCTCCTCTGTGTGTACGTCTGTGCCTCCAGTGTTGTTTATGTAAACCAACAATCTGCTTTTTTACAAACTCTTACAGCAAATATGACGATACATGCTGAAGTCAAACAGATGTGTTAGAAAAATTTAAAGTTTGGTATTTCCAAGTTGACAGCACCACACTTCGCATAATTACAGTAGGAAACATCTTCTGCTTTTTAAAGTCAGAGCTGAGACCAAAGTATGGGGGCCACACCTGACATTTTTACAACCAGAGATTAGTGACGCTGTCACCTCTTAAGAGGGAGGTTGTAAAGTTTGCAGCTCTTATCCAGTTCTCCATCTCGTCACACACCTCTGCTGATGCTTTAATTGGGCTCAGATTGCTCTGTAATTGCAGAGAAACAAGAGTGCTGCAGGCGGACACAAAAAAGACACTGGCCCAAGGCTTAACTCCACATGAACCATCAAAGACTTTGGACTCACAACAATGTCTGCAGCCCTTTCAGTGAAACACCTGCTTTTGCTGCTAACACAATGCAGATCACGGTGACTCATCGTCCAATTACACCCAGGTTCTTAGCAAATGCCTCTTTTAACACTTTGATATTCATCATGCTCAAAAATCGCACGACTGGAGAACCAAGGGCAAACAAAACATTTGTTTTAGAGGTATTTAGCACATCTGCTACATTCCCCACACTGAGAGGGTATCTTTGATCCCAGGCCTTGTGATGGATGATGGTTATGAAGACCAGATCCCAAGCAGTCCAGCAAAGCAAACACACAGTATCCCAGGCTCCCTTTCACTGCTAGAATAATCACCATAATCACGGCAATCATCTTCCACTCTCAAACCATATCCACACACATTAGTTATGCTTTAGTTAAACTGAAAGTTCTGTCTTCAGCTGGACCAGCAGAGCCAGATTAAACAGTTGCAGAATCACTGCTTTGCATTTCAACAGTTTATAGTTTTATAATTGTATATTTTTGTTGCAAGTTTCTGGGAAATGTTTTAGAAATGCCTCTTTCTGTATTGACCACCCTGACTATGTATTTGTGTAATAGTATAATGACCGATAATGAACCAAATTCCACATAATTGGATGAGTGATATAATATTTTATCCATTTATGGGATAAATTCATAATAATTGTCTTTAAGTACTTTTATAAATGAGGTATGGCCAAGCATGTTGGTTTCCATTCAAAGTATGACTACAGCTTTATAATGACACAGTTTCCCTGAACGTGTTTGTGCTATGACGTCTACACACTCTTAACAGTTTAAATAAAGAGAGACTGGCGACCACATGCCTTTAATTGGAATTTTTCAATATTAGTGATGGTTATATATCATCTTCCCATATGTAGGGCAAAACCAACGGGGGGCACCCGCCTCAGCAGGCAGAGTCTCTCCTCTCATAACTCTTCGCTTTCAAGTCCCATTCGCGTTTCTGCAGAAGCTCGTTATGACAAAGTTGGGATTTGGACTTATCCCAGCGCTGTGATGGGTTTTCCTGCCTCATGTTTATGGAGAGAGAAAAAGGACATTTTTCAAATTTTTAAATTTGAGACATAACTCCCAAAGTCTCACAACTGTTTCCTCATCAGGTTTTCTAGTCCCGCCTGTGGAGCACCTGACGCTGCATGACGAGAATCCGAGCCCATTTTCACATTTGAAAACACTTTTTCGGCCTCTCATTTGCGCTCTCTATCTTGTTTGGCAGAGGTTCGCACGCAAGTGAGAATTAGATTTGTTTTCTTATTGTGTTTTGGTCAATTAGTCGGTTCAGATGTTGGATGTTTGGAAAAAGTGACAATCTGCTTTTGTTCTTTCACACTTGCAGCGGTGCTTTCAACTAACGCAAAAACCATACTGTACACTCAGCGCTTTGAAATAAACACACAGATTCTTCCCAGTTTTAAAAATAAATACAGATTCATTAACACCCACTGTGGAAACCTTGAAAAAACACGTCGATCTCTCAAGTGGTTACTGCGAGCTCAGACATCTGAATAAACAATGTTTACTCAATATCTACAAGAAGTGGACCACAGTATGTTGAATCAATCTGCTCAGAAATTGGAAATAAAATCAAAACAACTAAAAATCAAATCAATTAGTTAAAGATGTTTCTGTGATTTATTACAAAACATCAGAAAAAGTCTTAAAATATGTTTCAGGAGGAGACGGTGTTGAGCAATAATTAGTAATTTCACCTCAAGTGTTGAAGGAAAATTACACAAACTGAATACAAACATCAGCGGTAGCACCTGGAATTTATGTACGAGATGGTTTCTACTAAAAAACGATGCTCTTTTTTTTTTCATCAAAGTCTGAGTGCAGAGAAAGTTGGTTAACATCTGGCCAGAGTAAAACTTTTTTAGCAGCATCTGGATGATCTCAAAATGTTTCATCTTCAGAGTGTAAACCTCAGGAGGTTTCAAGAGATGAAACAGCAGACAGTCCTGTCAATGTTTTCAATCGATCATCTTTCAAACACGGACAGACAAAATAACAATTATCATTCATTTACAGCAAATTAGCACATTTTATTATTCTGGGTGCAGCCAAGCACTACCTGTAAAAGCTTGTGTGTTCTGTAGTTAACTTTATGAGTTTGACTACCGCTGTCGTCTTTCTGAGAGTCGGTGCATTGAGGGTCACTGAGGAGAAAACTAGGACATATTGACAGGCTAACATTGAGACCCAAGGTTTCTAACTCTACCAGGAGGTGGACCAAGCCAGGCCAGACCAGCCTCACATCTGCTCCTGGTTAGAGGTGTTGGCTCCTGCCATTCACAGCAGAGGTTCAAAACCTCAGGGAAAGGTTTCACTTGGCCTCCTCTTGCCCGGGCCACTGAAAACAGTACCCGGTACACTCCCTAAGGGAACGCAGGTCTGAGGAAAATACCACCGAAAATTCAATTCCACTTTTCCTTTCCGTGCTACACTTCTGCGACCGAGGCAAATTTCATTACACACTTATGGACTCATAAAATTCCCTCAATAACATACTGCTGTGTCTCACAGGCCTTTGTAACAGGCAACTATAGGTGGTGCAGTTCTTCGTGAGGCTCAGGCATGAGTCGAGTCCATCTCTTTCCTTCTTCCATCTTTTTTTCGTCTGTTTTTATTTCTTAACAAATCATAAACAGCAGTATACTCCAGATTAAATATGTTCTAAATGTGCTGCACATCTTAAGTGACGAAAGCCCATAAAAAAAGTTACATATTTTTTCTGTCATCCTGGAACACTACATCACCCGCCATCTAATAAAATCTCCAAATAAAAAAACCAAGGCACCAATTACTGGATACTTAAGCCAATTAACAAAAACAGAAACAAAGAGGAGACTTTGGCAAATGAGAAAGAAAACAATTTGGTCACACATCTAACATCAAGCCTCCATTAGGCCTATAATGAGCCAATAAACTTTCCGGAGGTGACTGATCTTCACATGAAGCCAAACCGCTATCTGCTGTTGGTCTCAGTAAAAGTAGGTTACTGTCCTAACAGCCAAGCTCAAACCAGTTTCCATATGTGTCCGTCCGAGTCTGTAGCCTGCTTTTAGCCTCACAAACAAACATCCAGGATGTGGCATTCGACTTAAGGTTAAGGACACACAACTCATTGTACTTTTCACACTTCAGTTTTACAACAACTGAAAGTGTAAACAAAAAGCCGCAGTGTGATCTTAAGACCTTCAGCTGCTGAGGAACTTTAACAACCGACGCAAATAGACACTTATAAGAGAAAACTTTCCTGGAATCTGGATTGTGTTGTTTGAGCATGAAATGTGTGTCAAGTGAGTCATTTTTGACCGACTTTTCACTGAACGACAATGACCGTTTTTGTAAAGAATCTGTGGATTGTCCGGTCAGAGGGGCATGAGGTGTGATTTTTGGGATTAGGTGCCGGGACTAGTTTTGCAGCCAGTTTAAATATCTCCACCAAAATCGCTTTATTGAGACATTTCAGTAACTTTTCTTGCCAAGAGTTTCCCAGTGAGCTCCCTCTACAGTTGTGCATGAGAAGGAAGAATCATATTGGCCATAAATACAATAAATCAGTTGGTTTCTACAACATGAGAGGGCAATTTATCTGACTGGAAGATGTGTGGTATTTATTTATCTCTTTATTTAGACCTCATTGATAAGGAGAGACTCATTGTGCCAGATCAAATTTGTCTTTTTCATATATAAAAGGTGGGGTAGCAGGATTCTGTTAAAGAAGCATCTTTATTTGTGGTGTATCTACAAAAAAGCTTTTAATATCAGTGAATAGCTATGAGTTATTGATAACATTTGGGAATATCATGATAACGCTGTGTTCTGTTATGTCTGTGTAGTTAACATTTTAAATTTTTCGAGCGGCCCGCTCTTTCGGGCTTTAGTGCTGATTGGTTGTGAGGTCTACATCCTCCAATAACGTTCGGAAAATTGTCCGAATCCTCTTTTGGTCACGACTGCCGACACAAGCAAGAAAACGAAGTAAATACTGGAGACTCTGGCGGAATAACGGACGCTTAAAAAGGAGGTAGACCGGCCAAGAGCTAAAAACCCCACCTTTAATATGATCAGAAGTCTTAATATTTAATAAAATTGTGTAAAGCTACATTAGTGTCATCAAATCATGTAAGAGACCAGAGAAGGGAATCATTTCTAAAAAGTTTTATTTAAGGTCAAAGCTTAAGTGAAAAGCTTTTATCTGGTTAAGACACAGCTAACGAAACAAACAAGACCGTCAACATAAAGATTGATTATTTCTGTACAGGGTTTTGCATAATTTCTCAAACCACCAGGAGCTGGTTAACCCTGCTGGGCCATAAATGAAACTACAAGTTTTCTGTTGCAAAGTCTCTTAATTTGACCGTAAAAAGACGACAGAAAGAAATTTTTTGTTGAAGACACAATTTGCAAATAAAAAAGGTGGAATCAGCAAAAATGTAGGATGTGCTGCTGTCTGTGGAAGGTGCCAAAATCAACACAAAAAGCTTTAAATGCAGCTTTAAGAAAGAACAACAAATCTGGGATCTGTTTCGTCATGGATCATCCATTCTCTCTAATAATTCTCTCGTATGTTATGATACTCTGTGGTATTTTAGATCCCGACAGTGATAGACTGAAGTAGACCCAGACAGGTGGTCTGTCTGGCCATTTTGATAAATCCTACATGGGCGAGTCTATCTCATAAGCCGCAAGGCAATCACTCATTGGGTTCATTCTTGCCTTAATGCAACAGGACAGCTGGTGGGGTGGTGACATGCAGAAAAAGACCGGGAGTTGAACCCATGGCTGCTGCGACAAGGATTTTTGGTGCACTAAGTGCTGATCAAACCCCTCGCTGATCGGCCGTTGTGAATACAAGATTATAAGAAGAGGCTCAAGACTCACTTTTTAACCAGGCTTTTAACTAATTGCCATTTTAGATTTCTCTTATTGCAAATGTTCATTTTAATCAAAGTTCTTAATGTTTATTTTATGTCATTGTCATTTTTTTTCCATCACAGGTTTTTACTTCTTTTACCCCTTTTATTTATCTATTTATTTTCTTATTTTAGTCCATCAGGTTTTACTCTTTTCACCATTTTTATCTCTATTTTTATCTCCAGTGTTTCCTGAGGGTAGCTTTTTCCTCATGTAATGTCTCGGTGTCAGGCCATGTCTCTTTAACTTATATCGTAAATTCTCACATTGTGTGCGGTTGTGTGTGTGTATGTGAGGAGGGTGGGTGTGTGTCTTTGTGTGCATGTGGGTCCATAGGTGTATGTGTGGGTGGAAGGGTTGGGTTTTTGTCTTCATTTTTGATTTTAGCCTCTGTAAGGCACTGTGAATTGCATTTCCTTATGTACGAAAAGTGCCATATAAATAAAGCTGAATTGAATTGAAGATTTCAAAGTTGTTGACAGGCTTTCAATACTTCAAGATAAGTGGTCTCTGTGTTTGGCTTCTACCCTCAGCACTTCCAAGCGGGCTTGTCAAAAAAAGTGTCAGGAGGCAACACTGGAATTAAAAGAAGATAAATAAATCAAGACAGACAGTGAGCTTTCCATGAGAGTGCAAGTACAAATGGTGATAAAGGAACAGGAAACAAAAAAAGTCTGCGAGGAAACCAGAACAGTGTTGAGGCTGCTGCTGCCAGTCCAAGTCTGAGCCAAACACAAACAGACTGAAGGTGTCAGCTTTGATAAATCCAGAGTTTCACACTCATATCTATTGATCCGTCGATTTCACAATTTTTTCTTGTTTGTGTTTTCTACGAGTAACCAGCAGATGTTTTCAGACTTCCTCAGCCAACATCTTGGACGCAGAATTAGGAAGTAGCTTCCTCGCAACATCCCTCTGAGGCACATTCATGTTCTTCTTTCTTGCGGGGGTCAGAGGTCAGTGACAGCCTAGAGCGATGCCTCTGGAGCAGTTAGTCTCTATCTTAACCCTTTAATGAGGAAGGAATGTTTCCTTAGTTATGGTTAGTTTTTTTCCATTTTTAAATCTGTATTTAAGGCGAAAGGTGTGAGAGGTAAATCCGGAGGAATGCAGCGTAACACAAACTATAAAAATACTGTAAATTAGATCAAGAAGTGTGCAGCTTTTTGACAGTTTTTTTTTGTTTTTGCATTTATAAAGATGTTTTCTTGGCAAAGCTTGAGGATGTTATTTGTGCTCTGAGGCTATATGGGACTCTAACAAGTGTGAAGCTCCTGAACTCTGAGTACTTACAGGTTTGTTCAACCTTGAAGGCACAGTTTTTACACCACAGGTGTCAGCTGGGTCTTGCTGCGAGGTAAAAAGCTAAAGAGGAAAAATTAGAAACATTCTTTCCTGGCCTTAAATGTGGGAAATGTATTATTCAGCTCAATATTTTGTTCCTTCTTTGTTTTGTTTATACTATCTTTTGTTTTTTACCATCTGTCTACTGCTATTATTTCATTTCACTCCTTCCACCCCCCCTTTCCCGTCCCTCTCTCTCTCTCCTCGCACTTATTCTGACTTTCTTCCCACTTGTTTTCTCGTTTTGAGGCCTGAAAGCTGCGCTGTGGATCCACAGCGCAGCAGGACACCACTGAGTGATAGATGGCCTCTGACAAGGTCCAATACAATACAACCAGCCATATGCTCTGGGTGAGAAAAAAGAAGAATTAAAGGAGATTCACAAGTTGCCAAAAGGAAGGCATGCCAAACTCTCATGCAAGCAACATTTCCGAGGATTATGATACAGTAATATATGGTGTCGCTTTGACTCTGAGAATTAGATTAATGCCTCCAGTGCTCGAGTGTGACTGCAGTCTGGCATTTCCTCAGATAAGTAGGCAAGATCACACAACGAGGGAAACAATTTAAACAAGAAGAGAGAAACAATCGGGCTAAACAGAGCTAATAATTCAGATTATGATCGCAAACATCTGTGAAACTCACTCAACTCAACGAGCCGCAGACTGAGCCGTTAAAAAGGATGCACATATGATATTTTATTATCTCTGAACTGGTTCAACACTCACACATTTTGATAATTTAAAGACAAGTGTACTTTTGTTTTCCAACGTTATTCCCTGAACATTATGTTCTTGTTCTGAAAGAATGTTGTTGTAAAAAGGGATCATAAAAACCAAATTTCTCAGAGACAGGATTGCCAGAAGAGTACAGAGAAAGCAATCTGAGAGTAGATTATATTAAGTCGTTATTTGTTCCAAGTTTTGTACTGTGGGGTATTCTTTCGCCACAAAAGAGGAGACTCTTTCATGAACACACACACACACACGCACACCCGCCAACACATGCAGAAAAGCTGCAAACACTTGTGTGAAGCTAATGAGTGTGTTAAATTCCAGTGTAAGTAGTTGAAAGAGGAAACATTATCTTAACATTCTTAGACACCCGTTCAAATCACCTAGCTAAACAGTATTTACAGCCCTTTACTAGCCTCCACTTCCAGGACAACCTTCACAAACAAACATATATAAAGGTAGGCGCACACACACACACATATATACAAAGATACACACACGTAGGCAATCTCATAAATAACGGATGACGGCCTGAGAGTCGAATTAAGAAAATAAGATGTGTCTAGCTAGTAATGAAGGAGGCATGTTTCCCCTCGGGATAACGACATTATCTGGACAAATAGAGCACTCACACTAACACACACACACATATCTACACACACATATGCGCACTCAGGAGGTACCAGCATTCCTACTTCAGGTCTATCCCGTACAAACTGGCTCAGACCACTCAAGAACAACGGTGCCATGGATTGAAATCTGACACAAAACGTATGTTTTCTTGAGTTCTGAGGAGAAAAATGTGGAGGTTGGATGTCATGCCAAACAATCATAGGAGAGGAAGGACTGCTTTCAAACATTTCCCATGCATCAGGCTATTAAAATGACATTCGTTTGCAGGTTGCTGGCACTTGTCTCGGGGCATATTGCAAACACATGGAACTACATGTTAAGTCCATCCCTGATTTTAACATGCTGATATTCTAGCGATCAAGGCAAAACAAATCTGGATCTGAGCTGGCCATGTGGAAAAAGGAAAGAAAAAAGCAGACTGTAAGGTATTTCAGAGTTTGTCACGCTGAGCTTACATCACTGCTGATTACTGAAACCGACGGCCAAGGCTGAAAACTAAGGCGTTATAAGGTCATGTCATTTTATATGTACTCATAATCCAGTAGAGCTGCTTTGTTCTACAATCCTCCTCTTTATTGCATGGTGTGTAAGTCTGGAGAGAGTCTCCATGTGTGATACAGTGGTGTGCCACATGGCCTGATACTGGGGCCAATGTTTTTTTATTTTTATCTAATATTAGCATTGGCGGTCAAATAACACAAGTTATTTAAATGCACTGGAGGGGAGTTTTGACTGGGTAGTTAGAGGCATATTTGGAGCTAGCGTAGGATCTTCTGCCGGCCGGCTTCTTGCTCTGTCAGAGGGGGTGTGTCGTGGGGAGTTACCGTGGAGCACAGAGGGGAGAGGTTTGTGTGTGGGGGGTGGGACGCTTTTTCAAATCTGCTTCAGCGGCTCAGTTTTTTCTTCTTCTCGGATCATCAACCATGACTTTAACAGTCACGATTTAATTTACTGCATCTCTACACGCCATACCAGACTATTTGCAATTTATGATGCAATACAGACAAACTCTGCGAAGAATCACAGTTAGTGGTTCATGAGCCAGAAAAAGGTCAACAAGTCTTTTCTTTCAAAAATAAGACACACATGCGCAAAATAAAAATAAAGATTTAAAACATGATGCTTTCCTGGAAGGAGAGCAAAATCCACGCATAAATTTAGTCCTTCTCAGCTGTTTGAGAGTTTGACTTTTTGATTAATTTGAAATAAAAGACACAACTCTGCGTTTCTCACACACAGATGGTTCTTGGGTGAGCTGCCCAAATATTCTTCCCAACATTTTAAAAAATTTCTTTTATTATCAGTTTAAATTCACTATTTATGATCAATGATATGATCCGCCGTTGATGCCCTCCTGCGAGAGAGGAGTCATGTCTCGTCTCCTATCAATGCATCTATTGGTTTGCAATATTCTATTGGGTGCAATATCTCACATTGGTTATTAACCCTCGGGTTTCATTTGTTTAAGTTTTGTGCAGCTAGTTTCTGCAAATGTCATTTTGCACCATCTTACATCATCAATGAATCTAGTTGATAAAGTGGGCGTCTTTATTAAATGATCAGAGAAAAAGGCAAAGACAAACGGTGGGAGACCGGAGAGAGAAAGGCTGTAGGTCAGGGCTCGACAGTGTGACCGTTTCATTCACATTTGCAACTAAAAATACATATGTGCGAATTGTAAAATGTATTTAGAGGCACATAAAAAATCAGTCGAGGCAACAAATGTGTTTTCATGTAAATACGGCAGTGAAGTTAGTTTTAGGTTGGATATTTGACAGACATTCACTGTGGATCTACTAGTGTCTTCTCACTCTCGGGAATAACAACAGCAGCACGGTTAAATCTACTCGGTACCCTCGCTGTCAACGTCGGGTGTTGAATAAGGGACCATCGATAAATTATCGTTTGATGTTCTCAAAAATGTAATGTGACCAACTGACCTAAAATTGATTTCAAATAATAGTACTAAGGTCGGACAATGAGACACACCTCTTTATTTCCCTAATTTGTCCTCTAAAAATTTTTGTGTTAAATTTAAAGGCAAATTTCGAAAATTTTCTTCAATAGCTTCCATATCATGTGATCAAAAGACCTAAAATTGACTTCAAATAATAGCACTTACGGCAACCGATAACACAACCATTATTTGATCAATTTTCATTGCACCCCTAAAGTTTTTTGTGTGCGCCTTACTTTGTGAAAAAAGTTAGTGTCAAGCCCTGCTTCAGGTGCAGCATGTTTTAATGTTTACAATGCATTCCCAGTTTTGTTGCTGCCTCCCCACCACAGGTAGAGCTTCACCAAACACTGCAGCTGCAACATGCACTCACACAGACAGCACCTGGGTGGGCCATCCAAATATCCATATTTTAGTTTTCTTTTTTTCAATCAATTCAAAAGTCCCCAAGAGATCCACAATCCTATGAAACTTAGTCACTGCAGAAAAGTTTCCGAACTTGGACAATTGTAAATGTGATACACTCTAATCGAAATTGAAGGTATTTAATATAAGGATCTGATTGTATTATATTCAAATCAGCTAATGTCTATGAGCTGCCAGGCAAATTTGGCGCATATGACCAGACTCAGACAGCTGATGTTTCGGTGTTCAACAAAATCCTCACAAGCCAAGGTTTCGAGCCAGCCGCATTGTTGGCAGCCTTTACAGATTTCTCCGGTCTGGTTTTAATACATCATCAGGATCAGTGCGTCCATTGTTGGCATCATTTATTCTATGTGCCACAAACAATTGACCATGAAACCCCAGAGCCAAGCTGAGCAGAATCCAAATGTAATTTGCAACATGAAGCCCGGATCATTTTAAGGTCATTCAGGCTGACTGAGTATTTGTGTGGATTCCTCTATTTCCTTGGTTCAGTGTGATTTTAGACAACAAGCAAACCTCCTCTTCTCTCAGTTCTCATGGCCTCTAATTCTTCATGTAAATTATACAGGACATATTGGTTGTTAAGTTCAAATACAAGAGAAGGTTTTGACTTAAAAAGGGGAAACATAAAAGAAATTCATTTCTTTAAAGAAGCATCTTTTTTGTGGTGTATTTACAAAAAAGCTTTTAATATCAGTCAATAGCTATTAGTTATTGATGACATTTGGTGATATAACGATATCGCTGTGTTTTGTTATGTCTGTGTAGTCAACATTTTGCCAACAATTTTTTTAACGGCCCGCTCTTTCTGACTGTAAACAAAGCCATTTTCCAACCTGATTGGTTGTGAGGCAGATGCTGCTCCCCCGTGTCGTTCACGAGCCAAAACAAAGTTAGCCTGTGACAATATCAGATGGTAGAAACCAACCAGAAAGTTCGGAAGATTGTCTAAACCCTCTTTTAGCCACAACTGCCAACACAAGCAAGAAAACAAAGTAAATACTGGAGACTCTGGCGGAATAACGGGCGCTTAAAAAGAAGGTCGACCACCAGGACAAAAGCTATAAAGCCGGGTCGACATAGACGATGGGGGATGCTTCGGGATCTTCCAGACCCTGTAACCTTTCTGCTGGACAGGTAAACCGCTTTAACAAAGTAAGCCAAGTGTCTGTAACAGAAGTGTTTCTTGTCAAACCGGACCTGCTGTAGCGTGTTGTAGCGCCGCTAAACTGTTGACCTCGGGTCCTGGACTATGTCACTTTATCCTAGTTGTAGAAGTCCTGCAAACATTGAGTTTGCTGGTAGTCTGTTGGCATCTACAGTAGCACCAATGCTTTTGACTTTCACATTGACTGGGCCCCATTTGTAATTATCTGAAGTATTTATCTGCATTATATCTTAATTTAATTGGAACGATACGAGCGAGCAGGAGCGTCTGTTTGTGGGCGGGGCTTGCTGGAGCAGAGAGGGAGGGGAGAGGAGGAGCTGAGGGGAAAACTGGTTGGGAGGGGTAGAGTTTACATTCAAGATTTCTCCCGAAAACTGGAACTTCCTCAGATCCTGACTACCCCACCTTTAAGAGAAATTCATTTAAAATATTTTCTTTAATGTAAAAAGTCTCTCCCTCCAGGTGAAACATACAAGTTTTATTTCCCTGCGCTATGAAGACAATCTTGTTGGATTGCTTGTAATCCTCATCCTGTTTGTCTTTGCAAATATATATTTGATGTTTTCTTGAAGTTGAATGTTATATAATTAAATATATGGACACTTTCAGCAGATGTGTGAGTCTGGACTCACCTCACTTACTGAGCTGTGAGCCTCCGGGGTCCTTTTTCTTGTGATTGTTCAGTGAATCAATCTTAATGAATAAAAATATACACACAACCTTCAACGCTGTTCATCTAACCCTCACTTCCTCCAATATCCACAATGACTGCTCATATCCCATGTTATAATTATACGGATATCAACAAATTAAAATAGATTATATTATTTCTCTGCTTCCAGGTCAAATCCCGGCTAACCCTTCGGCGTCAAAGTGTGAAACTTGGCAGGAGAAACTCGTAGATCAGCTCGCAGCACTTTGCCACAGATGGATTGGGTACTGAAGTAGCTGTAACACCAAAGACTCAATCCATCATAATTTGCACCTTCGGCTACATGAGTGCCTCTGCATTTTCTTTGATTTAACTCTATGAAGAGAGATGAGGCAGATGTTGTTGAAAGACTGCTTCTCCTTCCTTATTGAAGAGTTTAAAATATCAGACAGACAAAAGAGTGGATGGAAAGCTGGTGGAGGCAGGGGGGAGTCACAGAGCAGAACTAATGGAAAGGATGGAGCATGTTTCCACTGCTGCAAGAAAATATGTTTTGATTTTCAAATGAGTAAAAACAGAGATCAGCCTCTATAACTGGAGGCCCTCTGACTGTAGACAGCTGTGCCAGTTTGTTTAGATAAAAACATTTTTAGGCCAGTCACAGATGTTTAGTAAATGCCTTGTTCTTTGCCTGCTCCTCATGTTTGACTTTGGAGATATTTGATCTTCTGCCATTTTCTCTTTCGCCTGTTTAGTGACTCATCAGCTTTCTGTCAGGATCTGGAAATTATTCTTTCACTGACATCATTTTTTAAAGTTTCAGCTTTTTTGCAACATCTGCACACAGTGACGGAGTTCAGTAAGCTAGGAAGGTTTGACGGCATAGCAAATACTCGATAGCCACACTGCAGTTTTGTGTCTAACTCTTTACTTTGCTCGCCACTCTAAAGCTGAACCCCAGATGAGGGTGTATGGACACTGGCAGATGTCTTGTTACTGCTCCTGTTAAGGTTTAGGGTTGGATGTACTGCCCATTCATTTTAGAGCAGCATGGCAGGAGGGATGGGCGATATGGGCTGAAAAATTATCACGATAAGATTTGCCGTTCTGGTGATAACAATAAAAGTCCAGATAAAAAATATGATAATTCCAATCTATATTTTTGACTCCTTTTGTCTTGAGAACACCAGTTGGAGTAGAAAAATAACATACTTAACCACAAGTTTGAGTGGTATGTTACGGAGAAAATTAATGCCATCAAACAAGTCTCATATTCAGCATTTGTTGAAAACTCGTAATCCAGAGTGAACAGCAGATCCACTGTCCGATATCAGGCAGACCTGAATGCGCTCATCTGAACCCCAGTCTTGAAGGAAATCCCTCATGTGGAGCCTCGTTCAGTAACCAGCTGCTCAGAAACGTCTTCTTCATTACCTTCGGCCATGTTTGTTTGTTATTCTGATCTGTGTGGGCTATGGCGGTGAGTCCATCGCTCACGCTTACGTCATCAAATATTTATCATGGAGGATTTTTCTGAGGATATATCGTGAACGATAATTTGTCGCCCATCCGACTTGTTAAGTTGCTCCTCTTTCTTGTAAATCAAACTTTTCAATTTAAATCCAACAGGTAGTTTGCATTGCCCCACAGCTCCTACACCTCTTTTTCTCTTTAGCAGTGCACATACAACACTGTATATCCACAGTTAACGGTAATATAATGTGGCACCGATATAATAGGACAAATAAGGTCATAGTAAAATAAGGAAAATTAAAATACTGGGTCAGTCGCATTTGTTGATAAACAAAATATCTACAGAGATACAACTTGATTTCAGTCCAAAATTGCATCCATGCACAACTGCTTTACCAATGCACCTGGATCTTGTCCTCTGCATCCATGTATAGATACAAACTGGTTCATCCTCTCATCGCTGAAACACACAGGCGGACATGCACAAACACACTGCTGTTCCTCTGATACTACACACCACCATCATCCTCTGTTACACACTCCAACATCACATCAATCAGACAAGATGACCCTCTGTGTGAGACACATAGGGCTGGGCAATAAACCGAATATTTACAGATACCAAAATTTTACGGCATTAACCAACAACAGTTCGCCCACATCGGTATATTCTGAGTCAAATGAATAAATAAAAGTTGGTTTTGGATGTGTGTAGGTAGGCTATGGTCTTATGTCCATTTAAGACGCTGTCCTACATCAGAGACGTGACTCCACCCCATCCAGTCCGTAACAAAGAGGGAAAGACAGGTGAGGAGATGGAGGACAGTTCAAAAGTTGTAGCGGCTGAAGTAGACGAAGTTAATGTGGGAGGGGGTGAGCAGCTTGTGGAGTAGTTATCATATATTTATTGTTAACGAGGTGAACTGCTCCATATATCGTGATATTGATTTGAGGCCATATCGCCCAGCCCTAGTTACACACACTGCACAGTAGGTATAAAAGTAACATAAATGCCCCAGCTTGAATTAGTAATATCTAATGAAAGCTAGGGTTTAGGTTTGAACATAAGTACAACAGTTGTGAAGTTATCTTTGGAAACAGGTGCTTCAAAACAAAACCTTGATTACTGCTCTGTTGGAAATTCAAGCCTCATGAATAAAAGTCAGACATGCTCCAAATCCATCCGCACGTCAATATAACTTGCCAAAAAATGGCTGCAATGTTCCAAGGTAAGAATTTTGGCATGCCATAGCCTGGGTAAATCATGAAATTGTTTCAGTTTGGTCAAACTTTAAAGACCACCAAAAAACACTTGGGAAAGTGCCCGTCCCTGTGCGGTCTGTTGCAGTCAATCCTTTAACAAGCTGTAATGGCTCTTACTTCGATCCACTGTTGAGAGAGCAGGATTACATTAGCATTGCTTCACACGTTCCTGTATTGTCATTCCTCTCATGTTTCCCTTCTATGGAGCCCTGAAGCTCTCACTGAGAAACTTCAGGCTGTGGCTGCTGCTCCTCTGTGTCAGTTCAAAGAGAGAGGCGTGAGTATTAGTGTCTGGTCTACTCTCCACGTGTTGACTTAAACTTAAAAACTCATTTCACACTGTAAACACTTGTGCCACTTGATACTGCGAACGTGAGATCAGACTAGACAAGAGAGAAAGAGGAGAGTCCAAATCATGATGTCAGGCTGATCTACATCCGGATTCGGGGTTGAGACTCATCTCACACTTCGAGATGTGCTTCAAACAGACTGAGAGGTGTTTTGAATTGTTATGAAATGGGCTGAATTTAACACAGATGCCTTCATGCGACCTATAAAAGCAAACAAGAGCAACACCAAAAGGTTTGACATCTTGTATTTTGAGATTTTTAATGCCTGTCACTGCCACTACTGGGTCTGATTTCGACAAAGCCGCATACAGTATGCCGACGCAGAGAGCCTTTGTTTACATTTTTGCCTAAAAGAAGCAGTAAGTAGCACAGTTCTCAGAAAGCAGGCGGAGGTTTGTACTTGGAAAAGGCAAACTCATATGGAGGGCTGGGATATATCATGGATATGATGCAGTAGCCACGTTAATGGGCAAAATTTCTTGATCTAATTAAAAATTTGAGGAATCGGATAATCTGAATCCATTGTTTATATGGGTGCTAAATCAAATAATCCGATCATGACGCACGTATACAAGTTTTATTCAGATTAAAAGCATTTGGACATGCGCAAAGTTGTCTGATTTCGCTAAAACAACCGCAGAACAAGAAGAGTTGTATTTACACCTGTGCCGTCAACAAACCAACAAACACGGTAGTGGCTCACTCCATCCAATTGTTAAATGTTGCCTCTGGATGGCGCCCATACGTACTCATTTTTCTGTTCTGTCAGAGGTTGCGCAGTGCGTACAGATGTGACATCATTACGTTGTATGTACGCCTTGTTATGTTATTGGAGGAGCAGATACGACACCTGCGGTTGTGTTTTATGTCACAGTGTTAATAATGAAAACCTCCTGTAGTGACTTCGATAAATAAGCCAAAGGCTAAAGAGTGAAGATCGAGTCAGGTAAGAGAGTCACGATCGGAATAAGTGTTTACATGGACATGTTTCGGAATAACGAATTTCTTTCCGATTGAGCCAAACTGGATCAAAATCTTCCAATCGACATGTTTACATGACACATTTTTATTCTGATCGGAGATTTATTCCGATTATTCCGACGCACCTCTGGTGAAAATTTCAGGTCAATCCGTCTGTTACTTTCTCTGTAAAGTTGGTCACAGACAAACAAACCAACGCTACCGAAAACATAACCTCCTTGGCAGAGGTAACTAATCTCTTTAGTTTTTTATTACAGATGCTTTAAAACTGGCAGTTTAAAAAAAACCGATAATAATCGAGGTCAGACAATACAAAAATATATGTTGTGATCATTTTTTTTGCCAAATCGCCCAGTCCTATAGGTATGTAATACATGTCCAAGTTGTATTTTTTCCTTACTGTACACCTGTGAAGAAACTCCACGTCCTTGTATGTGAGATCTCATCTGTCAGCTGTCAGCTTTTCTCTGTCGTAAAACACCACAGAGGCAACTCGATGCAGCTCCCCTGAACTGAAGCCATTCACAGCTCGACACAAAAACAGGCTCAAACTCCGATTCTGCTATTGATTAAATCATTAATCCTTTTCAGGTGTGCGTGGTGTTTCCTATCTTTTCCCGAAATCAAAGAAAACATTTTAAGAGAAAACCTTGATTCTTCCAACAGAAAAAGCAAAACACATTTCGTATCCCTGGTCTCAAGAGCAGCTGCAGTCCTTATAACTAAAAACATCCTATGTTTGACTCTTGCTTCTCCAGTTTCTCTGTTTGGGGGAGATTTTGTCCTTGTAAGTGTTCGCAAATATTGATCAGCCGGCCTTAGATGACAAGAATAATACAGCGTAGGAATTCCTAAATTGAGTTGTGTTTAGCCTTTAAGCCTTAAACACACGGACGTGGCCTTTGAGGTCACAAGTTGAACAGGCTGACTGCCTCATTTTCCAGGGTGTCAAATAAACAGAAGACTTTCACATGAAGTCACAACATACACAGCTAGACTAACAGTAAACACGAGCCGGAGAGCGGAGGAGAGGTGTTAAGTTTTGGATTCAGAGGAACCGAAAGAGGCAGAGGAGAAGAAGTGAAAACGTGATCCTTATAGAGCGATAATATCCCGCAGAGAGACGTGAGATGATTCTGATCATGACCTTGTCTGAGCTCGGGGTATTTTCTGTTCTCATTCCCTCACTGACAGAGTGTATGTTAGCTCCAAGAGGCCCCATTATTGATAGCTGTAACAAGCCTAGGTCAAAGGTCAGACATTGGTGAGTGGAAAAGGATGGAGCTAGACTGTTTAAGGTCCTTTAGACACCACCTGCTTTTACACACACACACATGCTCACACACATGCTCACACGCACACACACACAGTGAAACTTGGATGATTGTTGCCAGACGATATCTAAACACATCCCTAATGCGTCCACGTGACTCTCCACCACAGAGAGACAAGAAGGCTTTGCTCAGAGTCAAGCTTACACAGCATTCTTGGATTTAGATGAATGCAGCAACACGAACACACAAAGTTAATTCTGTTAAATCATTTACTTCTTTAAACATTGCATGCTTAACCTCCCTGCATGTGTTTAGGTTGCATAAAAAGAAAACCCTAAACCCGGAGTCTTGAGGAGGAGATATCCTAAAATTACCCCTGACTCCCAGATGCCAATTCTTAAACTGCAAGGTGGGGTAGGCAGGATTTTGTTAAAGAAGCATCTTTGTATGTGGTGTATTTACAAAAAAGCTTTTAATATCAGTCAACAGCTATTTGTTATCGATGACATTTGGGAATATAACAATATGGCTGTGTTTTGTTATGTCTGTGTAGTCAACATTTATGACTGTAAACAAAACCATTCTCTGTCTCCCGTAACCTGATTGGTTGCGAGGCAGACGCTGATTCATCATGTTGTGAGGGGCGCTCCACATCCTTGAATAACTTTCACAAGCCCAAACAAAGTTAGCGTGCAAGAATATCTGACAGTAGAAACCAACCAGAAAGTTCGGAAAAATGGTCTGAATCCTCCTTTGGCCAAGACTGCCAACACAAGCAAGATAACGAAGTAAACACTGGAGACTCTGGAGGAATAACGGGCGCTTAAAATGGAGGTAGACCGGACAACCAGGTCAACATCAGTCAGGCAAACGATGGGAAACGCTTCGGGATCTTATTGACCCTGTAATCTTTCCCATTTGTAATTCTCTGAGTATTTATCTGCATTATATCTGAATTTAATTGGAACGATACGAGTGAGCAGGAGCGTCTGTTTGTAGGCGGGGCTTAAGGGGAGAGGAGGAGCTGAGGGGATAACTGGTTGGGAGGGGTAGAGTTTACATGCCTACCCCACCTTTAAACTTCAATATTGACCCTTTGAGTGCTGTTGTCATGACAACTTTGCGTTGTTAGCCAAAGGTAAAAGAAGGAAAAACTGGAGAGAAACAAAACCTGCCACCACAGGCTAGTTTGGGAAACAAAAGTCTGAAAATGTTGGTCTTGTGCTGTCGGGCTCCAGAAAAGAGGGAGTGACCATAATGTGTCGAAACTAAAACACCAGCAAAAACACACGAGACTTTAGTTAAATGCAATAAATGCGACGTTAAATGCGCCTCCATCCAGTCTAATAATACAAGATATGTTCTCCTTATCTTATCTTTTCTTATCAGGATAGAGGCGACCATCGAAAAGCTAATGTGTTTAGTGCACACTTCACACGACATTTACAGTTGTTTGCTTGGATAACGTTATATACTGTATTTTGAGGGTTATCATTAACCCTCAATTTACAGTATGTAATTGTCAGTGATGACCTTTTTAGCACATGGGCTAATGTAAGCTTCATGAGCGAAACAAAACAGAGAGGAAATCATTTATTTGTCGTTCTTTAAGCAGCTGCCATAGTAATCAACCGGGAATATATGGGTGTCTGGGGCATATACGCCATATACGTACATGTCAGTCTGTCTTTACTATACACACTTGATTTTTCAATCAGTGAAGTATAAGAGTCCAGCTGTTCAACCTTTAGCATGTCTGTCAAATTATCCATACACTCTGTTTGTTGTTTTATTTAAGTTACAGACAGAGGACACAGTATCCAAAGTACATCTACAGACTGTACATGGAGATACTCTTGAGTTACAACAGCCTAACTTTCAGTCGGGTCAGCTGTGCCAGTAATCAGTCAAACATCTTCTAAATAAGTATATTGTAAAATATCCACTCACTGTACTGTGTGTTCAGAGAAAAGATGAACTATTCCAGCCCACATTATTGTTTCAAACAAGCTGTAAACGTGTTTGTTTTGCCTTTTTGAATGAGCATGTATGTGATTTCCTCGGCATCGAGCTAACACTCTGGGGAACTTCACTTTTCAGCACTTCTGCATCAGTTTAATTTCTTAAAAAGTTCAGCTTCTGCTTATCATATCAAACTGTGCTGTACTGTACACATACTGTAGCTTATCCTAGTATATTATATCATCACAAATTGTGTTGTTTCCTGTTGTATTGTTACCTTAGTATATTGTTTACTATTGCACCACATCAGTTTTTTTTGTCATGTGGTATCATATCGTCACATGAAGAGGGATTTTTGCAACAAATGTGAGCAAGGCTGGAGGTGGTAGATTAGGTTAAGGTTACAAAATGCTTCATACTTCACCAGGTGATGATCTAAAAGGTATGTCTGAGGTTTAAAGCTGTGTTTCTGAAAGGATGATGAGTTTAGGGTAAGTTACCATGGTGATTTAGCCAGATAGATTTACTATTGCCTTATACTAATGTGCACTTTGAGGTCTGTTTTCTCAAATGTAAAGCGCATGATAAATAAAATGTATAAATACTATTATTATTATCATTATTACATCTTGTATTGTATCACATTGTGTTTTTAAGCTAAGCTAACTAGCCGTAGCCTCACTTATGCAGCATAAATCCTCACTGAATCCTCTCTGGTTTGATTTCCACCCCTTGGCTCTTCGCTGCATGTCATTCCCTCTCTGATTCTCACAGTTTTCATTATCACGTGAAGTTAAGATCTCCAAAAAAGCGTGAATGACTGTATCTGTGAGAACATTTCACAGCAAATCAGCTCACTGTGAATAAAACCCTTCTGCTTGGCTTCGTCCTCTGCTTCCCTGCTGACGTGCCAGATAACAACAATGGCAGCCGCTCAAAAGCAGCATGATGCCACTTTATGTCGGCCTTACTTCTCACTATTTACTATAAACCATTAAGCCAGCAGAAGTTCCCATCTGAAATGACACAATCCTCCAAAGGGGCGCAAATCAATCAGTGAAATGATGCCAAAATATTCAGCCTGAGGGATAAAAGACCCACTGAGGATTACTTATCCCCTTTAGTGGTGCTGTGCCAATATTTTCCACTTGTATTTCATCACTGGGCCCACCCAATACATCAGAATATTTATATATTTAAATTTAAAGCAAATAACCAAAGTAATCACAGTCTGCGCAAAAGTAAATATTTACTTGGCATATTTCCTAAATTAATCAGTATTTGTTAAATCAACTTTAACCTGCTCTGAAAAGCCTCCATGCTGCAGCTGAGCACATTATCTATTTGTTGTAGTAGGCCCTAATATCCTGTTAATGACAGGAAGCGGGCGCAGGATTTTGCAGCAACATGGTTATAATTTGAAGAAAATTAGCAACATATCACATGTGGGAGACAGGAGCTGTTTGTTTCATTTTCTGGTTTATTATGGTTTATTATATTAGTTTTTATTATATATATATATATATATATATATATATATATATATACACACACACACACTTATATGGATAATAATTCCAAATATGTAAAGGCAAAATAATTTTATTGTTAAAGACTATGTGTTGTTTTTAAAAATATTACTTCTTATTACCCTTTTTTAGACATTTACACAAAACTGCTATTGCTCATTATTATTATTATTTTTATTTGCATTGTCTATAGATTTGGTGTTTTGGGGTCTTAATGTCTGTTTGGAGATTTGTTTCTTTTTTACTGCCTCAAAATAAACTATTTAAATTCAATTCACTTCGGTTCAATAACCGTACTGTTGTGTCAAACATGAGCTCTGTTTTTTTTTAACAGATTTTTTGGATGTGACTGTTGTGATTTTATCATTTTTATTATCTTTACTGTTCTCCCTGCATGTTAAAATTGAAGTTTTTTAAATCCTTAAACATTAAAATCTTATATTGTTTCATTATAGGCTATTTTTATCATCTTTTTCTAACATTGTGGGGGGTGGGGGGGGTTGTTTGTTTGTTGTTTGTTTTGTTTTTTGCTGTGCCCGCATGTTGACCAAATATGGTTATCATTACATATGTTGATAAATTTGTGGAATTGTTACAGACACCATGATGTCAATTAACATTTTACTTGAACTTAAATACATTTTAAATACAATGCACCCTTCAAACTGGCCACCATAAACCCATTTTCTGACACCACTACTCCAGGAACCTCAGAAACATGATCACAGTTTCACAACCAGTATTATTGACTTAACAATATTAGGTTAATGGTGATCATCAGCAAATTAGAAACCAAAGAGCTGTAACCTCTAAGCACAGCTGCAGCGTTTACTTCAGGACTCCTGACATGACTCCTCACAAAAACAAGCCCACATCTTACTCTCTGCATCTGCCTACTTTGATAAATTATTCAACAAGGCTGTGTTTTGACCGACGCACTTGAGACTGTTTGAAAATTTAGTATAGTTATATATATATATCCATCAAATCCACCTTAATCAATCATTGCAAACTTGCAGACAGTTGCTTCTTCCCAGGGACCTTCTGGAAACATGGAAAACACATTAAAAACACACTCAGGCGAGGCCACCGATGACAATTGAAAATATTTGGACACCTCTCACTGGTTTCACTTTGGGTAAAAATGGAGCCTTTTCTGTCCAAGCCTGTCCAAAATGCACAACTAAGGTCTACACGCTCTAGGTCTACACGGAGCAGTGCTGTATTTTCACTTTTAACCCTTTAAAAAGTCTGTTCAGTTTCAACATTAAAATATATTCTCCTCGTCTGGCGGTGTCGTGTCATTTTAAACAATTCCCCCTCGGTGTCAGATACACCAACCTGGTCATAGTCCTGTATTTATAAAACAGGTTACATAACATAACACAGCCAAAATGAAGCTTCTGCCACAGGGAGGTCCATAAATGTGCTAAAGCAGCTGTTTTAAACAAACTGGATCATGTACTTTCTGTAAATCAAAATGTAACACCTACGCTCATCGGAAAGAGAAATCATTGCCACCGTCTGTTCATATTTTTCATTGCTATGCAATACGGCACACGCTGCTTTAATCTGATTGGTTACAGGTCTGACCAATCTCCCCCCGGGGGCACATCTGTACACAGCTTTTGCCAGTATCCCTGGTAAAAAGGAAATTAATTGAACGGTTCCAGACCCATTCAACAAGGTGGATTGCTCTGGTGACACCAGGCCATCTTTCTTTTGAGTCTGCCAATGAGTCTGCAATGAATTCTCAGATCCACAGCTGTTTGGAGCAATAATTCTGGTGGGCTGAAAAGCTCCACACCCACTGTGTCTCTAAGTGTTTCTGTGCAAAAACAAGACACCGAAGTAAAGACTAAAAATAGCAAGGGTGTATTATTCCCCGGAGAATCTGCTAAACAGTTGTGTGGTTTATTGATTTATTTATGTAGGTCAGTAGCTGACAGTCTATTATCAAATTAACATACGTAGTTTTAATTTGCTCTATGAAACCCTAACGAGAATACCAACAGATCACTTCAAAGCTTAATCTGTGATTAAAAAAAATTCACATTTTGTAATTGTACACGCATATTCATCAATTTTAAATGAAGACTATAAAGACTGACACTGTCTTTATACGGCTGCTTACAACAAAGTCCTGGCCAAAGTCAAATGCTAAATGATAATTCAATGAACACATTCCTCATTTACTCTCTTGTTTGCATCTCAGTAAAAGATAAGTAATACAGCCCACCCAAAATCGAGACTGAGATGTCTTCTGCGGTCAGGTTAAGTGCAACAAATGAAAGCGTCAGCGCTTTGTTTACAACTTTCTGCCGCTGCACCCCTCTATCCATCCCCACATTCCTTCTTTACAAATTACATTTGTCATTTTGAAAGCTGATGGTTTCCATTGGCATGCTTTGAACCTCGTGTAAGTACAGGCAAGTAAGCGCACACGTATACGAATGCGAGTAACCTCCAGAGTCAAGACCAAGCCGAATGAAAAAGTGCAACATGTAGGGAGAAAAAGAGACCTATTTTTTTTTTTGTGTGTGTGTGTGTGATCTCCTACCTGTTATCGTGATGTTGCTGTAGATGTTGGACAGTTGCTCTTTCAGCAGGACGAGCTGTGTGGTGGCGGCTTTCTCCCTCTGCAGCTCCAGCATTATGTCAGGATGGTTGGCCACTTTGCAGCCCTTTTGTTTGTCCAATGCAATGTCACTGCGCACTATGTCTGCAAAGGGGCGTCAAAAAGGAGAAATGCATGCGACATTAATATCAGTGTTGTACTTTCACTGAAGGAGCTTGTTTCAATGTTTGTTTTGCAATTTAAGACTGCACAACTGTATTAGTCTTCATACAGTTTAAGACCTGATTATTAATTTAGTTAATTATACCACTACATATGCTTTACAAGGTATGTTGCGTTTTATAAATACCAACTAATGCAGAGTAATACAAGAACCTGTATGAGTCACTGTTTTGGCAGCTGTAGGATACTTTATTAATGCTCTTTAATTTAGGTATTCCACCCTAAAGGTGTCGGGGAGAGTGGGGTAAGTTGAGCCACCCCCTGTTGCTTGGAAATGGTAGAAGAAATTGATCATGTGACCAAATATTTAGGAGATGGGCATCAATTCATGGAGTCTGTGACGGTTAGAAGCACATGGGTGAAGGGGTTAGACATTCATTTACAAAAAAAAAAAACATTTTTCACTCTTTAAAGTGAATTTAGTCTGTCATAAGTTTTATTAGAATTGTGTTCAGACCAAAAAAAGATCATTTTAAATTTGTTTTATACATCAATTGTGGTATCTATGAGCTACAACATGAGGTCAAAAACCTAACATAAAAGTCCACCATTTTAGCTTAGAGGACTAATAGAGTCATCATAGTAGTTCTGGTAGCATGATGAGAGGATCAGAGTTTCAGTTCAGATTGTTGAAATGTTTGACTTTTTCTTTTCAGAAATACAGCTGTGAATGTTCTGAATCACATTCTCATGTTAAAATGGCTTTTTACAAAACAGCTTTTTAGCAGTTATATGCAATAATTTTAATAAGAAGAATTATTGTACCAGTTGAATAGTGTATAACAGATTAAAAAAAAACATGAATGTGAAGAAGTGACTGTTATTTAGGGAGAGAGAAGGTGAGGGAGGGCTGGGGTGGAGAGTTAAGTTGACCATAGGAGACCACTTTGTTTTGTCATGCTATATTATCAAGATTACAGTTCTGTTTACACTCGTTCTGTTGGTTTGCGGGTATGAACAACATCTTAAAATATATGCAGATACACTAGTTAGAGACAAAACTAAGATCGCCTTGATGGCTCATCTTACCCCACTCTCCCCTACTAACTAATGCAGTGTAATACAAGCGCCGATATGAGTCCAACTTCATGAATAACGTTAAATTTGTGTCACTCTTTCGGCAGCTTTAGGCTACTTTATTGTTGCTGTTTAATTTAGGTATTCCACCCTAAAGGCGTGTCGTATATTGTCCTCTACTGTTTTAAATACAACAATAAAACTCGCCTACCTAAAACAGTAAAACCAAAACGTAATAATTGGACTTTGACGGGGAGTGTTAAGTGTATAATTACCGTCCTCGTAGTTCTTCAGGTAATAGTCTGGTCCCGGCCCTCTGAACTTAGCCAGGTTCTTCTGGTTGTTGAACTGCAGGAAGTCGGTCCTCTTTCCACCGAAACGCAGAAAGGCAGGCGACAGGCCGCGCGCCAAGGTCACGAGCCGTTTGGAGCTGCGGACACACGCGGGACACGGTGACACCTACGTAAGTGCGTAAATATGACGCCGTGTGTGTGTTTGAATCTGTGTTTATGGCTCTGAATGAGACAAAGCGGCTCGCCCTTTTTCTCTCTGCTGCATTACTAAAGCCTCGCTCTGTTAACTTCACACAAAATAAGAAAAATCCAGGCGTTAAAAATCCGCTTTACAAAAACAGGAAATCTCAGTCTTTACGCAAGAACTCTGCTGAAACCATTACAGCTCGGTGGGCCTTGTCTAAAAACTGGACTCCTGTTTTCCTCATTGACACCAGAGGCCCGGAGCAACAGGCTGAGCTTCAACATGATCTGACAGCAGGAGGGAAGGAGCAGCTACAGTGAGTAAAAGAAGGAGCGAGGGGATGAAGTAATACAGAATCAGAATGTGAAGGAGCTGCAAGGATTTCCTGGGAATATGTCCAATTTTACGGAAATGTAGGGGTGCAGAAATGTCAACAGAAACCCTCGAATAATCTGCTGCTTTTTCTCTTCATCCCTGCAGCTGTAGATAAATTAAAAACAAAGCAGTCCTTTTATTGCTTTGTGTGCTCTCTGCAGTTAACACACATTTAAAAATTTGCTAAAATATTGATGGACTATAACAAAATCATTTATACGAACAGTTTAGAAGTATCGTGGGAAAATGTGGCATAAAAGACTGGTTACATTTTATCCGAAAAATGAACCGTATAGGTCACTTTTAAAATATTATTTACTTTAATTATTCATATCGACTATTGCAGAATAAACCTCATATTTTACTTTTTGTGTATAGGCCTAATTTACAGTTTGGTTTATATAATTTATTTACTCTAAGTTTACTAAAGTTGCATGAATTGAATGTAAGTCTATTTTATCACGGCGCTGTGCTGCTGTTGGAGTTGTTTTAGCCTTTTTAACATGAAGCTTCTAAAATTATAATTGGTGAATATGTCTCTGATTTACTTGGTATTAATTTTGAAATAACTAAACAGTGTCCCAGCAGCCTTGAATAAAGTTGATGAGTTTATTTTGAAGAAATAAATGATGATAAAAACCGCTCCGGCCGTTGTGTTGTTGGATTGGGAAATTATAAATCGCCTAAATGTGTTTTTTGTAAAATAACAAGAAGGAGGAGAAGACTGAAACGCGTGTATCTGTATTTATGTCAGTATGAATGTAAACTAAAAAACAAAGTTAGAGCTCTGTTAGTCAGGATTGTTTCTGCAAGCACTATGCGATTTACGTGCATTCGCTCAGTTACACTGTCTGATATGTGCCACCAAAAACTAAGTGACTAAAGTTTGACCTAAGCTGACCTTTCCTAGACTTTGACTTTAGTGAAAAATCTAAAAACTGGAAATGTTATTTAAGAGGAACAGATTAAAGTCTTTTGATTTTTATCCTAAACGCTCAAAGAAACACGCTGAAGTAAATAATCATGAAATCACAGCCTGCGGAAGTCAGTTCATCTCAATTAATTCTCTGTTTATGCAAGTGTAAAAGAGCATGAGCAGAATCAGACGTGATAATAAATTTAAGCTCAGGCCAAACTTTGCGTAATGTAAGTTATTAAACGAGACGAGTTAGAGGCTCACAGATGAACCTAATGTTTGCAGTGACACTATCTCCACAAAACTGATGTATGTTGAACTAAATGATCACAGGAGTCTGAGTTTGATCATCTCGTGAAAACTAACTCCCTGATTTGGAGCATTAGACTTCTAAATACAGCCCTCTGACTCAGGAAGAAACGTGCTACTTCACTCCATTAGACAACGTGGCTGCATGCGCAATGATTATGAGAGGCACCAAACTTTCAGCAGTGGTTCATGTTGTCGCAAAAGCTCTTCGGTACCTCAGAAAGTCCAACCAGCCGTCTTTGATGATCGAGGGGTCCAGCTGCAGAGAGAGGAAGTTGTCGTTGAGGACTCTGATCGGACTGCGGGTGTTGACATCCAGCAGGATCAGTGTCCTCTCCATGAAGCCCGGTCGCTTCCCGCTGGTTCCAGATCTCTGATATGTAGACGAGGAAGAGTAGGAGGAAGAGAGCACCGATTGCACTACTAAAGAAGCCAGAGATGCCAGCCAGAGGGAGGACCACGGGGAAACGCAAGGTGAAGACTTGGGCATCTTTTATACTTTGGCAAACAGGAAGATCCGTGCGCGTAATGGAGCTTTGTAAGAAAACCAAATCACCGTTAAACACTCTCGAGTCCTGCGAAGTTCGACCGAGGCTCTTCACCTCGGTTCCATCGATCTGGATCTGTCTTCCTGTCTTGTTGTCTCACCCCCTCTGCCCCCCGCCCCTCTGCGTATTTTTGGGAGCGCACGCCCCGAGCCAGCCTTCCCGGCTGTGAGAGCCAGGGGTTGGGGGGAGGAGAGGGGGCAGCACCGCCCCTCGAAGGTTCTCTGAGGTATGAGTGCAAACAAAGTGGGTTTTCAGCTCGTTTTAAGTCTGAATAAGTCGTGGGATTGTCCTGTTAATAAAGCAATATGGTCTTTTCTGGTTTTGTTTACATTTGCTATAAAATGTTGATGGAAACGTAACAGAAATCAGATGTTGTTTTGCCTGGAGAAGGAGTGAAGCATTAAAAGAATCGATACACTTTTCTCTCACAACACAATCCTCCAAGTTTTCTTTAGAGACAAAGTTTTTTTTAGCTTAAAGCAAAACGAGAAATCCATTTAAATAAGGGATGGGATTTTGTTTTTCTAAAGATAAAAGTCTGTTTTATAAGAAGACATAATCATCCACGGTAGAAAACAAGATATAGGTGCAATTCAGACGAAAATACACTCGGATTATTTTGCGCAAGGGCGTGTCTGTGGGTGCGCATCATCTTTGACTGATCAAAACCGAGACTTCTCCTCAAATGCACAACCAACTCAAACTCAAAGATTTTTTTATCTATTTATAGAACTTAACTGTGTCTGTAAACTGTCAACTAAACCTTTCAGCTGTGAACTGATGTCGTGCGGCCTTTGTGGATCTCCAGTCCGCAGTCCGTGAGAACAAAAGGCGGTCTGCTTCGAAACACGAAAAATACTCTCCTGTCAGCAGGATATTTCGTGTTCCTGAGCACTTTCGGTCCCTCAGTTTGTTATGAGATGATTGATTACACGTTTCCAAACACGAATGACATTTGAAGATGGAGAGATGAGCATTTTGGTCTTTAAAACAAATCTAATCTGATTAGAGTTTGAAAGCTCCAACACATGGGACTCACCTTCAAACTCTCTTTGTGACTTTTCTCTCAGATATTTGGAGAACACAACACGAAGGGGGGAGGCTTTTGCGCGTGTCGTTAGGTGATGGATGCAGGAAGGTGGTCGTTTAAGGTCACTGCTGACCCACAGATAAAGCAGAAAACTCTGAGAGGAGAGTGTACCCGCTTTTATAGTTTTCTACCGACTTCAAACACCTAATGAAGAACACTTTGAACCGCAAAATTATCCAAGGTGTGAGTGTTTCAAGTTTTACGCACGAAAGTTTCCATTAAAACCCGCGGAAGGAATCCAGCAGAGGTTTTATTTTGGCACTGATGTGAAAAATGCCTCTTTTTTATTTGACATAGAAATTCTGCTTTACTTCACTTCGGGTGGTAAAATATACCTTTTAAACAAACCGTGTGTATATAATCCAAAAGTCTCTTTATTTCCTGCTGCAGCATTTGAAGAACCAAAAGTCTACAGCTTCGTGTTTGGACAGACACATTGTCTGCCATGTGGTTTTAATATTACCCAAGTTTTTGTATTTTTAATGAAAGACTATCCAACTTTAACAACTTTACAAAAGCTACAAATTCTTGAATTTGCTGTCACATTTAAACCCTCTCATGAGAATCTGGCTCCACGTTTATAGTCGAGTTTTTATCCAAACAATGAAGCATTTCTTCAAACTGTAATCTTTAGAGAGGAGGATGGATTTGATGTCCTTTTCTCTGCTCTTTGAAAATCATTGTTGGGAATGTTTCACCGCATTTTTATAACCTTTTTTATTGATGCAATAAATGCTTAAAATCATGTTTTCTATTGTTTTTGGTGAGTCGGATTACAGCTGAATCAAAACACCAACATACATTTCTCTTCAGACGGATATAGAAATACGCAGAAAGAAAGAAAAACCGATCAATTACTCAATAACGAATCTTAAAACGAAAACCTGAGAATAAAGTTATTAAAGACTAGACTGATATTTTTGTTTAACCACATGTTGATCGTAAAGATGAACTTGGATGATTCGCTACTTTAAAATTCATAGTTTGTTTCATAAATCTGATTAATCGATCGATCTTGATATGAAATGTCTGCAGACTCGTGCGCAAATGTGGATTAAACTTGCGCACGTTGTTCTTCCATGTTTCAAAGTTTGCACAGTTTGATGTCGGGTTGGATTTTACGCACAGTAAAAGCTCAAATCTTCGCGATCGTAATCGAGTGTTTCCTGTTCAGAATATCTCGTGAAACTTTTTCTGGTTTAGTCCATGAAGATTTTACAGAGATTTATAACAACAAGGTCCAAAACGCTTCCGATGCGTAAAATTATCATTTTTTAATAAGTTCCTTGATGGAAGAATTTCATCTTTTTTTCCAAGTAACGACCGAGAAAGATTCGCCTGCTGCATTGACAGACGACCAGGCCTTATTCTCAGCTGCAAATATGCCGAAATTAAGAGGTGAAACACGAAGATGAAATAAAATGTCTAGAGCAGAAAAAAAGTTAAAAATCAAGTAGAAATCAAAATTAAAAATCATGTTTTTCGTTGGCGTATCAATCACTGTCAGCTTCACTGATGTTTTAATCTTCTTTCTTCATATTACAGTTATTTATTTAGTTATTATTTACGAAAGACAGAAATAAACAGGACTCAGCTATGAATTTTTCCTCATAAGTTCGGTTTCCTCTCTGAATCTGAGCGATCCTACTGAACCTTTCTCTGATGGTTATGAGTCCAGACAGCAGGTTGAAGGGAAAACGTGTAAATCCGTACTTTCCACAGGTGGTTTTGTTTGTCCCTGTGTAAAAACTTCTCTCTCTCTTTCTCTCTATTTCCCAAAAGTCTGAGAGGATGTGTGACTGATGGAGAGCAGGGAGAGTTGGAGTGTTTAGGAGCTGGCAGGACTCTCTCTGTTTCCTGCCTCGTAAATCCGACACACGGTGATCATCGGAGGCAGCTGTACGTGGACTTTACTGTGGAGAAAAACTCAGTTAATTATAATCAAACTCAGAATAATAATGACAATATTATCATTAATATTATCAGTCATAACAATCATACTAAAAATCTAACCCAAAGGTGCAAATTGCGCAATAATAGCCCATTAGGTTTGATACTTTTATCACTATAATGGGGGAGACCAGGGTTGGTTTTAGCACTTTTTACTCTAAAGTGAATTAAACTTTAAATCCCAACATTTAACAAAATGTCACAGTCTTAAGTTAAAACTTGTTTCCATTTCATTTCTGTAAATCCATCCAACAACAATCTTCTGACACACAGAGACAAACAAACATGTGAGGTTTGGTCTGTTGTCCACTTTAGTATTTAAGGGGTTTTAATAGAATAAATAAGTTTGAAAAATAATATTTGGAAGTTTTTTTTATATTCAAGTTTGTGAAATAATTTTAAAAACGATAATTGGACTTTTTGCTCTGTTCCTCTCCAATCTCCAAAAGTGACAATATTTTTAAAAAATGCAAAAAATAAAAATAAATGTTGGAAAATGAAGGTTTTGTTAAGGTCACACATGTCAGATCTTTAAAACTGCAATGAGATGTTGGTGTTTTTTTGTTGTTTAACCCCTTTACATATACATACATATGCTGTCACTTTTATCTGGTAATACTGGTCAGATAACAGAAATCTTAGCGTCACTTTATTTTTATTATTTGTCTATTTTATTTTATAATTTTCCCCCCTCTTCTTTTTAATCTTACTGTTATACAGTTCATTAATATTCATAGTCCTCCTCCTTTTTCTGTTCACCCAATCTTCTGGCTCTTAAATTATATTTTCATTTCTTCAATCACTGTATAGATTTATACATACTGGTGAAGTGTACTCTTATAAGGGTGAGCGTGGGTGTATGTCATGACCTTCACTGTTTATCAACATGTTCTGCACATGAAAATATTAATAAATTAAGTCAAGGAGGATATTTAAGGATTTGTATACACTGATTAAAAGTCTCGATGAAAACCCTCCCCCACCTGGACAGAGACCTGATGCTATTATAACTCCAGAAAGGCTATAATGAAAACTATCAACTTTGTATTTCATGTATAACTGTAAACATACAGTATGTGTGTATATGTGTATGTATGTGTACATGTAATTTGTATGCATGTACAGCTCATGAATGTCTGATTCATGTATGTTTACACCACTCTTCCAACCTGACTATGGATTGCTTTTTATTTATTTATTATCTATATTTTTAAACAATTGTCTTATCATTACATATTCATTCATTCATTCATCGTGTTATTTATTGTGCTGGTAAGTTTTCTTCCCTTCAGTTTTGCCTGTTACTTGATGGCTGATTGTTGTTGAATGCATGCGGTATATTGTGTTGTGTTGCTAAACTGTGAACTCTACACTGTACGGATAAATAAAGTTCTTTGAATTTGAATTGAATTGATAAAATGACCAATAATGTTGACACTTTAAATAAAAATTTAAAACTGACCAATAAATAAGGAAATATCCTCTTACCTTGACATTTTTTGTCTGTGTCAAGTATCGCCTCTTGGAAATGATCATTAAATTAGATCATATCTGTATAATAAAGAGGCTCCTTATGATGTGAACACCCTGACTATGAACTCCTGATACAAACATCTACATGTTAATATTACATCATCACATTTCCTCTATAGTTCTATTAATAAACTTCTCTCCATGCATAAAACATCAGCTCTGATATTAAAGTTTGATAAGTGAGAGAAACTAACCCCCAAACTCCACAAAATAGGACTTAACCCCAACCAAGAAGCACAAAATCTCGGGTTGGTCTTTGATGCTGATTTTAACTTTAAAACTCATGTTAGAGGGGTCACTAAAACAGCTTTTTACCATCTTAAAAACATTGCAAAAGTACGATCGTTTCTCTCTCTGAGCCGGACAGAGAGACTAATGCACGCTTTTACGACCAGCAGACTTGACTACTGTAACGCTCTCCTCTCTGGTCAACCCAAAAGCACAATAAACTCATATTACAGCTCATATTACAACCATTTCAAAGTCTTTGCACCATCTGCCTGTTAGTTTTTGCATTGATTCTAAAATTCTTTTACTAGTTTATAAAGATGATTTTAATTTATGAACCAGGGCGACCTCTCAGATCCTCTCAATCTTCTCTTTTAAAAGATTTACTGATGTTTCTCTTAGCTGCTACGCTCCAGAACTGTGAAACAAACCTCCAGAGGGTCTGAGACTAGCTGCAAATATAGAAATCTTTAAACGTAACCTATAAACTCATCGATTTAGCCTGGCTTTTTAATTACTATTATGATTTAATTAGTTTTTAGTATCATTTTTTACCTTATTTTATTAACATATTCAAGTTTATATTTTATTGTCTGTTTTGTTCTGTTTTAACTACTTTTATTTGTATGAACAGTGCTGTATAAATAAACTTTGATTGACTGACTGACTGATTGATTGATTGATTGATTGATTGATTGATTGATTGATTGATTGATTGATTGATTGATTGATTGATTGATTGATGTCTGTCTTTTCACAGCTTCAGTATAAAACTTTGAGACATCCAAAAAAAAGTCTATTTTTCTATTGTGTTAAAGAAAAAAAAAGGAGAAAATTTGGCAGGAAAATAAGCTTTACTTTTTCCTGCATGCATAAAACACCATCTCTGAAATAAAAGTCTGATAAGTCTTTTCACAGCTGCAGTATTCAACTTTGAGACATCCAAAAAAAATGTCTATTTTTCTATTGTGTTAAAACAGGAGATAATTTGGCAGAAGAATAGCTCTACTTTTAGGGACAGAGATAAACTTAAATATTTCAAACCATGTTTTGGGCTTCTCTAGTTTTAGATCCAGCTCTGTGTTGCAGTTGTTTCCAGAGAGGCTGCAGTGAAACAGCTGATAATGCTGCCATCTAGTGGACACAAACAGAAAGTGACCCTGAAATCATCCCAGCTCGGTTCAGTTCAGCCTCAGCAGCATTTCTGCCTTTATTGCTTGTAATAAAACCTTAATGTTTCACGTTTTCTCCTCTGGTTTGTTTTCTGCTCTGATTTTAGTCCAAAATCACTTTGATTTATTTTCGCTCTTGTTGTTTAAAACCGAGTTTATCACATTAAATATTCATGTTTGGGGCATTTCCTGTTGTCTATTTTTAGATGGCGGCAAAAAGCAAATAAGACAGGCTGACGTCACGGGTTGTCATGTATATTTAAGGACTCTCGTGCCCCCCCTCCCCTCCCCTCTGTCAGTAACATACCCATCCTCTGCCTCATAGATATGGCCACCCAGCTGCTCCATCCATCCCATCCGCACACCACGTGACCCACTTCTCCCATGCCCTTCACTAGTTCATTCAGCATGATGGCTGCGGATGCTGCGGATGCTCTCTGCTGCATCCTGCATCCGCACCGGCTCTCCTACCTCCACCACCTCCTCCTCCTCCTCTTCACCGTCTCCCTCTCCTCTCTGCCGGCTCCGGCGGCAGCGCTGCTCGGCGTCCGGCCGGAGGACACTCAGAGCGGGGAGCTGTCCGTGCAGGATGGGATACTGAGAGCGAGAGAGGGGACCCGCTTCATGCTGAGGGTTTACTACTCCGCATCTCCTGCCGCGGAGCATCCCAACAGCCTGAACATCAGCGGCAGACCCGACGCTGCTCCTGCCGCTCCTTGGATCGCGTTTATAGAAGAACCAGGAGATGACAGCGAGGACTCAGAGAGACAGTTTCTCTCCAGAGGGAATCCATGTGAGGAGGAGAACGCCCGGAGCTCCGACATCGAGTTGCTGGGCTCCTTCAGATCCACCTCAAGTCAGAACTCAGTTTTGGTGGAGCTGCTGGCGAAGGATCTGCGCAGAGGAGAAGCGATCAAATACTACTCCATGTGCGCGTTTGATGGAGTGAAGTGGGAACATTTCAGCACCAAAGACTTCTGGTTGGCAGTGGTGGAAGGACCTCCAGAGGCAGATGTTTGGCTGCAGGCGGGGGTCTCGGTGCTCCTGTTGGCGCTGTCTGCGCTCTGCAGCGGGCTGAACATCAGCATGCTTGCTCTGGATCCCGTAGAGCTGAGGGTCCTGCAAAACAGCGGCACGGAAAAGGAGCAGAAATACGCACGGAAGATCGAGTCTGTGCGTAAACATGGAAATTACATCCTCTGCACGGTGGTTCTGGGTAACGTGCTCACAAACACATGCTTTGTCGTGTGGATGTGCCAGATTTTAGGGATGACTGCTCTCTCAACTGCCTTTTGCACTTTGGGGATTTTCTTTATTGGAGAGATTTTACCTCATTCCGTTGCGTCCAGGCACAGCCTCGCCATCGCCTCCAAGACCCTCTGCGCCACCCGCCTACTCATGCTGATCTTCTTCCCCATCGCCTACCCAGTCTCCAAGATCTTGGACATCATGCTCCATCAAGAGATCAGCAACTTTTACACCAGGGAGAAGTTAGTGGCCATGCTGCGCGTCACAGACCCGTACCACGACTTGGTGAAAGAGGAGCTCAACATCATCCAGGGCGCGCTGGAGCTGAGGACCAAGACCGTGGAGGACGTGCTGACTCCGCTGTCAGACTGCTACATGCTCTCCTCGGACGCCGTGCTGGACTTCTGCACCATGTCGGACGTGATGCAGAGCGGATTCACGCGGATCCCGGTGTACGAGAACGACAGGGCCAACATCGTGGACATCCTGTTCGTCAAAGACTTGGCCTTTGTGGATCCGGACGACTGCACCCCTCTGAAAACCATCACCCAGTTTTACAAACACCCCATGCACTGCGTGTTCAACGACACCAAGCTGGATGTGATGCTGGAGGAGTTTAAGAGAGGTAAGTCCACTTTCAGTCATTCCAGGGTAGAAGAAGTGGGTGCAGAGTGAATGTGAGGCTCCCTCCTGTTTCTTTAGAGTTAAATCTGCTTTGAAGTGACTGTCCTCTTAATAAAGCAAGTTTGAGAGAAGAAGCCAATGTACACAGCAGCACACTGGCTCACAGTGGGCCTGTCAGAGAAACCCTTTGATCCTCAGGGCAGAGAGCTCCATATGTGAAATGTGATCCAGTGTGTGACACCGAGTGTGGTTCAGCCAGAGGTTAGAGGCTACCAAGAACTGGGGTGCATGTGGTTTTCAGAAAAAAATTTATGATATAAAAGTCTTCTCCGTGATAGAAATACCTTGATCTTAATCCCCCCTGGACCAGTCTTCCTTCGTCCTCATAAATCAGACTCAGTACATCAAATATTCTTTTACTTTAAACTTCATGTTTATCTGCATGAAATAAGAGAATAAGACAAGGATAGAGGCGTTTTCCTGCAGAGGAGGTCAATATCCTCTCTCAGTCTGATAAATTATCAGGTAAAATTAATTTAGGGTCAAACACACCATAACACCGAGTTAGACACCCCCTCGAGAGATGAATGTTGCCGACCACTTGCTTCTCTAGTTATACCAACTTTAGTAATGACCGCAGGATAGCAATACACAGCGGTCTGAGGAGCCATAAACAAACCTCAACCAAAACGCCACTCTATAGCCACAAATAATGTTCAGAACAGCACCTAACTTCATCAACAGGACATAAAGGGTCACAGCCATAGTACTAGACACCAAACATCTTTTTAACTTTGACTAATTTCTTTAGCAAAGAGACTAAAAACAACTCACCTACTCTCTTCCAGCAGCTACTTGTTTGTAGCGAGACCTCAGCCATCCAATACGAACTGATCATTACTTTATCATTTCCTTTAAGTAATAATCATCATATTAATCCTTTTGAAGTGCAGACGCGGTAGTTCTTCTGCCTTAGCGTCTCGAGTGATTACATTTCCATAAAGAAATGATCATAAATGTTCTTCACTGAGCTGCGTCACCCCGCTGTAGTCCGTAATGGACTGGCCTGAGGTCTACAAACAAGTAGCTGCTGGAAGAGAGTAGGTGAGTTGTGTTTAGTCTCTTTGCTAAAAAAAATTAGTCAAAGTTAAAAAGATGTTTGGTGGCTAGTACTGTGGCTGGGACCCTATATGTCCTGTTGATGAAGTTAGGTGCTGTTCTGAGCATTATTTGTGGCTATAGAGTGGTGTTTTGGTTGAGGTTTGTTTATGGCTCCTCAGACCGCTGTGTATTGCTATCGTGCGGTCATTACTAAAGTTGGTATAACTAGAGAAGCAAGTAGTCGGCAACATTCATCTCTCGAGGGGCTGTCTAACTCGGTGTTATGGTGTGTTTGACCCTAAATTAATTTTACACCGGAATATCCCTTTACGCAGTTTTCTTTAGATTAGAAAGTTTTATGTGAGGGGTGTTAAAAAGCACGAGGATCATCACTAACCAGATCATCATGACATTCAAAATGAAGAGCCAATAAATAAATAACTGGCTCTGAAATAGAAGAGAGAACAATCAGCTTTGGTTGGTGTGGGTAATGTTCGAGTTGTCAGCTTCATGGGACTCAAAAAGGACTTTTCTCTAACTTTAAATGTCTGTCACATCAAACTTACAAACCTGATTATATAACACATAGAGTACGACTTCGTTTGACAACTCCAAGAAAAGAAACTGAGCGCATTTTGCATCATCTATTTAAAGATTTGGGTTTTCTTTTAAAAATATCTAATACTTGCACCTCTTGCCAATTTCTGCTCTCTTGTCTTCCTCTTCTCATTTATATTATTGAGGTGATTGTTTTGCCAGAGTCATCGGTGTATTTGTGTGCTGCAATATTACAAATTCACCTCTCTGACGTTCGATGTTCGTCTGACCGAAGATGTGTGACTCAGAGTGAGGTGACATTTACCGCCCCTGCTGTCGCTCCAGTGAAGGAAAATGCCTCTACTTTTCCTGAATTGCTTTATTAATATTGTTCAACATGACATTTTTAACTAAAAGCCCATGCCTGGTTAATAAGATTTAATATGTGAGTCAAATAGTTGGGGTCAATTTTAGGGTGAAATGACTATTTCAACAAAAACTCTTCACATATAATTATGAGGCTTTTAAATGTCGGTCAGGACAGAATTGTACATGAAGACCAATCTGATATCAGGAGGACTACAACAAAGGGACTCTGTCTGATTATGTCATGCTTTCATTAATAATATTTACATCTATAATGTGGAAAAAGATGCTTTTGTCTTTTAAAGGGCACAGATACATACATAATTTAGGCTTGTGTGTTTGAGCTAAGATACTCTGACTTTTCAACAACGAGCATATCAGTTAGTTTTATGCAACATTTACTACCTCCAGTTTTTACTCCGAATATTTTATAACAGATACCCTTCGTTTAAAGGTGCAGTGTGCAATATCGAGCAGCAGTAGGAACATGGTAATACTAAACATAAATATGTCATAAGAGTAGGTCCTTTTTCATGAAAGCTGCCATCCTGCTCTGTCATGTTAGCATCAACTGAAAACAACCATTTGTGGTTCTATATTTAAAGCTCCTATGGGGAGTTTTTTTAAGTTTATGAAATAGACTAAAAATTATACGAATGCCCTTTAATGATATTCAAAAGCAAACAAGGGCATCTGCAACAAGGCTGATTAACAATGTAATCTTCATTTTAATGTCTGAAACAGGTGTGAGATGGTAGATGTTTTTACATTTTCATTATTTAATATTCACAGAGCATAAACTTTACCTTAAGAAGTCTAAATGATGAGATTTTTTCGTTTACCTTAGCATGTAGGGGACAAAATAGTCAGAGGACACATAACTAACCCCTGAAAATGCACCAGTTTGAAGGTAAAGAAATCAAGGGGAGTGGCTGTTGTTAATGTGTACAAGATAATTTTTTATGATGGATTTTTTAAGGTGAAAAGTTTGCAAACAGAAGATCATACTTATTATGCATCACAGGAGCTTCTTTTCCTTGAAGGCCACCATAGCTTCACCAATGGAAGGGGTGAGCAAGGGAGCTTCAATCTAAAATCTGATATTTAGCTCAATATGACTGAATATCCTCATTTCTACACACTGTGTTCTTAACTGGGAGGGTAGAAAAAAGCATTCTGAGTGGATACGGATAAGGTTTATAGAATTACTGTTCTAAGAAAATTACTTCTCATAATGCCGCAAAAAAAAAGTTGTATTTACCAGGAATATATTACATTTAAAGTACGACTTATCAGTAGAGCTATAAAAAAAGATAAAAGCAATTATATAAGATTTGCAATGCCTATAATTACATCCCGGCTTTGAGGGATAGTTTAAAACACAATTCACTGACCCGGCTGTCACTTCAGTGAGGGAAAATACTGCTAATTTTGCTCTAAAATCCATTTACCATCACATTTTATAGCCAAAGCGTACTGCTGATAGAAATAGAGGGTAGAAACATGCAATGTTGGCAGTTTGAAGCGCCTATACACACATTTACAACAGCAATCTTGACCTAAAGTGTAATTTAAAGCCTTTCATCACACCGGGATGACAACAGCGACAGTGAAAACAACCTCGATTTGAACCGCGCTATCTTCTCTCTGATTACCATCTCTGCTGATGAGCGCATTTACAGCGCTACAACACAAACACTGATAGCGTCTTTTCACCGCCGACCTTAAGTGTGTCACCTCTCTGCAGGGACTCTATTCATTCTTGATGATCGCATTGATTATCATCCTGAATCGATGTAAGAAGCTCAAACTGCTGCCCCCGAATGTGTCACAGGCTCTAATAGAAACATACAAGAGGCCACCGGAGCGACTGTTACGTAAGGATTTCATTGGCATTGACTTATGTTGAAGGGATTTAGATGTAAATCTGTCTCATTGACAAAGAGAGCTGCACAGATGGAGGCAGCCAATCAGAATGAAGAGGGAGACACAGCGGTGACTTTGGCAGGAACATAAATCAGATTGCCACTTACAGGTTAAAGGGTCAACCACTTTATTTTGCTCCAAATCATGGAGGATGGCTTCGGTTTGACCTCGATGTGTGTTTTTCTATATTGTGTTTCATTTATAGATGAGGTTAGGTGACAGGGTGAACTCCAGATTCACCTTTAGGTTGTTTTCGCCCACCCCGAGCGTCAGCCCTGCCGTGACTTTGAAGCTGCTTTCACTCTGCAGGTCGTCACCATGCAATCCTGCAGAGCGGCCATTAAAAATTCAACTCCAACCTTTCCCCTTCTCTTCAGCCTCCTTCCGTCTTTCCCTCTGACAGATTTAAAGGCTCCTACTGTTCAGGAAGCCTGGTGGAGAGGCTGAGAGGACGTCTTACTGAGGAGGCTGAAGAGTCAGGGTGACGTCTGTGTTCGGAGGGGATGGAAATGTCAGCATGCAAATAAATATTATTTTAACTTTTCATCCAAGCTCTGCTCTTTACCTTGCGTGTTTGTGTGACTTGAAAGAAAAAGGTAAAGAGCGAGTAAATTGGGCAAGAGATGACATTCAAGAGGGCCTGGGGAGGGGGTCTTACATCGTGTCATTACTGCAGCATCTTGTCCTTTCGCCTGTTTTGGTACAGGATGGAGAAAAAACAAGGCTGGTTCAGCATGTAGGAAGAGAATTTTCTCCTCCTTCTTGTCAGACTTTGGGAGCATCTCAGTGTCAAGGTTGTTGTAAAGGTTAATGAGTAATTAAGTTGAATGAGCAACACAGAACCTGCTGGGGATCTGATTTAGTAAGATGAGGGATTTCATGAGAGGTGAAATTAGTCTTCAGATTAAGTTTGAAAGTAAAAGTATCAACAGCAGGATGTGCAAACAGAGCCGGCCCAAACCTCAATGGAGCAAAATTTGATTTTGTGGCCCTCTATTTCTGCCAATAATATTGATTGTTGATCACTCACACACCTTCACAAATCTCTAACATTTCATGACCTGTAAACACACCTTTATCTTGTCGTTTTTCCTCTTTCTTTTTTCTGTTCCTGAAGGATATGTCCTTTTTTGCTAATTTTTTTGCGGCCCTTTGGACGCTCAGCGCACATTGCACAGCAGGAGGCACATAACGGTAGTGGAGCTTTGACATATCGGCAGTAAGAATCATAGACCTACATCGCTTTATTTTATTTTTACAATTATATATATTTGATCATACAGAAAGCATCACTCATACATGCAAAAAATGATATAATATATATGTAATAGTAATAAAATAAAAAATACTTAATTTTTTATTGCTCTTGGGGGTCCCCTACTGGCCGTGGGGCCCTAAACTGGCGCTTAGTTCGCTTATGCCTTGGGTACAAATACTCCAATACGATCAAATGTTAGTTACCGTATTTTCACACTATAAGGCGCACCTTTTTGACAGATTTTTGAGCGCTGTGTACCACATAAAGTCGGTTTGAGGTCAGTAAGCACAACTAGAATTCATACATAAGGCGCACTGAGGATTTTTGAGAAAATTAAAGGATTTTAAGTGCGCCTTATAGTGCGAAAAATACGGTACTGTAATAGACGCACAAGTAGTATGATAGACATGTGTTGCAATATGCTGCCAAATGACCATCACCACTGCAACCCAGCCAACAGTGCCACCATCACAGACCCAGACTCCATTCGAGTCTGATACAGATTGGCAGAGGGAGCCAACACATCAATAGATCTATCAAGTGGGTGCTGCTTTCACCATTTTTTGGTCAAGTTAGGCTCAGTAGGCTGAATAGGCCTCCTATAACCACCCACTATATGCGAGCGCTCACCGCCATCAAACCCACATGTGGTGAAACAAAAGAAGAGAGAAAAACAGAGAGAGGAGTCTGAGAAGAAATATCAGACAAAGGGCAGAGCAAGGGCGAGAATCTAATGTGGGATACAGCTCACCTTCACCAAGTTAGACTACACGCCCTGACTCCTCCTACTCCACTTTTTTCCAAGAGGAAGAAAGTAAAGAAGAGAAAAAACAGAGATGAAAGTGAGTGAGGTAATGGGAGAAAAAGGGAAGCTTACCCTCACTGGATCAGGCTGTATGCTCTGCCTCCCCCTCCTCCAGTGACTTACTACCCTGAAAATAAGAGTTTTTTACTTTTACATCAAAAACATGACTTTGATCTAAACCTGCTGTGAGGTTTGTGTTCATTCTGACAAAGGGATCCCTCTAATCTCCCGTCCCGTACATGTGAAATCATATTTTTAGAGAACAACCTCATCCTGTTGTCTTTCCACCGTGAAATGTTTCACTTACTGTGAATATTTGTGGTGGAAAAACATCCAACAAGACTTTTTTTTCAGCCTGCTGTCAATCATCTCGTCTGACACCTACCCCCCTCACAGTGATTCAAGGTATCAGAAATCTCAACAGAGAAATTATCTGTTTTGGTTATTTTTGCACCAGGATCAGTTTGTGTTTCTTCACCAGGTAAAAACTCCTCACTGCACCTTTAATCATTCTTTAAAAAGCATACCTTGTTTATTTTATAAGTTGCTTTATCAAAGCTGCTAACTTATATACTTTCTTTATACTGAGTTATCTTCTTTATAAGATTAGATAAGATGTCCCTGTAATAGTCCCAAGGGGTAATTCCAAATTTACAGCAGCATGTGACAGATACAGAGAGAGAAAAATTAAAGATAAAGACACTTGGAGCTTAAAAAAATGAATGTAGATGAGTCAGAATTTATACAATAATATGATTTATGTTTGTATTAGCAAAAGAATTTGAAAACACAAATTTATTAACATGTTCTTGTGTTTGCTAAAATATTCCTTTACTGCCTTCTGGGCCACCGTAGTCCTGGCCTCTCTGTATCGCGCTGTTGACAAAGCTTGCAGTATTTTTGCACATATTTTTGTTTATAACCTGCTGGTTTTATAAGCACATCTTCTGTCAGCTGATAAGTCAGGGGATCAGAATCTGGATCAACGTGATTGGAATCCACTTATTGTGCCACAGTGAGGAAAAATGTCTCCAGAGGTACAAACAATGCAAACCGTACATCCTGCCGTAATCCAGTTTGAATGTCATGTAAACAATTGAACGCACAATCGTACACAAGCACATGATGCAAGATCAAAACAGCTCACTGAGTTTATAGATCTGAGGAGACGGAGAAACAGGCGGAGCAGAAACATTCGCAAAAGGGACATCCATGGTAGACCCAGTTTCGCCCTGGGCATGTGTGTGTGTGAGTGTGTGTTTGTGTGTGTGAGAGTCTGCCTAACAAGCGTGCGTGCGTGTGTGTGCCATTCTGCAAAAGTATTATGTAACATATGAATGATGTAATGCAGTGCCAGGCACATTAGCAGCTGAGGGCATATCCACGTCTGACTCACCTGAACTCTTTAGACAAGCTGACCTGAGCTCGAAGTGTGACCTCAGCCTCATATAGAAAGATGGCCGCCTGTCTGTCTGTCTGTCGATCAGTTGGCGAGTGAGGGTTTTTTTTTTCTTTTTTCTTCTTCTTGTTACTGTGGATTAAAGTATTTGATCCATTTTATCCCCTGGCAGTGATCTCCTAAATCGGCCCATCTCATATGATTTTGTTGGAAGCTCGGGTTGGAGACTGTTTACATGTTTGCGGTTTGAACGCCGTGTTCTAGTGACATCATGAACTGGGTTAGATAACTTATTTGGTCACTAAACGGACTTAAGCCGTGACGTAAAAAGGAGTCAGGCTGTGGTTGCCATGATGACAAAGATAGATATAGTAAACATAGACAAAAATCTGCTTTTTGGTGCGTATGGTGGATTATTTTTGTCATTCCCTCTCCTGTGTCTTTGTGATGCTCGTCCTCCAAGGCAACTCTCTGTCACATTTGTTTTATCGAATCGCTGCATGGATGCTGTCGGCGATCTGTGTCATTGTATCTGGCAGGCATGTCGTGTTCACCCAAACACGAGCTGAGTGGGACCGCTGGGTCTGCTCATGCATGTGTAAAAAGTGTGTGTGTGTGTGTGTGTGTGTGTGTGTGTGTGTGTGTGTGTGTGTGTGTGTGTGTGTATGTGTGTGTGTGCAGAGGTTGGCAGAAGCATGGGCAGTTTCATCAGCAGATGTAGGCATCCCCAGACTGATTGCGTAATCTCTGTGTTTACGTAAGGGCCAAGTCTTCCAAACTGTCAAAGTGTCTCTAGACTAATCCCAAAATGCCTACTTTCTACTCACCCTACACACACAAAACACACACATATATACACACACACACACTCTCTAAAGTCCTCCTGACATTGCAATAATTTCAGACCAATTCTCCTGTGTTTACAGTCTCTCAGCTCCAGTTGGTGTTTTAAGGCCGATTTTCATCTCCAGTGCACAGATCCAGTTGGAGGCTGTTGACTCGTGTTATTTTTATCCACTGACGTTAACTCTCCATCCATTGCATCAGCATTGTTTTTAGTCTGTTTGCATAAACTCACATTAGAAAATTATTTTTAGCTCACCCTTTTCTTCTTCTGCTTCCTGCAGGGAAGTCCCACCTGGCCGTAGTGCAGAGGGTGAACAGCGAAGGGGAGGGAGACCCCTTCTACGAGGTGATGGGGATCGTCACCCTAGAGGACGTCATCGAGGAGATCATCAAGTCGGAGATTGTGGACGAGACGGACCTGTACAGTACGTATGATGCATAAAAACACACATAATGAAGCTTTGAGTCGTTGCATTATCTGTGAAAACACCTTTTTGTGTTTCCAGCCCCCACGCTGGGTGGATTTTCTCTCATTTTGGCACAGTAGCCGGCAGTTTTCTGCAGCTTTTGTCCACAGCATCATTAGCCAATGCTCTATTCAAAGACATGAAAAGCCTCCTCTAGCAGCATTTCTGCACCAGTAGAACATTTGGATTTCCTTTCCTCACCATCCTCTCTCCTTGTTCCTCATTAAACTATTGATTCCCCCGTCTCTCCCTCGTTGTCTTCAGCTCCTTGCTGGTGCATAATTAAATAATGCGAATAAATGGCCCGGTCTCACAGATAATCACTATAATCCGCTCATCTTTAATTGGCTTGAAAGGCTGTCCACAGAGGGAAACTCAAATACCAACCTCCCATCATGTCAAATCTGATCTTTCCAATATTTGCTCGCCAAACTGATGGTAAATAACTTTTTATTTTAATATGCTCCCACAAAAACTCCGGAAGCATCTAATTTTAAAGCACACAGCAGTTTTAATTACATGCAGAGAGGAGCAGTCCCTGTCAGGGGGGCACTTGTGTGGGTGTTCATAAACTCTGTTTTTCTCTGTGTTTGTGTGTGCACATAATTATGCATGCATGTGTGTGCGTGTATATATATATATATGTAGCACAGGGGAGCTAATCTCTCCAGACGTAGCTCTTCAGGCGGTTGTAGTGCCAGCTGTTTGTGATGCAGCAGATGTAGCAGCAGGTTTAATGGAGTCTAATATATTTAATACTCATCGTATCTGCAGTGGATAAGTGAATTTATCAATCAGAGGTGTGTTTGCAAGCACTCTCCAGCTGTGTGAGTAAATTTATGAAGAGGAATCACGTTACAGAATCCCGCTTTAGTGTTTATCAGCTGCTGGATGTTAAGCTGCATCAGCTAATGAGGTCAGAAGCACCTCAAAATAGTTAATTCCTTGTAGTGCCAACATGAATAATTTACTTATGTGGCGTATCTAGTAGGACAAACCTAATCTGTGAAATTAAAGGCCTCTGCCTCTATTAGTTATAATCAGATTATATGAAATGTGAAACATGCAGTGTGTGTGTACCTTACAAGGGCACAGAGTGAACTATAAAAAGAGGATTTTTTCTATGAATTTAATCAAGACTTCTTCAGAAAGAGACAAAAATAAAAAGATATGAGCGTGACATGAAGCTCATTTACCTGCACAAGAATGTGAGTTTATTGTAAAAACCAATAGTGTGAAAAAGAAGATTAATATTTCAAGACCTAACACACTATTCGTTCTTTAAATTGTAACTGATTTCAGTGATTTCATTACACTTTTAATCACTTTTGAAAGTTAATGTTTTTGTATTGAAGCAGTCCAGTTATCAAAGTGCTGATTTGGGAGTGAAATGAATGTGATGAAATCTTCTTTATGATCTTGACTTTAGTTCTGTCAGTCAAATAATAAATGCAGTTCTGCTACACCAGTGTGATCTACAACCATGAAAAAGGCTGAAGTACAGAGGATTAGGGCCGCATGAAGAGAAAATAAAATAAGTACAGGAACGAGATTAAAGTCAAAATTTAGAGATTAAAATCACAACCAGAAGGTCCTGGGTTCGAATCCCGGTCAGGGCATTTCTTGTTTTAGGAACATTATGAACAGTGAACATACCAGTTTAAACACAAATAAACGTTAATAAAAGACACGTAACAGTAAAAGTTTTGGTGTGAATCACAATATAAGGGGGGACATGAGCTGCTTGGTGTAGGTCTGCACTCTCCGAGTGCTTTTCTAGTCTTATGTATGTCTTTTATATTTCCTAACAGGAGTTTTAATGTTTTGATATCCTGATCAAATTGATCTTAAATTGTATTGTAGACCATATTATGTGTGCTCTGTGTGTTTTAATAGCGGATAATCGGAACAAAAGAAGAGTTTCTCACCATGAGAGGAAACAACAAGACTTCTCCATTTTCAAACTGGCAGAAAATGAGCTGAAGGTGAAAATTTCCCCTCAGTTACTGCTGGCAACACACCGTTTCTTGGCTACAGGTAACGCTGGATTTGTGTTCATGTATTGTGTGAATTATCTGTCTATAGTCAGTGGATTTCAGGGTAAAATCAGGACAGATTCGAGACAGGGAGGGAAGTCATTTCTTTAACTTGTATTGTGCTTTTTATGTGTGTGTGTCCAAATGGATCTATCTTGTAGAAGTGGAGCCTTTCAGACCGTGTCACCTGTCAGAGAAGATCTTACTGCGTCTCATCAAACATCCCAGCGTTGTGCAGGAACTGAAATTCAACCCGAAGAGCAAACACGCTCCTCAGCACTACCTCTTCCAGAGAAACAAACCTGTCGACTACTTTGTCCTTGTCCTGCAGGTAAACCCTAAATCTCTTTTTCTGCTAATAAAGCCAAATACTGATGGAGGCTTAAAGGTTAAATTGATGATTTATGAAACCAAACACTTCTGTGACTGTGTTTTTGCACATTGACTGTAAGAGAGGCTCTGTTAGATCAGTAATTAATTCAGTGTTTTTCACACCTAGAGCTTTTTAATGCATGTCGATGTCTGCGTTATTGTTGCAGGGACGGGTGGAGGTCGAGATAGGAAAAGAGGCTCTACGCTTCGAGAACGGAGCGTTTTCGTATTATGGCATGCCAGCTCTCATCCCGCCTCTGCCTATTGGTAAGCAAGTGCGCACGCGGAGACGTATGAATGGTTCTTTGAGACTGCGGGTCTTAGGCTGTGGATGTTGAGTTCAGGAATAATAGTCTGAAAATGATTGCAGTGCCGGTTGTTGTCTGAATCCCACCCAGAGTCTGTGTGTCGTCAGCCTGCAGCAGCAGCAGCAGCAGTCGTGGGAAGTAAGTAATTAAAAGAAGTGATTTCAGAGAATTTCCCAGTGGAAGGACATGACCTGCACAGGATTATATGAAATCCAGCTAAGACTGCAGCGCAAGCAGAAAGCCTGTCGTTCACACACTCTCATCCCTCCCTGGTTCCTGTGAAAGGCCTGTGTGCATGTTTTGCATGTGTGATGTTCAGGTTGAGTTTAAAGCGTTTTGGAGGACCTCTTTAAACATTAGAAAATCTCTATTGGACATTACAAAGTCTGGTATTACATCTTGAAGGAGCTGCTTTTACTTGTACTCGTCATTGCTCTTCAATTAGACCTGACAAGAACAGACTCTCTCTCTCCACTCAGCGAGGTTGAGCATTTCTCCGACTCATGCAGAATAAAAGAAGGGAAATAGATTTACATAACAAAATACACACATGTGGAGATTTGTAATAACAAGCTAAATTCACCTTTTTATCTGCTCTCTTTCGGTCTAACAAATTAGATTGCATTGATGCATAATAAAAGAAGATTAGCTGAAAATGTTCCCGCTCTCATCTGGCTGATAAGGATCCTGCATGAATATAATTACAGAGCATTATCATACTTTCTGATTACAGGTTTTGATTGTGCGGTTCTGAAAATCACAATCAAAGTGTGTTTCCTTCTATTCTGTCCAGGTCATAGGTACAGTTCCCGGGGCAGTGGTCTGAACCAATCAGATTCTTTACTGTGCGGAGGCAGTGTGGGTCAGCTCAACGCAGGAGGAGGGGCCTACTTACCCGACTACTCAGTGCGGCAGCTCACAGACCTGCAGATTATCAAGGTTTGTAGCGGGAGCGCCTGAAAACACAAAACAGAAACATATTAATGAAAGAAACTGCAGCTATTATGTACTCAACTAATTGTATAACTTCCTGCACACTGTGTTAACAAGCAGGACTCAAGCAAGCCAGTAACTGCACTTTTAAACCTCTCTATTTAATCTCCAAAATTCCCCGAAAATGCAGACTCTTCCTCTGCAGCAGCAGCAGCGTGAGCCTTTGATATGTCCTAATCCGAGATCCTGACAGAACACAGACATCCTGCTCTTGTTCTCCCTCCATGCAGTTTTCCTTTAATCACTCGGGATAATTGAGCTCAATTTCAACCGTGAATATTTCAGCTTTAAATGACTGATGCGCCCACACATTTCGCTTCTACGCCCCTTTCTGAAATACAGTTCCCACCGTCTACTGTATGCACACGCGGTTTTAAAAGGGATATTCACATCAGCTGCATGACAGTGATTAAGAGTGACATGCTTTTGTATCGTCCTTAATCACGAGGACGGTCGCAGAAAGGTTTTATGTGGCCACATTTTTACAGTTAACAAATGATATGTTGTGATTGTTGTGCAAAGAACATATTGCTTATTTAGGAAGAGCTGAACATGAAAGACTGAAACATAAATATATTTGAGCTTTGCATTAAAGAGATATTCCAGCTTAAAATTAATTAAGGGTCAAACACACCAAACACTGAGTTAGACACCCCCTCAAGAGATGAATGTTGCCGACCGCTTGCTTCTCTAGTTATACCAACTTTACTAACGACCGCAGGATAGCAATACACAGCGGTCTGAGGAGCGTAAACAAACATCAACCAAAACGCCACTCTATAGCCACAAATAATGCTCAGAACAGCACCTAACTTCATCAACAGGACATACAGGGTCCCAGCCATAGTACTAGCCACCAAACATCTTTTTAACTTTGCCTAATTTCTTTAGCAAAGAGACTAAACACAACTCACCTACTCTCTTCCAGCAGCCGCTTGTTTGTAGCGAGACCTTGGGCCAGTCCATTAGGGACTACAGCGGGGTAACGCAGCTCAAGGAAGAACATTTATGATCATTACTTTATCATTTCCTTAACGTAATAATCATCATATTAATCATTTTGCACTGCAGATGCGGTAGTTCTTCTTCCTTAGCGTCTCAGTCTGATTGTATTTCCATGAAGAAATTATCATAAATGTTCTTCCTTGAGCTGCGTCACCCCGCTGAAATCTGTAATGGACTGAGCTGAGGTCTCGCTACAAACAAGCGGCTGCTGGAAGAGAGTAGGTGAGTTGTGTTTAGTCTTTTTGCTAAAGAAATCAGGCAAAGTAAAAAAGATGTTTGGTGGCTAGTACTATGGCTGGGACCCTATATGTCCTGTTGATGAAGTTAGGTGCTGTTCTGAGCATTATTTGTGGCTATAGAGTGGTGTTTTGGTTGAGGTTTGTTTACGGCTCCTCAGACCGCTGTGTATTGCTATCATGCGGTTGTTACTAAAGTTGGTATAACTAGAGAAGCAAGCAGTCGGCAACATTCATCTCTCAAGTGGGAGTCTAACTTGGTGTTACAGTATGTTTGACCCTAAATTAATCTTACGCTGGATTATCCCTTTAACACTGGTTATTTTTGTGTCCCCACAGATCACCAGAAATCACTACCAGAACGCCCTCACAGCCACCCGCATGGACAGCTCCCCTCAGACTCCGGACCCCATGGATCCCAAAGGAAGGCCTCCGATCCCAGAGGCCCGCTCGCACAGCATCGCCCTCCCCCTCACGCACACACACACTCGGCTGGGGCTGGCACGCCTTGCACATCTGCATCCCCACGGTGGCCTTCGAAACACGTCCCAGCTCAATGAGAGAAACAGAATCGTCCGTAAGTGGCACTTTATGGACTCGAAGGGCTAAAATCTTAAATCAGTCAATCTCAGTCTGCATAACTTTAGCTTTCCGTCAATTTAAATGCAACTCTCAGCTGTTTTTCTCTCAAACTGTAGGACAATTATCAGGATTTCTAAAGCTCCTCTGCTTATTTTAGTTGCAGTATTCGGCTCTTGCATGCACTGCTAGTCCTTATAAATAAAGAACAACAACAACTCCCTGAAGTGTAAATGAGAGATGAGCTTCCTGTGTGAGGCTACATTTGAATTTAATTGGTGGAAATGTCTTTTGAAGAGAAGAAAAACGAGGTTCAAAGGCTCAGACACAATGATAGGAGCGCTGTTGGACTGGAGGACACAAAATAAACTGTAAAAGACACAATTCAGGATAAATGGGACTCTTCCAGAAACCTACTAAAACATCCAAAAGACAACTCCAGTTTTAACAACCTCTTACTGGATTTCCTTTTTTTCACGAATGAAGAATGAATTTAAAACGTCCAAAACCCACAATGACTCACAGAACTGGTGCAAACGCAGCTTCAACCAATCAGTACTGGTCCCAAGGCTTAAAGGATTTCCCACGTACCATCTGTCTTACACTGTGTGTGACACGCCACCGAGTTTGTGTGTCATTAAGAAAAATCTACAGACAGATGGTTCTGTTGGTCGTCAATAAAAAAAAGATTTCACCAATTAAGCCCTCCTCACCAGTTAGAGCTGACATGAATTTTTATTTCAGAATCAATCTGCCACCACTGTTACATTAAACGTCTTTCTCAGCCGTGAATAGAGCACTGACGGCTAGATAATCAGCTCTCTACCTCCCTCTATAGGCAGACTTTAAAAGCAGCTGATGTTTTGTGAGCTGATCGGTTTTGTTTTCCTTTCAAAGGCAGTAAATCTGATGGGCAGCGGAGTCCAAATGATACCGTGTTCCTCCGCATGGATGAGATCCCTTATATCCACGAGGACCGACCAGAAACTTTTGGAGAGAACGGTGAGAATCGATGCACATTTACTGGATTATAATCTCAGTTACAGCACAAAACCACTTCTTCTGCAAATGGTTTATTTTCTTCCTGCTGTCTGTTTGTTTCACAAGAAGTACTTTATTATCTGAGGTTGAATAAAGGGATTAAAGTTTGTTGTTTTTGATTGATCAGTTGTGCCAGTTCATGGCATTTGAGATAATCGACACTGGCCAATATCTGCGCTCACAGGCTGGTTTAAAAAAGGCATTTTCATTTTCCCTAAAGGTTACAGGTTTTTCTATCTTCGGTGACAGCATATCATATCTATAAAAATGCTTTTTAGTTATTGTTAAATATAAATTATGTTATGATATATAGAATAATGCAGTTTTTGTTTCTGATGCAAATATCAGCCATTTTCTTCAATATTTAACATAACCTGATGTGTTTTCTATTTCTCGAATCAGTTAAAAATCCATCTTAACATGTCAACGACTGAGAAGACTATATCTATTAGGTCAGTGGTTCTCAACTGGTGGGTCACGACCCAAAAGTGGGTCACAGACACGTTCTGGATGGGTTGCAAACAGCTGGTCAAAAAAGTAAATATTGAATGCGCATCTGATGTTTGACATGTCTCTTATTTTGTGCAATTTCATGGTTATTATCTGTACATGCAACGTCAGTAGTTGTCGTCCTCGGTTCATGTGCTCTGAAATGCACTTTACTCAGTAAAACGGGTGTATTTGTGTCAAAGATTTGAGTCTTTAAAAGTTTTTTTTTTATTATAAAAAATAAATTTGCTCAGTTTGAATTCTATAAAAGTGGGTCACGACTTAAGGACTGTGGGAAAATGTGGGTTCCAGAGTGAGACCAGTTGAGAACCGCTGTATTAGGTTATACGAGTCTTTAAAGCTCCTGTGAGGACTTCTTCTCCGGTTATGAAACAGACTGAAATGAACACTGATGTCTGATCACGAGCTGCAAACAAAACCATAAGAAACGAGACTGATCCTTTCTAGACTGTTATTATCATGGGTGCCTGAAATGACTGCTGTGGGGCTATGTGCCAGACAAAGTAATAAACTGATATTGAAAAAATCCTCTTTTAGGGCAAAGATTCTTGGAGTGACTCATTTCCTGGTTAAAAAAAGCTGAGAAAGTTTTCCTGTCAAAAATGTTTTTTTACACATGTCCAAGAGAAATCAGAGGAGATAAGAGGAGGTGACAAAATGGTCAGAAACCCAAAGTTTCTCACAGGAGCTTTAACAGAAATGATTCAGGTCAAACTCAGAGAATGAACACATCTATTTACCATTTTAGAAGTGAAATATCTGATGTTTTCTATGCTATAAAAGTGATGCCTGTATGCCTGTGAAGTCTGTATAACTGAGTACGATTGTCTGCCTCCACTTCAGCTGTAATTTCTGCTTCACCCCCCTCTCTCCCTCAGATGTGCCTATAGAGTCTCTGCCGTCCACGTCTCCCTTCATCAGCTCCCGCTCTCTGTCCAGCTCTGAAGAAAACATCGGAAAGAGGCTGCTGCGTAAATTGAGTGAGTGAGCAATCTGTCACACATACACACACAAACACACACAAACACACACACACAGCAGTGGAACAGCATGCCTACATATCCCGTCAGATGCACCCAAACTTTTCTGGCAGACATTAGTGGGATTGATGCCAGGTGTATCTTAGCAACAGGTGACGTGTCATGTATCTCGCTGCAACCTCCTCCTTCCTGCAGAGCAGATTCCACAGATACAACTGTGTTTACTGGCTCTGCGACAAGCTGACTCATTTACTCCTATTTAGCAAACTGCGCTGTGAGGGACTGTTGCTCTTCTACGTTATTTATTTGAGAAAATCTTGAAATATTTCTTCACAGCATTGACATTGTGGTGCCCCCCTGTTAGTTTTTAATATCCTATTTTAAGCTCAGATTTCAGTTTTAAAAATCATCACCCTGTTTCTTTGCCATCAGAAGCTGGAAGAGAGGATGGATTTGTGTTATAATATATCTATCCTGACAACAGCTTTTTTTTAAAAAACAGATATTAATAGAGGATATTAATATTTTTAGAGTTTTAATGCCTTAATTAAGAGAGTATTGGACAACGGACTGAGCATAAAATGGGGGGTGTAACATATGGGAAAGGAGCCACAGGCCTGAGGCGTAACCTCCATATATAGAATACCCACATAGACCGTGCAGCCAGCAGTGCCTCAAGGTAAAAAAATCTCAAACACATTTTCCATTAATATCACTTAATAATTGATCACAGCAGATGGAAATAAATCCAGAAATAAGCACCTTCATGTAACAACAAGAGCACTTCAGACCGGTTTGTATCAGATAACAATGTTAAATCAAATTGCCACCCTAGGAAACAAAGTTAGATCAAATCATGAGAAATTGAAAGATTGGCACAGCTGGGGCATCTGCCACCCCTGGTCACCCCTTTGGATCAGCCTCTGTTACTGAGTTATAAAACAAAGAAGAACAAGAGGCATCCTCATTGGTTTCATGTAAACAGACAAACCAGTTGAGTCTCCCCCTGCTAGTCATAAAGAAGAATTAAAGTTTAAGGTACTTTCAAACTGGCCTCACCTTTTATACCCCAGGGCGAAATCCACTAGTATCTTCAGGTTAGAGCTCACTGAAGAGAAAAGAAAACAACATATGGCTGCTAAATGCTGATTTTAACCAGTATTGACATCCAAAAAAATTAAATATATTTCTTCTGTTTCCAGGTAACAAGAGAAGAAAAAAGTCCCAAGATGAGGAAAAGTGTTTGGAGGAGCGTTCGGAGGAAAGTTCAGAGCAGTTACCAGCTGCGAGCTAGCACAGTGAGAGCGAGGACGAGGAGGGATGAAGCACACACCTTCTTCCTCTTTACCGTTCACAGAATTTCTCAACAAATCAACCCTCCCTCCTCCTCCACCGAGACTCTCACAGAAGACTGAGCCGTCATATCTGCTGTAGCCTCTCTGTCCAAACTCTGCCTGACCTTACACATCCTCACAAGAGAGACAGATCTGAAAAACTTGATTGGACGAATCTAGACAACAAAGTTTTGGATTTATCCAGCCTTACACTGGACTGTACGGACCTAAAATGTTCTTATTTAGCATGTGCTAATATTTTATGGTAGCTCTGTTCATAATGCTAACATCTACGCATGTCATTTTAGCCATAGTGTGTTACAGCAGCATTGCTTGTGCTTCATCTGGACTTTGCAGGGTCCGTGGAAAACATCTGAGCCATTTTTTTTTCTCAGTTTTTCTCTAAAGGGATATTCCGGCGTAAAATTAATTTAGGGTCAAACACACTGTAACACCAAGTTAGACACCCTGTCGAGAGATGAATGTTGCCGACCGCTTGCTTTTCTAGTTATACCATAGACTGTATATTCTATGAACAACTTGGTTTCGCCTTCTATGGAAGTAAATCTGTGCCATCTGATTTTGAATTTCTAAAGCTGAATTTTTTTTTGCATCAAAATCAGACTTTGAATTTCAAAACCATTGAATTTCAAGCACACATTTTTATTTCTTACTTATTTTTTTCACATTGATGAAATAAATTAATTGTTAAAAAAAATCAATCTCTCAAAATATTCAGGTAGTGAAAAAATAAACTGTAAAAAAAAAAATATTCAACCTTAAAAAAATTTCTGTGTCAAAAGATTCAGTGTCAAAAAATTTAGTGTAAAACAGACCGACTCAACATCCAGGTAATAAGGGAGAAGCAATCGATCTTTCAATCTTCCACTGAGGTCGGTGTCACATGACCAATCTCCCATTATTTGATTAGCCTGACGATGGATGATGGAGCCAGGAATCGATTGCTTCTTTTACACTGAATTTATTTCATCATTGTGGGAAAAAAAGTGTCAGAAATAAAAATGTGTGCTTGAAACTCAATAGTTTTGAAATTCAAAGTCTGATATTGATGCAAAAATATTCAGCTTTAGAAATTCAAATTCAAAACCAGATGGCACAGATTTACTTCCATAGCTTTCCGCCAGTTTATGGATTTGAAGCCGAATTGCTCTCAGTATTTCTGCGATTTTTCTTCATTTCCTGAAACCAACATTGCGCAGTAGCACTGACGCACTTCACCACTTGCGCAGTGGCATTGTACGCATTCGTCGGGAGAGTTACGAAAAAGTTGGTATAACTCGAGAAGCAAGCGGTCGGCAACATTCATCTCTCGAGGGGGTGTCTACCTCAGTGTTACAGTGTGTTTGATCCTAATTTAATTTTACGCCGGAATATCCCTTTAAACCCAACAACAAAAACATATTTCATTTCTTATGTATTCATTAAGATGAGACAGCTCCCACATACTGGAAATAATTTTTGCACAGGGAAACGTCTCAGTGTTGCCGTTAAGGTGCCACCTTCTGCAACACGACAGTAGCCACAAGATCAAAAAAAAGTCACCACCAGATTACAGCACAATTTTTACTCCAGATTTTAAGAACACAATAATGAAAAAGCCATAAAATCTTTTTCTCAGCTTGAATCAGTCGTTACTGTAAACACTGACCTCTCAGAGAGGTGCGCACAATTTTACAAACGCCTGTGCCAGAGCGAATGACGCAGTTTCTTACCTGACTTTTATATGAAGGTTTCAGAACTACCAAAAGGGATTTGAATAAGCAATATAAGTCATCCAACATGCTGTTAGTGATGTGAATTCATCACCTCATACATGCATAGGACACTAATCCCACACGTCTTTCCATGTAAACCTTCTTTCCTCGTACTGTAGCTGTGCCGACACAGTTTTCACCTTTTGGAAAAACAATCAGCACACCACATCAACCTCACACACTCAGCAAACATTTGAGCCTTTTCTATGTACAGATCATCCCATCACTAAAGCTGCATACACCAATCAGAAATAAGCTAGGGGATCATGGGTGGGTTTGGGATTTTTGGGATAAAAAGCGGATATTAAAAGTATTCTCGAGGAAGAGTAGTCGCAACTTGCATGTTCATATCTGCTGCTATTGCTGTAGAATTGCCCCCCTGTAGAAAGCCCTAATTCTCCATATGCATGCTTACATAAAGGGATGCATGAATAGGATGAAAACAATCTGCAGAGGTGCAATGTGTAGCAACTATAGATATTAAGATGAAGAAATGGCAGCCTCAAGTTTTAGAGTTGAAACCTGAAAAAAAAGCAAATGGGAGGAGAATTAGAAAGAAACAAGAGAGCAAAAAGCTGCAGTTTTCATGCTTTTAATTAAACTGCATGTATGAATGCACAAGGGGATTTCAGAGGGGATCAAATGTCACCAGATCTAGGGAGAATCCTGCCACAGACGCTGCTCACTGAAGGAGGATTTAAAGCCATTTTCTAAGAATGTTTTACCAACGCAATAAGGAGTAGTTCTGTGTTTGATTCACGATGGGAGTGCAGCTCACGTCCAGCTTAGCCGATCTGCACCGGGAAATATTGGCAGCGGAATAGAGGAGATCCGAAAGAGGAAAAGCAATATGACGCACACTGACGTCAAGCCACCGCCTCCCTTTAAACACACTCACACACAGGTGGTGTTTGGGGACACTCAGTGATATAATTCATTCTGCCTGCGAAGGCTATGGGAGTACAAAGGATACTGCACTGCTAAGCTTTTCACATTGACCCCTCTGTGTACACAGAACGTACAGCGGGAAGTCTTTTGATCTGACAACTGACAGCCGGCACAAGGATCTGTGAAGCCGAAGCTTTTCAGTTTTGAGAGGTTTTAAAGTCGGTTAACACTGGTTTATATTTGTAGAGATTATTATATCGAGTGTTTAAAGTAAAGAGGCAAAGTTGCATTTTGTAGTTTACCACCCAGATATTAACAAGTTACCCAAAGATGTCAAAGAGACAGATTACATGTTCTACAAAAGGGATGATGAAATAAATTAATGGATTAACAATATTCTCTTTGTTTTGTGTATCTTTATCTGCCTTTTTGATCTAGTTTAAAGCATTTTTTGTACATCGGATGGAACATATATGACAATAATTCAATCTTACTGTTTATATTTGTTTATTAGGATGGTAAATTCACAGTCTGGTGGGGATGTTTTTAGCCGTACAGCACCATGGCTTTGTTGGTCCATTATTCACAGAGGTATAGTACCAAACTAGTTGATCATTAGCGTGTTTGTGCCGCTCACACGTGGCTCTTGCATAATAGCGCACCAGTGCTGCATACAGACTTTCGCTGTTCAAACTCAACATTCATTTAAGCTGCAGGATCCTGACAGACCCAGAAACATCTCCTCATTCAGCTGAAAACAGATTCCTCTGTTGACTCTGTACCTGTTGGGCAGTTCAGTGCCGTTTGTGCTTCATTTGAACTAATTCACAGTAAGGTATTTAGAGCAGCAGCTTTTGGAAAGAAGTCAGTATTATTAAAAATTAAATAGATAAAAAGTATCCTGAGAATATTCCTCTATTGTTCACTAAACATAATACTGCACTAGATTCACGATCGAGGCGTAAACACTCACAACATTCATTAAAACCGCCTCCGCTACTTAATTACTCATTTCTAAAATTCAGCTTTTCCAAACCACTGATACTGATGAAACAAAAATGCAAATGTGTTATTAACACTCGGGATGGATGGATGGATGAATCACAGCCTCAGACAAAAGAGTCACACAGACACAGATGCACTAACCCTCTCAAAGGGCCAGGAAATGACAGATTTGTACGATGCTACATGTGAAGATTCAGTGATTTTCACACTAAGAGGAAGAAACCGACATCAAATTAAAACATGTGACAAATTACAACACGGTAACTGAAAGGAATGCCGCCAGGATGATAAATACCGAAGAAACAGGTCCAAGAGGTGTTTAGCCTAGCTTAGCACAAACACTGGAATGAGAGGGTGAACAGGCAGTGAGCTGGACTTTTTCACTGGGATCTGGACCAGGCTGGAAGAGGTGCAGAGAACCGTGGATCTTCTACTGGACCCTGGTGACGGTCTCATGGATGGATTCAGCCACATAGTCTATGTTCCTGCTGGTCACGCCACACATGTTGATGCGACCGCTGGCCATTAAGTAGATGTGTTTCTCCTTCACCATGTACTCCACTTGTTTGGCTGCAGGAGGAGGAACAGCAAAACCCCATTTCTTGTTTGTTTTTTTTAAGATCTCATTTTTCATTTTACAGACATGCTTGTTTCTAAGGAGGTGTTTGTGTAGCTGTTGTGCTGAAAGGGTGTAAATGTCGGTATGTGACTTAAGTACTCACGGTTGAGGCCTGTAAAGCTGAACATGCCGATCTGCTCTGTGATGTGGTTCCAGGTCCCCGGTGTCCCCAGAGATTGGAGCTTTGCTTTCAGCTGAGCCCTCATCAACAAGACCCTGTCAGCCATGGTCTTTACATTGTCCTTCCTAGAGTCAAATACATTCAAATCAATATCTCCAATTCAGAAAATACCTTCATTTTAGAGCGTAAATGGTAATTCAATGCACAGGTCGTGTTTCTCTTTTGTGCCGACCATTCTGCAAAGAGCTCCGGTGAGTTGAGAGTGATAGCAACGATGCGAGCTCCCTGGGTTGGTGGGTTGGACCAGGTGGTCCTGACAATCTTCTCCATCTGTGACAGAACTCGCTTCAGGTTGTCTCCATCTCGAGCAACAATGGTCAGGTTGCCAACACGCTCATCTGACGGGGAGAAATGCAGGCTGATTACTAAAGTCCTTTACCAATCAGATGTTGACATGCTGAAAAGAATCTGCAAATTTATGTTAAGGGTGGGGTGTGCAGGATTTCGTTGAAGAAGTGTCTTTTTTTTGTGGTGTTTATACAAAAAAGCTTTTAATATCAGTCAATAGTTATTAGGGGAAAACTGGTTGGGAGGTGTAGAGCTTACATTCAAGATTTCTCCCAAAAACTGTCTCTTCCTCAGATCCTGACTACCCCACCTTTAATGCAAAGCTCAAATATATTTATGTTTCAGTCTTTCATGTTCAGATCTTTATAACAAAGCAATATGTTCTCGCACAACAATCCTTTCCTTTGTTAAACTGTAAAAAATGTGGCTACATAAAACCTTTCTGTGACCGTCCTCGTGATTAAGGACGATACAAAAGCATGTCACTCTTAATCACTGTCATGCAGCTGATGTGAAACCCAAAGTACCCAGAGGTCACTCACTGTAAAGGCCAAAGTTCTTTGAGAACGACTGGGCACAGAACATTTCAAAGCCCACGGAGACAAAGTAGCGGACCGCCCAGGCATCTTTATCCAGACTGCCCGAGGCGAATCCCTGATAAGCCGAGTCAAAGAACACAAACAGCTTCCTCCTCTGAAGAGAACAGGATAAAAGATCAAACAGTCAGCACACTCTGATAAATGTGGAGCATGTGAAACCATATCCTGTCTGTGCGAGGTGACGCTTCTGTTTGTGGTGATTAGATTTTGATTTGCATTGGTGTGCAGGGCTCTTTGTAATACCATCATAACTTCAGCGATCATCTTCCACTGCTCCTGTGTGGGGTCTGTGCCTGTCGGGTTGTGGGCACAAGCATGCAGGACAAAGATGGAGCGTTCTGGACAACTCTACAAGAAGGACAGAGAAAACAGTAAATTCTAGTAAACTTAATGAAGGCAAAATAGAGTAAATCCAGAGTTCAGATTTCACTCTAGGTACCTCCAAGTCCCCAAGGAAACCAGCTAAATCAAGCCCCCTCCTCTCAGCGTCCCAATACTTGTATGGACGGACGTCCTCAAAGCCAGCGTTGGCAAACACAGCATTGTGATTTTCTGAAACAATAAGATACAGAAACGATCATTAAATAATAAAATTATATTATCATTGACTCAAGATACAAAAGTGGACATAATTTTATTGAATGTTCCTCACATATGAACCGATAACAAATGTAGATCAGAGATAAGATGTGAGAGTCATTAATTAAACTGTACTGACATACAGGGTCTAAAGTCGAAACTGAGTCTATCCAAGTCTCAGATCAGAGTCTCTGTAGGAGGAGCCGGTTAGTAGAAAGGAGGATACTTTAAATATGTTTGTGTGTGTATGTGTTGGCCTACCTACCCCAAGTAGGCGCAGACACATAGACGGGTGTTTTGGTGTTATTGTTCCCGTTGTAGAAACGCCTCAAAAACTCTGCTCCCATCTTCAGAGCACCTGTACCGCCCAGACACTGGACAGCTCCAACCTGGCAGTGACAGAATCAGGCTTTTAACTTTAGAGTATAATATGAAAAAAAAAGTTTGGAAAGTGTATTTAGAGTGCATTTATCAGGATACTCAAAATCACCAACCCTGTTTGCCTGGATGGCAGGACTGTCCTCCCCCAGTGCGATCTTTGACGCCGAGGATCTGAACTCAGGCAGACCCAAGATGGGCAGGTACTCATGATTTAGCCTGTCATCATGCACAATGATCTTTTCCACTTTTTTCACCACGGGTAACACCCATGGCTTTCCTTCATCTGTCCGGTAAGCTGCAAGAAGAAGTCAGGGAAACAAAGTTGAAAATTTGTTTTAAACTGTGCACAAGATTTTAAAGAAGGAAACTTTTGTTGTAGCCTTAATTGCGCAAATGCAGCATATACTATTGTTTGAAATGATTTCCACAGAAGGGCTTATGTCATCCAGTCCAACCAGTTCCAATTACTTCACTAAGAAGAACTGGAGTAAAAGCAGCTTTGAGTATTTGGTCCTGGGTCAAATAACAGGAATGCTCAAATGACCCTGAATGATCACGTCAGAGATATTGTAACCGCCCTGCTCTTTTATCTGTGGAGATGAACTCTGTGTCGCCACCCGATAAGGTCTAGAGCTGACAAACGCCTTTTTTTGTTCATTTCCAACGGAGACATTCAGCTTATCTTTGTGACCCACTGATCAGTCTCAAGGTAAATATCAACATCGTCTGGATAAACTAATGCAAAACAACCTGTTGAATTTAATTTTTAATCCATGACAAAACTAGGGGTTAAGGTCACTGCTGTCATTGATCATTAGACCCATTATTTTTGAGTAAAAAGTTAAAGTTTAACCACATGCAGAATAAAGGCTCCTAATGCCATGTGTAATGTTTTATAGAGCCTTCTAATATCCCTCTTATTAACACATCAACTGGCAGATTATGAAAGTACTCGCTGAATAACGCAGTATTTTGGATGAAACATTAATGAAAAGACGACTTGAGTCAGCATGGCGTTAAAATTTTAGACACGTGTGGCCTACATTTCCCAGCTTCCCCTTAGTGGATGACCATCTGCGGCACTGTGTCTTGCAGAAAGCAGGGGATTACAAGGCCTCAGCCTGCTGTACTAATCATAAGACTTGGGTAGCCTTGTCCTTTAATGCAGTGACATGACTATACCGCCACAAACACATCTAAACTACATCTACCACACTGTTCCTTTGCGATGTAAGCGGCGAGGATTACAACTTTTAATAAGATTAACACTCCAAACAGTCGTACGCAGGACTGAAATGTGCCATTTGCTCGCTTTAGGGGTGAAGCAGGACTAAGCCACACACATCTAAAATCCTGCAAGTAGCTTGTTCTTGTTGCATGGGGGAACAGTAATCCAATCAAGTGAGCGGTTATTGTGCAGAGTTGCAGCAAGAGGGAGAGAAAAAAGGAGAGAGGACAGGGACAAAGATGACTCTACTCTTTGTGCAGAGGTATTACATAACAAGAATACATTATCAACAAAGCTGCAATCAGCCTCTGGTGTGGCATGACTGAACAGCAAATAACACAGGCACAGGAATCAATCAGAGAGGCTGCAATTCCTCTTCTGATAAAGAAAAAAGGGGATTGGACAGTTTCTCTAGATTGATATATGGAGGTGTTCTCGTATTCACTATAAAAAAAAAAAGATTGTTTTCATAAAATCAATCCACAATATCTCGATAGTGCTCGTTAAATCAGTAGGTGTTACGACAACATCTGTGACCTGTGACTATGTAGACCACCAGCCTGCTGTTAAAACTCAAATTCTTGGACAGGAGGTCAGAAAAATACATCTGAAACATATTATCGACTGCAGCCTTGGTGTCTATAACCATCAGATGGGTGAAACCAGAACCTCCTTCATACAATATCTGGATTTAAAAAGAATGAGACGTTTATCAAATGAAGCAGATCACATTTTCACTAAGGCTTCAGAGGGAAATATGGGAACTTGTGGTACCTTAATTGATGTAATGACAGTTTATGTTAATGGTGTAAGTACAAAATACTGTCATCCTGCCTCTGACTAGGATTTGTGTCTATAAATCTGGACTTTGGAGTGGACATTGTTTATTTGCGATGACTACTGTGATTATTCTCTTCAATTTAATCCTACATATATGTTTGTAAAAATACACATACAGCTGGAAAAAGAAAAGAAATGCATTGTATTGAGATGTATACACTGTATTGGTGTGGTAAAAATTTAATTAAAAAATAAAAAATAAAACTATAATTTTTAATCCACCAAAATGTCACATTTTTAATACTAGATGCTTGGCTATCAACATTTTCAGGTAAATACAACTGCTGCAGCCTTAATAATACAATATGGACAACAGGTCATACAATCTTTGGGGTGCGACTTTCACCGGAACACCTACTAGCTAAACCAGCATTAAACTCAGACTGGACGGTTGCTTTGGGTTACCGTTACCATGGCTATCGTCACCTAGCTGCACAAGTGTCAGTTAAACTTAAATGTAGTGAACTCACCTCCAACTCCGAGGTTCACCTTGTTGGGAAACTGGTCGTTGTTAAAATCCTGGGTTAGTTTGAAGACAGCTACGGGGGCTGCTTGGGGGACTTCACAAAACACCGACATACCGGTACCGGAGAGAGAGAGAGAGCTGAACTGTTAACCGGAGGGGACCGCTAACGGGACGAAAGAGGAGGACTTTCACCTTCAACTTGGATTTGGGGGAATATAAAGTGGGAGTGAGAGGATTAACCAATGGAAATGTAGAGAAATCTGCCAAACCAATCCCAGAGTTTATCCCGGACGGGTTAAAGTTCAGGAAAACACTCGTACTGCGGCTGTTGACCAATGAGTGTGAGCGACTAATGTCACAACAAATGTCTGACGGGAGAGAGGGAGGGTCAGGATTTAATGCAGTTTACATGGTCCACCGCTAGATGGCGCCAGAATACTATTGAAGACAGTTAACAGAGGGTGGTCACAGGCAGTAACTACAGCTTCAGATGGCAGAAGATTTTACTGTATTTATAGAAAATAATAGAAAAATGGGACAAAAGGTCAAACATAGATAGATGACGGATTAAAATACATGTCCTGGATTGTGATTCTCTATTTCTATTTATTTTATATTTCTATGTATTTGTTTAGCACAGATTAAAAACAGTGCAAGTCTATATTGATTATTAGAATGCTTTCCTCTCTGGTCTTCCTAAAAAGAACATTTCACAGCTTCAGCTCCTACACATCACACCAATTTTAAAATCTCTGCAGCTTACCTGTGTCTTTTAAAGGTTCTTTTATTAGTTTTTTAAGATCTTAATGGTCTTTTAATGGTTCTTTTTATTTGTCTGATTTACCATATGAGCCTTGTAGAGCCCTCAGGTCTTCAGGTGGTGGTCTTTTATTGTTCCCCAAATAAAAACTAAAACATACGGTGAATCATGGTTCCAATATTACGGTCTCCATTTGTGGAACAGCCTACCTGCAGACCTGAGAGCGACACCTACTGTTCATATTTTCAAAAATAAACTCAAGATCTACCTTTTTAGTCTGGCTTTTAGTTGAATTTTGTTTTAATCTTTTAATCTGCATTATGTGATTTTACCCTATTTATAGTTGTAGAGTAACAATTCTGTGTTTTATTACCTCTTTTTTAATTTACTTTCTTTTATTGTTTGATTTTAAGACTGTTTTTTTTTTCATTAACTTTCAACGCTTTATCACCTTTGTAATATTTTATCATGGTTTTATCGTTTTAGTCCTAGATTCAGTGTTTCCTCATTTCTTTTAACTCAAGATAGCAAGTTAAAGAGTCCTGGCCTGGTCTTTTGCGTATATATCTGTGTGTGTGAGTGCTGTATGTGTTGAATGGGTGTTGGGAGGGTGGGTGGGGTTTGGTATTTGTATATTTATTTATTTTATTTCATTGTTTTTAATATCCTGCTTGAGTGGACAACACTTTGTGCTTTAAAAGTTTGATTGATTGATTGAAGGAGGGAGCGAAACTGATCGGCTTACACAGAGTTCCACTCCTGTCGGGGCAGTGAAGACATAGGGTGCAAACAACAAAGTAATTAGGACGTAGACAGGTTATAAATATACAATGAGTAAGGAAAGGTCAAAACATGTACAAATTATCATAAATAGAACACAGACTAATCATCAACCAGAGATAGAGACAATATAAGTATACATAAAAAGAAAGGGAGGTGCAGAAGGTTCATGTCTGCTGGATCGAGATATCATTCTGAAGACTAATAATAATTCCCTGAGGTAAGTTGAATACCATACAACTTTACAATAGTGCATATAAGGATATAGGAAGCTATGATACAAAGAGGGCAGAGGGATTGATCAGGGGACAGACCTTATTGATTATACAGAGGCTCATTATTGACCTTTTGCAAACTTGAACAATATGATTAGTCCACTTAAGACCCTCATCGAAGTCAACACCCAAAAAAGTGGTGTGGGGTACTTGAGAGATTTCAGTACCATTAGTTGATATTTTGGCCTCTTCCTTTGGATAAGATTTGTTTTTGTTGCAGAAGATCATAAAGTTACTTTTTTTATATTAAGAGTCAGAAACCAGTTAGCAACAGAAGATAATTCATCATTCACACGAGCAATGAGAGTCTCAAAGTCTGCATGAACATCTATGAAACTGGTGTCATCAGCAAGTAACAAGGGGAGAAGGTTATTACAAGACATAGGCAAGTCATTGATATAAATTAAGAATAACAGAGGACCCCTGAGGGACCCCAAAGAGAATACTGGATTTAGTGGATGAACAAACTGCTCTCTATTATCTAGATAACTGATCAGCCAGTTGAAGGCAATATTCTGGATTCCATATCTGTTAAGCTTTGAGATGAGGATTGTGTGATCGACAGTGTCAAAAGCTTTGCTTAAATCAAGAAAGACACCAAGGGCATTTTTTTTCCCATCTAGAGCAGAAGAAATGGTATTAACAAGTTGCAGGAATACATGCTCAGTCGAGTGTTTTTTGCGGAACCAGAATTGATGATCATACAAAACATTATTAGCCGTCAAGTGGTCGGAGATTCTCGCATAGACTAGTTTTTCCAAGATCGTGGAAAAACAGGGTAGATCAGATATTGGGCGATAGTTGCCAAAATCTTTCGTATTGCCTTATTTAAATATCGGAATAACTTCGGCAATTTTAAGATCTCGAGGGACAATACCAGACAGAAGGGATAAAGAGAGAATGTCATCCGCAAATAACAAGGGGAGAAGGTTATTACAAGACGTAGGCAAGTCATTGATATAAATTAAAAACCTCTGTGATGGTTCTCAGTCATCCAGTTCATGGCACTAAGGTTTGTAGTATGGACTATATGTAGGAAAAATGGTTGATCAATTGAGGAAAAACCGAGAGATAAACACAGAGGAAAGAGATAGACGATAAGGGAAAAATATACTCAACTTATACTTATTCCTCAACTGAGCATGGGCTACTCTGAGTACACCCCATCATAAATGTCAAATTTAGCCTTCACTGAGCTGACAAGCTTCACACTTTGGCTCTACACCGTTTGAATGAGTGCGTATGAGACTGTGTGAATGAACAGGAACAAGGATTTCCATCTGTTTTGTCCCGAAGTCCCGGGCTGAGCTGTGGTGTAAACACTCCGGCTCCTCTGTGCTCTCCCCTGCAGCTGTCTGCAGGAGCTGAAGTGGTTGATAAATGAGCTCTACCATGCAGACTGCTCTCTGCTGCAAACCTTTGAGGGAAAGCTTTTTGGCCACACTGGGGGAAACGACCCGGAGAGTCTCAGGCCAGAGTGCTGCGTCTTACACAAATATTTAATATTCTGAATTAAACTAAATGAAGGGGGATTACACGACGGAGCGCCACCCAAAAATGAGGCACTTAAACCCCGCTGTACAAGTAATTTCTTTATGGTTTATGAATAAATTCTTAGAGTTTTCCCCAACTTTAAAGGGTTTTGTTGACCAAGAGTTTGGTGTGTACAGCCACAGGTCATATAATGAATTTTTATGACAGTGATTGTAATGTTTATAATTACTTTTTTCAACACTAAACACATTAGTCAGCCTTCTTTTTAGCCAAGCAGGCAGCCGTTTTCTGCAGAAAAAAAGCTCTGATAATCCCACATTTTTGGTGATACAGTTTCTGTAGAAGCAGATGTTTCTTCTCCAGAAGTTGTTTTTGACTCTAAGTGGAAAAGAAAAGAGTGGATAACAGTCATCATGAGCTACTTACATCTTCAAATGAATTCTTCAGGTAGTTGCTTATTCTTTGTCCTTGTGACAATAACTCAAGGTTTTGTTTATTCTTGTTTTATTGTCCTGAAATGGCCATAAAACTGCTTTAGATGAGTGGTGTTTTTTTTAAAGAAAAGTTATCCCAATCTTAGATAAAAATATTTAGGTCATGAAAAATTAAACTGACCTGTAACTTCTGTCTATAATATCCTTAATAGGAGCCTGTTTCTTCCTCATAGTGAGCCTTTAATTATCAGTTATGAGTATTAAACTCTGACAAGTTTACTGAAAAACTCTCATCAGGAGCGATGGGTTTACTTTGGTGCCTCCTCTGGACAAGAGTGGGACTTCTTATTGTTTTTTCCTGCTGTTTTTTTATTCCATTTTATCATTAATATCTCCATCATTATCATTTTATTTTATTTTTTTATCATTATTAATATCCTTTTTTATATTTACTATCCTGTTTCCTGCTTTCTACCTCCCTTTTTTACTACATTTTCTTTTCTTACCTATTTTATGTTTTTATTTTGGTCCTCATGGTCTCATTTTATGTTGTAGGGTTCTTGTATTATCTGGGTTTCTTATGACAAATGATATTGGCCATCAATTTAGAGGCTTTGTTTTTAACAGCTTTTGTTTTTATTGTTTTTATTTCCATGTACTGATGTTCTGTGCTTTACGACTGTTTGTCAAAGCACTTTGTAAACTTCTGTTTTTGAAAGTGCTATAAAAATAAAGTTCTTATTATTATTCTTACTATCAACAGACAGATTAAACTGTTGGTTAATAATTCAACTGGTTAATGGTATTTCCCATCCCCAATGACAGCATTTCAAAACAGCCACTGGTTAGACATTAATATAAACTCTGTAATGATGTATAACATGATGCAATTTAACAATAACATTATTATTTACCTTGATCTGATTTTTTCTGACTAATTTCAGATATCTGAGCAGAAACCCAAAAGTCCCTGATGGCAGTATCATCCTGAGCCTATTATCTTTTATTTTAACATTTAGTAAATAAAATTTGCCCTTAAGTTCCTTTTTTATTTTAATTATTTGTCAGAATTAACATATTGTTGAACGCTAAAGGCGAGTGGCAATACGACTGTCATTTCAGGCCCACAATATTAAAATTATTAATCACTCACTTAATCAACAAGTTTTCTCGTGCTGACAAGTGAGAGTGACAACATTAAAACATTAAAAACTTAATATTGCACATCCCTAGTTACAGTTATTAAAAAGTTAGGAGATGCCTGTTACGTCTTTGAGAGTCTCATTTGCTTTCATGTCAATTTAATCTAATTTATAACCAACAGAAACGACTCACAGGAGATCCTAAAACCTTTGCATAATTAACCCCGATAGTGAGTGACTATTTTCGCCTCCTTTTCTCGAGTCACAGATGTTACTCACTTTCCCCACACCAGTCCCACC